GATGAAGTCTTACAGGAATACCGTTATTTATTATTAAAGAATATAGCAAAGAAATTTTTCTGAGCTATCTATCGTCAGTGACCAATTTAATTGTATTGTTTTTGAAGTCCACAGTAATGACACTCATGTTTGTCAGTTCTTGAAGTACGTGAGTGGTAGGATAGGATAGGTAAACACAATATGTCAATCTAACTCATTCTGCCGTCCACTGAGACTGTTTCATGATTTATATATACGTACATGATGTGAACATGCTAGAAATGCCCTAGTGAAGAATCGTTCAATATTATGGAAAGCAAAAAAGTGTTACCTACATGATACTTTTGTATTTGAAACAAAGTGATAACAGAATATAATAGTTTCACATTATATTTATCAAGACAGATGTTAACATAATTATCTTAAGACTTATTTGTCTCCAAATATCTCGTGTGCATCTAGTCAGTGCTGGGTAGTTCGCGTCCTACCTTATATTGTTGCTGACGTAGCGCAAGGACTATTGTACCACGTACCTAATATGATTGAAGAATGAACAACCTTATTTATGATACAGATATGTGTAGCCTGCATATTAATCATATGCAGCAAAATATTATGTTATATATGATGAATGACATTTAAATGAAACTGATATTTATTATTTTTAAAACAGCATACTTCACACGTTTCGGTTACTTCGCAGCAACCGTGATCACGGACAGACGAGATGTAAATGTGAATTAAAATAATTAAATAACGCGAAGTAATCCGAGGATATTAGTTTCATTTAAATGAATACTCGTGTAAGTGTCAGATCTCATTATGTAATAACATTGGTAAATGTAATAATGCCATTTTTAATTCTAATTATCGCCTAAACAAAATCTTGTTAATTAATTAATAAATAAATATTATTCTAAGGTTTTTTTGAAAGACAAAATGAATATTAGATACGACTAACTGTTTTTCAACAGTAACTATTTGCACTAACAATTATCTGTAACCTCAATAAGTCGTACAGTAATATTAAGCTAGCAATATCTGTCATATGTGTACTATAAGCATACTAATTGGTTTTGTATGTCACAAGAGAATTCGCACCTCCTTTTAGTAACACTCCATTCTATCTTCAATGTCAATTATATTTATAGACGTGATACAAATATTATGGTGTAATAACTGAGTCGAACTATTGTTAACTTTAAGTATTGCTGCTTATTTTTCTTTTATTTCTATTATATTTCAATGCGACCATAAAATAAAAGTAAAAACGTCATCTGAATTAAATCATGCTGACTGCTGAGTGTAATGCCATCACGACAGTGAGTTCATCTTCACTAATAACACAATGGAAGTGTCACACTAAAGCTTAACGTGTGTCACTAACACATAACCATCACATAAGCGCGACATAATTCCTATCTAACGACACATTGTCTAAGTAACAAGTAGACGCACTCCGGCTTAAAGGGCATGTACCATAAAGCTGCGGTGGCCATACGTTGAATTAATTCCAGGATAAATTAATGTCTATACTTATGCTTTTCTTATTATAGCGATACCAAGCTTAATACGGGAATCTCGACTCGATTTCTCAATTAACATTGACTGGAATGTGTTCATAAAATTTTCTACCACTTCAACTTTATTTTATAAATCAAATTTATACCAAATATTTAAAAAAATATATATATATTTTGGACGTAAAATTACTTGAATACGGAATTTTATCTGTCAAAGATATGGTTGGTTACCTTACATATCACGCGTCAACCTCAGGTATCTGCTATTTGTTGTGTGATTGACTGACAGTCTTGATTCAATCCAATATCGAGCAGATTTGAGTAATACGAGACGTTACTGATAACGTAATTAATACGTATGTATCGATTGAAACGTTTATAATTATACATATATATATATTATATAAGTATAATGATAATAATTAATTGCATACATTCGATGACATAATCGCCAAGGTCCTTTGAAAATGGACATTTTAATTGCGAAATAATCAAGGTGATTTAATTAATAAAATATAATAAATAATATAATGGTACAAATAAAAAATTTATTATTTTAATAAATTTAATAAGATATACTCGTAGCGATGAGATAGTTTTATATCTATTTAATTTTTACAGTTTCGTTTTATGTTACTTTATATTTATAACAAAAGAATTAAAGGTAAAGAAAACGAGCAAAGCCGCGGCATATGTATAGTAGTTTATCACAATTGCGTTATAATTAACCGTGATCTACTATCATTAGGTTGTGGTTAATTCATGGATTTTACAATATTAATATTAATATTTACATTTATAACGCGTTGTTTAATTTAAAACTTCTACATCAGGGCGCATCTATTTTAAACCTATTTAATATCAGATAATAATAACACATTAACTTACTGACTATATTAAAATAATTGTGAAATGAATGCATAAAATTTTATAGCTCTTCCGTTAATTTTAAATCAACAATGTTTTTAACCTACGCGGCTCGGGCATTTTAATAAATTTATGCTCAATAAATATAATTAATAAATGTTTTATTTATATTTAATGACCTAATTCTTGGTAAGTCAGAGTTTATGTAAATTGTTTACCGAGAGAAGCCACGGAACGCGTAATGAATTAACATTTTAAAACATAATTGTTATGCAGAGAATAACTGTTAGGTTCAAGCTAATTATCGTATTGGAATATCCTTAATATTGTAATTAGTTTTAAGTGTTCAATCATTTACTACTTATCTACAAAATCGTTGATCTTTATGTAATTTTGTATACTTTCAAACAATTACCGTTAAAGGAAAACAATTCAAATACTGACAATATACGCTATTTATGATGGTGGAAATTTCTTTATGCTTCAAAATTTTAAAATCACATTTCATTCAAAATTCACACAAGGACGGTTCTGAAAGGAAATTCTTCTCATTTGTACCATTTCTGGCGTACTAACAATAGCTTCAAAACACGAAAATATTGAATACCTTCGTGAGAGGAATTTCATTCGGTCTATTATTTTCTAGCATTAGATTTCGCCGATTCCTGGTTCTACATCGACTATCAAAAACCTATCAGCGGCAAGTGTCACCCTGGCACATTGCCATATAAACAGAGCTTGTACGGGTATTGGATATCGCTTCAAATGATTTATTACAAAAATATCTTATATAAACAAATTGATATGTTAAAACCTTTAACGTATACGACCTCCTTTATAAAAAAAAGGCGGTTTGATTTGAATAGAATAAATTCAAATTACTTAAAATATAAACTGCTACTGGACCGCAGTCGAATACACGCTCGGTAGCATTTTGCGTTACATTAATCTGGTTTCTTAGCATTTATTCGTTCGTCCATCGCGATGATTTAGTTTCGTAAAGGATTCTTCTGTAGCGGTCAAATAATTTAATCACATCCATTACTAGGGATCGTCCAAACGTAATCGGTATTTTTGGTATGCTCGACGGAAATTTCCGTACGTATTTGAGAATTGATACGGGTTCTTTTATGTGGTCGAAAATCACGCATGACCTGTTTTCCGCGGGGTTTTTCTCTAGCAATTTTAATGCTAATCTATCTACAAACGTTTATTACTGACATGGAAAATATCTAACAATGATAAATGCAACTTCTAAACGATATTTTTTTTATAATTGGATCACATGAAATATAGAATTTATAGCTTGAGTATATCGATCGTGGTTTACCGCTGGGAAAAACATTTTTAGGTACACATTCTTGTAATGTATTGAGCTATAAATAATAAATGTCGATATGGATGGAGTGTGTCGCTAAAAAATATTAGTTAATACAAAGAGTTTTAAAGAATATATATACACACATATATATAACTCTATTACATTTTATGTTTATTCTATACATGTACAGTGATATATTGCAAATATATGTATAATGTTGTACTATTGAAGTACGTGATCTCGTTCGACGTGAATCTTTGACAGATTTGATGTTGGAAACACTTTGATTTAGATCGTATTGTAAATTTAGGTTTTGATCAGGCAACGTGATGTTTGAAATAACCGATGGTTATAGTATATTAAGTTATTTTTCATTAAAATCTAATAAAACAGAGATAATTTTCATAATTTATATATAGTTAAAAGCGTTTTATATCGATGATAAGTAGTGTTATTAAATTTTCAATATTACGTAACAAATTATGGCAAGTTTCTTGTTGAGACGCGACATGTTTTACACGCGCTACATGTGTCCCGGGGGATTTATTGTTTAATATAAGGAATTGAAGTGTATGTCGCGGGTTGGCCGGGGCACGGACGCGCGTGGTATATTTCGGCTCATATGAAGTTTTTCTCCTTACTTAATTTATCTACTCGTATTTTATTAAAACACATTCGTTTAAAAAATCTTTGTCTTCGTTACTCTTCTTTTTAATTTTCATCACTGCAGTATCTTGAAAATACTAATTATAATGTGATTTTATATATGCATGTAATATTTGTATAGTTCGTAATAATTTTTCAATCATATAGTATTAATTGCAATATGAAAAGACCGATCAGATGAATGCTGAATGATTATTCGACAGAAATATTAAAATGTAAAATAAAAATGAGATGTTTTAATGAAATAGTATCAACTGTGTTTGATTTCATTAAGTTTATAAGGATAGCTTATGATATAATACTATTTAGCTAATTGTCTTTATACATCAAAATGTGTCCATAATTATAACATATATATACACTTCCTTAGTTTTTTAAATTTTCCGTAGAATCTGAAACCTGTAAAACCTTAATAACTAAAAGCTACATTTATTTATAATGATTCACTTCATTATCTCGTATTTTGTAACAGATTTCCCGTTTTGATTAACATATATATATATATATATATATATATATATATATATATATATATATTACACGAAGAAATTGCCATTGACCAAAGTCATAAGATAACGTCATCATTCGTCGTCTGTGCGTCCTTAAAAACATTATGCTCTAACAATATAAATATTGTCAAACAGAACGCAAGCTGTTCGTGGGTATGTTGAACAAGAAGTTATCTGAGAACGACGTTCGTACGCTCTTCGCTGGCCATGGAGCGATTGAAGAGTGTACCGTCCTGAGAGATGCTCAAGGCCAGAGTAAAGGATGTGCTTTCGTTACCTTCGTGTCTAAACAGGCGGCAATCGCTGCTATTAAGGTAATGTAACAGTGGAACAAGTAATAGAGATATTCTTTTCAATGATCCGAAACTAACCTTCGAGTCACCAAAGAAATTATATTTAAATGGATTTCAATAGACCGTATGTTTTCAGCTAAGTTAGTTTTTTAGTTAGGGCTCTAAAACTATATATTTTAATCAGTCCTTCTTATCAGAAGACCACAACTATGAGATTCTTATTGTCAATTTCTAAATAAAATTTCAGCTAGATATGGCTTTAATATTGGTAAAGTGATTTTTTTTTTAAATACAATAGCAAAAACTTTATTTAACTTATAACTCATTGTTGATAGCATTAATGATAATTATAATTAGTTGAAATAAAAGTAGATAAAGATCAGGATAAATAAATATTGTTATTTTTATGCATCAAATTTAATAAAATTTCTTTTATTTTTCAATAAATTATTTAACTTTCAATAAGACCATCTATGTTAATATATGCCGTTAACTATATTACAGACGTTACATCACAGTCAAACGATGGAGGGCTGTTCAGCGCCGTTGGTAGTGAAATTCGCTGATACACAGAAGGAGAAAGAACAGAAGAAGCTACAGGCGATGCAGGCGAGTTTGTGGGGGTTAACGACCCCTGTGGCCCCTACTTACCTAGCGTCGGAAGCGGCGCTGTCACCTGCAACACAGCTGCAACTGCTACAACAGCTGCAGGCGGTTGGGCTTCAGCAGCAGTTGCTGCAAGGTCAAGGGTCTACTTTATTACAAGGTCAGTATTTAAAATAGCTTGAATTGGTCACGTTTATGTAAAGTTGGGAGCCTAATTACAATAATTTCTTTAGGCCGATTATACAAAAACGTTAATTACTTTAAAATAGTAAATTGCTTTTCATAATACTTGTTTATTACTTTTAAGGCACTAAATCACGTTTGTCGAATTATTTAAATGTTTTAACTTTTTTCAATTTGGGAGGAAAATACAATGGCTCAATTTAAGCTCATTGAATAATAAAAAAGTTATAATTAGAACTTATTGTGCTCTCTACTGTAGCGTCCAGATTTTATTTGGGACGTCTTTTTGGACCTTTTCTATATAAGATTTATGCATTATATTTTTATATACAGTTTTTATTCATCCTTTAAGGTTTTTCACATAAACTCACCTTCGCAATGTTTTATTTCCATTTTTTATTTTCATTTACGTATAGATCATCCTTTGTTTATGTTAATCCGATCCCTACCTCATCCCTTTTAATTTGGATCCTTGACCTTTATTTCTTAGGTGTTAACTATCCAGATGTCGGTTTCAATGGCGCAGGGCTGGGCGGTGGTGTTGGTGTTAGCGCTGGTGGTGAACAGCTGGGTGGGCTCCTGGCACCTGTAAGCGTGCAGAACTTAGCAGCACTTGCAGCAATGACGCAGCCGGTTACGCAAGCAGCACCCATAGCTCAACCAGCGGCACCCCAACCCGCAGCACCGCAATTATGTAAGTATTTCTTAAAAATGAGTTTGTTTATTAATCCACCTTACTATATCTAAAATGAGACATATTTTCAGCTTTATTTTACCACATACATCACGTTAAATATTTTTCCTCAAGCCACCAGAAATCGTACATTTTTAAAGATTGTTGAAACGTATAAATTGGGCTCTCATAAATGTTACCAACAAACACAAACATGAATTTCGTCTGATACAAAATTTAAAATGTCACTCCTAATTGACGTTTTTGTTCCCTCTCAGTCCTTTTCGCAAATTCATCCCGGGCAAGTACAATTAAGGTACTATAAATTCCGTCCTAATTGCCATACCTGTCCAAATCTTAATTGGAATGTTGCCACATAAGATGTCCGCATAAAAAAAGAATATATAAAACCATAATGATCTTTTTTGTCCCCAAACTTTCCTATTTCAGATTGGGATTTATTACGTTGAGAGTTAAAACCTTTATTAACGATGAAACTTTTTCACACTTCAGGTCTTCTCGGGAAGACTAACATCACAGGTAAACGGAAAACAAATCGAAATTGTATGTTTTGGAATGATTACTCGTTGGTACCGCTAACTAGCAATACATTAATGTATGATACTATTAAAGAACACATGTTTGCATTCAAATAGCGTCTAAAATGTGTTTTGTAATTTAATGGCTTGGTTTAATTTGTGTGCATCCTTTAACAGCGTAAAGATTTATTTTAAAAAAATGCTTTTTGCGTGATTGTAGCCTTAACCTATTTTTAAAACTGGCAACAGACGCCAATGTTTCCAACTTTTTAAATAACAGCGTTGAAATCATCTTTTTTATTTCGCATTCAAAATGTACGTACAAATATTAAAATTTGAGCCAATATTGTTTCAGCGGAGGTTTCCGCTTGTTTTCGTAGTTTTATTTGTGAATTCAACTATGGTTGCATATCAGTTCCATGGGCAAACGGAAAATTTTAAATTTATAAAAACACGTGCACGCTATAACTATTTGTTTGTGTGTTTCATTTTACTATTATTCGAGTTACGTGTAAGCTGAGTACTGGAGTCGTACAACAAAATACATTACAAAAAAAAACTCATACAAATTAATGACAGTATTCATATGAATTGGACAATTTGAATTGTAAATATAAGTATATTTTTATGGCATTATTTGAAACATAGATTATTGATACATGAACAATCAACTATTGAATCATAAAAACTTTGTTTTCTTTTCTCATGTTAGCAACTTGTAAAGAAAACAATTCTTAAAGGCTTCATTAAAAACACAAATGTCCCGACACAAAAACGGTGTCAGACAAAATGTATTATGATTTTAAACGTGTTTAAAAAATGTTATCATTTTGACCTTTCCTTGTGGTAAACTGTTTTACATTAATTCACAAGACATTAGTGTCGCAATATTTTCCAATAACGCATCGCTTAAACTTTTGTATTATTGGCTTTAATTGGGATCAAAAATAAATAATCACGACATACGACCGTACTATAGTCGAGTTGATTAACTCCTCTTTATTTTGTATGCATGACGTTTGTTTTGAAATAAAAATAATTATGATCCTTTTGTTTGGTAGTCACGTTTAACATAAGTCGCTGTAAATGTATGTAGTACATTGAAGTGTATATAGTGCTATTGTTTTGACTTCTGTTAGTGTGTCAGTAGTTAAATTTAATAGCTTTTTTTAAGGACAGTCTAGAAATAGAAGTTTAAGGTTCTTTTATATCTATTCTTTTGCTCGGCTATTACTGGTTTTATTTCTGGTCATTCAGCTTTTAGTCGTGTTAATGTAGTTTAATTCTCTTCTTTTGGGAATGTAGGAACTTTATTTTAGCCTGTAATGTCTTAAACTTTGCCATTTCTTTCTTTCAAGCATCTAATAAAAGTTTTATTAGGTCTAAAATGAGTAAAATTGTCCTCGAGTAGATTTTAAAGTTTGTATTAAAGGAATGATACTATAACGTAATTATTAAGGTGTATATTATGTTTTAGACATGTAGGAAACATTAGTATATTTAATATTTGTAGTGCATGGAATCTTACTAATCGGATAATGTGAATAACTCGATTTATTTCAACTTACTCTTAAGTAACATGTTTCTAATGAACATACTGTCAACTGTGTATCGAATTCTGAACTAAATCTTTGCCTGCATTTCACCGATTTTCAAGGATTTGATAGTTTAAGAAGACATTGTTTGGATCTTAACACGAATAATAATGATAGTGTTTTGTTACTTAAGATATACTTAGTACAGTCGTGAACAAAAGTTTAGTATTATATGTTATAAATGTGTTCAGGGTCCACAGCTGAGCCGCTTGGGTCTGCGTATGCGGCGCAATTCGGCAGCGCTTTCGCGGCGGCACCGCTTGGATCTGTATTGGGATCAGCGGCGGCTGCAGCGGCGGGGAAACAGGTTGAAGGTTTGTTTAAACTCTTTATATAATACAAATTTACAATATCATAATACTAAAAAATAATAATAAAACAAATTTAGAGCAAAATCTCTATCTTAAACGCCACGTTCGTTAGGGAAATTTCTGTTTTGTTTTAATTATTTATTACGTTGCGGAAAGTAATTGAAGTTTAATGGTTCTCATTCATCATGTATATGATGTACATTATCTTAAATATATGTAGATATGACTAATCACATCTCGTCTGCCCGTGATCACGGTTGCTGCTAAGTAGCCGAAACGTGTGGAGTATGTAGTATTAAAAATAATAAAATAACGCGTAGTATCCCGAAAATATTAGTTAAACGAATACTCGCAAAAGTCTCAGATCTCATTTCCTTAAATATAGACCTACTTTCTTTTTGATATCCACTTTATTAAATATATTATATTAAACACTTTATAATGTAATCTTTGTGGCCATAGTCATCATGAAATTTAAATATAATCTGTATACGCTGTTGATAACAAATAAATATATTAATTCAATACTTACATATTCCAGGTCCAGAGGGCGGTAACCTGTTCATATACCACCTGCCCCAGGAGTTTACGGACACGGACCTCGCGTCCACGTTCCTCCCGTTCGGCCACGTGATATCAGCTAAAGTGTTCATAGACAAACAGACGAACCTATCAAAGTGCTTCGGTTTCGTGTCATATGATAACGCAGCCTCCGCGCAGGCCGCCATCCAAGCGATGAACGGCTTCCAGATAGGTACGAAAAGACTAAAGGTACAGTTGAAACGTTCGAAAGAACTTTCTAGACCGTACTAGATCTATTCCAGGTTCCTAGTGAATGAAAAGATTTGATGATTTAATGAATAAAAAAAAACAAACTATGAAGGTTGTCTATTTTTGAACGTTTGTTGTGATGTATCCGGTGCACATGAACTGGTGGTGATGATGATGATGTCGGTGATAGTTTTAAGGTTCGCTCGGATCGAGTCCACGTGCACAGTTGTTATCTAATAAGCGTAAGATTAAGGTTTGTGTCAAAGGATTTTATCGTTTCCAAAGTATTCCCCAAATTCTTTTATAATTATTAATTCAATATTATCACTTTTCGTTATAATAAGTTGTAGTCATTTTTTAAGTGTAAGTTAAATGCGTTCGAGTCGCTATTCAAACCGCCAAAGAGCTGTCAGATATTATTTATCTATGTTTTGTTTTTAACGCATCTGTCATACAAATGTCACCTGTGACATTTTTAAAGAGTATTGATTAAATAAAATTATTTTTGTTTTTTTTTTTCTCAAACGAACAATGGTTTAATGTAATATTACTGTGTTACCAATCTGTGTCCATAATAAAGTCTGTTTAAATTCTAATATGTTAGAATATATAATGATCTCAATGTGATCAATGTATTTATATCATTAACATATTTTCAATATTGTACTTAATGTTTTTTACATAAAAGCTGTAAAAATATAGCTTAAACTTACCAAAAAGCAATTTTTTTTTTGTTAAAATAACGTAAATCTTTCGTTCTCAATAAAAAATGTATATATATGAAATATGTCAAAATTGAACATTGTCTATGATTCTAGAAAGTTTTTGCCGGATCAAGCCACAAACTTGTTTACTTATACTTATGTTTATTGAACATCGAACTTTGAACCGTTTAGTCAGAAGAAAAATTTTGTTAGATTTAAGTATTTAAATATAGAATAAGTTTTTGTGTAAGTTCGACATTTATCGTGTATTTTTTAAAGCACTGTACCACTGTATTCTTCTTGTTATTTCTCTTCCTTATTCGAATCGTAAGACTACGCAATATTTTTAATTATCTATTAATTTTAATTTCACTGTAAACTAGTAGAAATTATTTGAAATAATTTTTCTTATAAATTTTTCAAACAAAATATTGAAATTCTTTGAGTATAAACGTTTCTTAGTAAGCTATTTTCTATCGCTCAACTTCTATTCAATAAATATATATAAATAACACAACGTTACCCAAGAATTAAGTTACAGTGCCAATGAGTTAATTTAACAAAAATTATATATTATTATTTTATTTTAGTTATTTAAAACACCTAAGTTCACTTTATACAAATTACTTGAGTGTTATTTGTAAAGAGAAATTTCGAAGGCGGTCTTATCGTAGCGTAATTATTTAGTCAAGGTTCAAAAGAAGATATATCTAGACTGAATAAGTTCCATAAAACTATTTTATAATTATATCCCGCGAAGTAATTGTATTGTGAGTTTGTTGAAATATTTCGTTTGGAACGATTCCTTATATTATAATAATTTATCTTAACCTCACTAGTTTATTTATTTCTATAAAAAACGAAATAAAACAATCATGATTGTATGACGCGACTAGAGCATTTTTTTTTTCAAACGATATTAATATCAATTTGATTGTTTTTTTTCCATGTTCAATCCTAGACACGACCACTCTTAAGTAAGTGTGATCAAAATAATATAAAAATATATTGGATAAGTGGATTTTTACCTACTTATACTTACTAGGCGAATCGAATACGAGACCTCATTATTGTTGTGACATATGTCAAACTATTGTACAGATAACAGATGATGTCCCCCTATAACAGACTAAAAAAACTCCACACTTGACGCTAAAATGAATAAAGCTTAATATTTTAATTTAAACATTTGCATTATCGAAAAATGTAGCAAATGTAGCGATAACTTATTTACAACTGTTGCTACATCTATACAGTTTTAAATAAGATTTTTCTTTCTAGGAAATTAATCTAATTTTTTTGTAGTATGTTTAAATCGTTGCTAGATTGCCGCTACTTTTTGATTAATCTATTTTATATTAGTTTAAAAATTGAAGAGCTTATAACAAAAATATGTATTGAACGAATTGTATTAATAATTGTTTCGAGTTACAAGCGGTGTTGCGACCAAGTTAGATCGATCATAAAATTGTTATAAATATGTATGACGTCAAACAAGCAAGTAGCTGATATTATGAATAATTTAAATTCTATGTAAATAATTATGAACTGAACATTGTTTTCATAAAACCGCACCGCTCGTTATTCGCATATATTGTAATGATCTATGATTTTTATTCCTTTTTTTTTATTATGTATGTTTTAAGCTTGCAACACCTCTAAATTAAAAGATGGCGGAGTCACGGTCCCTAACCGCATATCCTACAACCGCAAAATTATTTTTACACTGTTTCGAGGCACCGTATTTCGTAGATATACAATTGGTATAAATAATTATAAAGAACTGTTTTATACAACACCCGTTTTGTTGATATAAATGTAAATAAATGTCAAGTTAAAAAGTGTCGTCTTATTTTACCTCAATTTAGTCTAAGTATACCTAATATTTTCCCGAAATTCAATAAAAAACACTACTGAATAAACTACTTTTTTATTTAATGTGATTTCGATTCATAGTTTTAAAATGTGTTGGATGTAATAAAAATATCTTACTAATAATGTAACCAGGAAAGTGTATATATACGTGGGGTGTATTTATTGACCTTTACGAATTCTTTAGGCATTTATTTTTTTAATCTATAATTCTTCAGTTATCAAAGTAATCATAAGTAATCATAGACTAGCTAGTTGCAAAAATTCCTTGTACTTCCCACACGTGCATATCACAATAAAGTAGATCTTAGGTTCAATATTACAAATAATTATTGCAAATATTGATTTCAATACAATTAATAGCTATATATATTTTTACCATAATTTAGTATCAACTTCCCACAATCTTATACCGGCAATATCTACAGATACATAAATTTATTATTAACTAGTAAACCTGGCGAACTCCGTTTCGCCACCAGAAGGCTTTTATATAACATTTCGTTTGGTGATTAAAAGATGAACAATTTTTTGTTTCATATTTCAAAAGGAACATTTTTATTTCATTTCAGAACAGTAATGAATTCATTTAGATTACAAAAATAAAGTGTTATTTAGTTGAACTTCTCTAAGTAAATGAAAGTGAATCCAAAGTAGATACCGAATCGAAGCGTTATACGTGTCCGCAAATTATCCGTTTCATTGAAGTGCTCGTTTGTAAACCACATTTTTTGTTTTTTGGTCTAACTTTAACACAAATTAAGCGTATGGTTTCCAAACTCGTGAACACGCAAAATATAACGCCCATGTGAAAAACAATGATTTTCTAAATTTATCCCGCAAATACTAAATGGTTTTAAGAGTTCAAACAACAAACACATTACCTAAATATTTTTATTTTTATATAGTAGATTTCTTACAAATATCTAATTGTCATCCATACGTCATTACATATCTGTCATTATACGTCAATTGCATAGCTGTCAATTGTGTTATTCCACGTTTTATAGTGACTGACGTTTCATGTCAAGTCCCACGGGAATGCTGTCGAACGGGATAAATAGTATCCTATTGCAATTTCCTGGTTCTAAACTACCTCCCTGCCAATTTTCAGCTGAATCGGTTCAGCCATTCTTGGGTTATAAGTGCAGTCACTAACACGACTTTCTTTTATATATATATAGATTATAATTTATAAACAGTTATAAAAATAACTCTAAGAATTACAGTATATTATACTTAGTACGGCACAGATGGCGCCACTTGTAACAATATTTTGTATGTAAATATGTTTCGTATATCTTAACCCAATCCCAAAATTCGTGGACAAATTAATAAGCAGTACTTGGATTTAATTATTTCAATGTCAACAATAATTCTTTCCAAATTATCGTAATTCAAAAATATATAAGCAGCCTCATCAAAAAATAATTTACGATGTCAATAAATATATTAAAATGAAATGTTTCATTTTCTCGGTGATCAAATATCTTAAAAATTATAACACATATATATTTAATATTTAAAACATTTTTAAGAGGCAAGTATTGTTTAAACCACGTACCTCGTAAACACTAAGTCCTAAATACTTTGTAAGAATTTGTTTACATACACTTATTTCACATATTTTCCTATATGATCAACTTATTTTCAAAGAATGAATTTCTCCATTTGAAATTCCAACTAATCTAATTTAAAATAAGATACGGTCGTTACCCATTTTTAGTAATATTTTGACAGTACTAATAAGCCATGCATAAATTTGTAAATATTTTTTGATTAGAACCCCCATTGTAATATCTAATGTAAAAAGTGATCGTGCCATACAATTTCAGAGCCTCAGCTTGACTAATAAGAAGCTTCTTGACTATAAATTGTGATACATCGAATCCCTACTAATATTATAAATGCGAAAGTAACTCTGTCTGTCTGTCTGTCTGTCTGTCCGTCTGTTTGTCTGTTAAGCCTTCATTCCTAAACCACTGAACTAATTTTAATGAAATTTGGTACAAAGATAGAGTAGACCTTGAGAAAGAGCATAGAATAGTTTTTATCCCAGACAAAAGTCTTTCAAAAGAAAGGTTCTCTTGGAAAAGCGATATAACCGAACTCCACGATGCCGAAGCTGCGGGCGAAAAGCTAGTTAACTTGTATATTATAACATGACTATTAACTATAAATATTAATATCTAAATCAAAATTTTATGATATGCATATCTAGTCATTCTTTTAATCGTTTTTCATCATTTCATATTTTTCTCGTTCAAATTCTCTTCATTTCTTTATTTAATAATGCCTTAAGGTTACTTTTATTTAAGGTAGAAACACACTGAGCCCACGTACGCAACATACACTATGTAACATGGAGAGGTCGCGTGCACACTTGTCCTTCGTAAACAACAGTTTGAAGATAGATTCATATGACATTTCTCGAGATGCTGTACTATTATATTGTTTTCCAATTATATGGGGTTAACGAGATAAAGAAAAAAAGAGGAAGGGTTGGGAAATACCATACATTAGCTGTAAAGCAACTGGAAAATGATGAAGACCGATTTTTCATGTACTTTCGTATGTCTGATGTACATTTTGAAGCAATTCAAAGGATTATTGTATATGAAATAAAAAAAAAGAAATTCCACTATATTCCAATTGTATCAAACTTAATCTTATTTCGATATATTGCAATTGAGTTTCTTTCTTTAAGGAATATCAAATTGTCTTTCTGGAATATATAACTAATATTTTCTATACCTAATTATAGTAACATTGATTAAATTTAAAAACATACTTGTGGAATGTAGCCAACTAAATGTTTTCAAATGGACAAACAAACATCAAACAAAGTTAAATAGACCAAATGAGATTGGTAAAATCAAAAATGCCAATTCCAGTGCCAATGAAGAGATGGCATAAAATAAAATAAAAAAACAATATACATATTAGTCTTATTTATTTTAAAAAATCTATTTGTAGATACCTCCCATTAATCATGAACAGTTTTAAACCTATGTTTTTATCTTTAACGTAATCTAATCTTCATCAATAAGACTTTAATTCAGACTTTATTTAAAGGATGTCAAAAGTGTATGAGGGGTATGTAGTTTGTTTGTTTTTGGTTAAATGAAACAAATTTTGTTTGAAAAGGGCTCAATTTTATTCTCTAAATACAGTAAAAACATGAAAACATCTCGAACAGTAGCATAAAGCTAGACGTTCTTATCTCTATGACAGTTATTGTTTATGGCCTATATACCGGTTACTAGTAATTAGATTTTGACTAAAATTAATACCATAATCACTATTTTTATAAGACAAAAATTATTTTTCAACTTTTATTCGATTCTAGAATTTTTTGAGAAACGATTACAATATTTAATGAATTTATCAACTAGTTTTATATACTTGATTAAGGACATATTTTAAAGCGCTAACAACTATCGAATATCAGGTGTGCGAAATTCTATACAGATTATACACTGAATGCATTCGGCTGTTAAATATTGTATTAAAACTATTATGAATTAATATTTCTAAGTAGTATTACGATTTACGATACTATATTTATAGCTATCATCATCCGGTAGTTTTTTCTGTATTTTTTTTTGGTTCAAATTTTAAAGAATTTCTATAGACATTCAAAACAAAATAATAATTTTCTGTCACGCAAAGCATCAATCATAATCAGCTGTCAAATCGTACAAATACTTATCTATAGTTTTAATATTAAATCTCGTCACCCGTATACGGATATAAGGATTTAAAAAGATACATCCATATAGGAATCCTGTAATAATAATTTAGATATCATGTACGAGTACGTAAGATATATAAGTATATACATTTAAATACAAAACTAAAATTATACCTTCCCCTTTCTAAAGTTGGAATATCATATATGTAGTTTACTTTCTAATGTAGTCCTCTTTATAATTATAAATATATCAAGTATTTTATACGTTATTACAAACTTTAAACAAATCACTTAATAATTTTCTAGTATTAATACACAGTCCGTTTATTATATGTACAAGATATCTTGCATACTCCGATTACTCTTTGATTACAAAACGTTTCGCTGCTAGTGCGAAATTCGCTTAAAAATTTTCTTGTTTTCCTGAATTATTTATTCTAAATATATAATAAGAATAATAGCAAAAAAAAATAACCAGTGTGCTTTAGACCACAAGACTGAAGTAGAATTTCTTTTTCGTAAAGCTTTCGTCATGCATTCACCAGCTTACTCCCAAGTCAAGCGCGCGTAGAGGTTGTACTTCAAAAATTCACTTTAGTGTCTTGGAATACTAATTATTATTTGAAAAATTGTAAAGATATTGGAAATCAATAGTGGACAGATGATAAATTATATTATTTGCCCATATAACGTACATACAGCATAAAAATAATAAATACATACGCAATAATTTATATTATCCACAGGTTTTCAATTAATACGGCCGTTAACAACTGAGTTGTCGGGCCATAAATCATTTTTCTATATCTATCTCGCTCGCACTTATGGGTCTTATGGAGAGGTCTAGTGATTGCGTAATAAAAAAGACAGGTTATCGATAATTAAAAAAACAGTGCAATTAAAGAGTAAGCCGACCAATCACAATCATAGAAGTGATGAACGATTACTTATAGTCAGCACGTGCGTAGTTATTAACCGTTTATCGATAACTGGCATTCGGTTCACTGCACATTCCTATAAGTGTTGACATTGGCAAAATATTCCACAATGCGAATGAAACCATAGAATTAATAAAAAAATTAACTTCACAGTCTGTTTTCAGTTTGAAAATGAAAACTAATAATGAATTACGCCAGTTAAGGCTTAACTGTTCAGTCTTTCTCACCAACGATGTAATGCGACATGCGATAGATATACAAAAAAAAACCTATAAAATAAAATATCTCACTACCAACAAAAACCAGATATATACATAATAAAAGAAAATAAACACTTAAATTTTATTTACAAAAAAAAATTAAATAAAATAATTCAAAATAAAAATATTCACATTAATCAATCTAGACCGAATTTGTTTAGTTCCTTTAGTTTGATGACGTCATCTTCCTCTTCTTTAATGACCACCTTACTGGGGGTTTCAATAGCTGGCTGTGTGTATTTGATCAAACCATTTTCATCAGCCATCGGTAGTATATCGCATATCAATGGTGACTCCACGCCTAATATATACTGGCAGGTCCTAGGTTCGAGCAAATAGAGCGACACTTGGGCCGGACTCGATGAATTCTGGAGACATTTCAGCTTTACTTCAGTCTGCCTCCGTTTGCCACTCTTCTGACAGATGTCGCCACCGGAGTAGAAATGGGAAACGGATGTGCGTTCGTCTGGAAAATTATTTATCATATAACTAATCACAATTCAATAGTAATAGTAATGTAATGTAATTTAAATCTACAACCTGTTCTTTATCGTTACAATGACTTTATCAACTGAGCTAACGTGCCAATGTAAATCAGATGAGGAATTTTTCATTATATACGTGTGTATGTATGTGTGTATATTAACTAACCAATAGGTTTTGGTGCCTTATTCCTGTTTTCCTTGATCCATTGCAAGTGTGTTGCCTCATCAAAGGTCCCCAATGAAAGTTTCTCAGGTTCGCCTCCTCGATGTTCGTGATACTGTATCACGTGACGGCCGTAACAGAACTCGTATTTCCACCAACCTGTACCCTGATAGTTAAAAAATATATAAATAAAATTAACTTAATAATCGTATTTAATAAAAAAAATATGTACGTCCATATAGTTGTAGAATTCGATCCAAATTGAATCTTGGACTTCGTTAGATAGGTATTATAGGAAGAATAGATATTACAACCATATTTGTATATCAAAATATAAATTTTCCGAAGTCGAACTTTCATGTACGAATCATTTTCGTTACGTTATTTTTTTATTATTAACCTTCAGCCTTCTTCTTCTACCCGGCAATTTCCCAGCTTTAGCCAAGGTCTGTCATACATGTTGTGAATAGTTTTGGCTAATTGTTTTTACGACCGGCCGACTGCCTGACATCAACCCTCTTTTTTTTAGGAATGCATTAATCAGTGATGTCTAAATACTCTTAGAAAGTACATATGACACGGAAAAATCACATTGGTACTTGCCAGGATCGAACCCACGCCCTCATACTGACTAACCACTGACTAACCTTCAGCCTTCTACAGTTGGAAATCAGGTCAAAATATAAAGTGCACTGTATATCACTTTACGGCAATACATAAGGCGTGTGGCCTTCACTATTTACTATAGTTCCATGGTATAGAGACGCAACCTCTCAGCATTCCATGTATTCACCATCGTTGTAGATAGAGGAGCTTCAACAGTGCCTGGGACTTGCGACTAGGTTTAAAGAACCCTTATCCAACGCGTTAAACGCTCACCACTGTCCAAGCTCCTCTCTCAACCTAACCAAATTTGCAAAGAACCTACTTTCGACGTACGTTCTAGGAAGGAACTGATGTTAGTTAGTTCTGAATATCCAAGTCTATTAGGAAGTACTTTACAAATGTTTATATGGCGTAAAAAAAAGTTAGGAAAATTCAGGTGTTTTAACTTACTCCATTCAAACACGTCTCTCCGTTCAAGAAAGCTTTTATTGCTGCTTCATCTCTAACGGTCTTTGGCGCTTCAATGAGAGGAACTTTTTCAGTAATCGGATCTTCCAAAGGATGAAGCTCGAATTTCAGGTGAGTTTCACCATCCTGTTAAATTATAAACGTCAATTTTACCACAGATTATAAAACATTTATAACTGACATTATAAAATTATTTATTTTTAATCTGTTGTGGAGTTATGACTATGAAAATAAAAAGGCTTGTCTATGACTTACGTCATATCCATTTATGACAGTATGCTACTTCCAAAATCAGGAATTATGCCATAATTTTAGAAATTTATTTCAAAAATAATTTAGTGCTTTTCAATTGAATAATAATCACATAAATATATAAAATTTATACATTTACATTATGATCATTGATATTAATCACAATACTTGCAAGATGCTACATGGTTTTAAATATCAAGTACCTAATTTTAATAATACTTACATATTTTTTATTCATCACTTTCCACAATTTATCAATAATAACAGAATATGTATTAACAGAAAAAAAAATTGTAGTAAAATTATATGTACACAAGAAAAGCTACAAATAAGCATAAGTAACATAACTATAAAGGCTATATAATATTCAACCTAACAAATATAAAAAGTATGCAACAAAATCATTACCTTATCAATCTTTTCAACTTTCAACACAGCAACTACATCCCTAGCTTCTTTATCCTGAACATGCCAACAAATGTTAATAAAGCAACTAAACTATATGTAAAATAAAACAAAAGTTACATAAAAACAAATCAAATTCAATAACAAAAAAAAACAAAACTAATCATTGACATATAAAACAAAGGAGAACAAAATACTCACCTCACTAAGTAATTTCAGTGTCTGATGTTGGAATTTCACTCTCTCAATCTCATTTTTCAACATATTTCTGGGCCTTATAGGGGCACCGTCCCTTGGAATGCAATCAATATCATTTTTTCCAACATCCTTTGGCTTGTATAGAGGGTGTTCACACAGTAACGGTGATAATATTATCATTTCGTATTCACATGTGGCTATCTCTTTGAATGAATACACCTCATGCTTGCCGTGACTGAAGCAAACATATAACACCCTTGTAAGACGAGGCTTGCCGCTGAGATCACATACAGTGCCTGAAAATATGAGTTTAATAATTATAATTCTTCAACCATAAAAACATATAACAATATCAAGTGACCAATTTACATAAGTATAGTAATTTTCTTATTAGTTTTGAAATAAATCAGTTTTAGTATTTAACAACATCATGTATAATTAATATCTAAAAAATATGCCTTAAATAAACATGCTATATAGCTAGCAGCGCCATGTATAGCTCAAAATGAGTATTTAGCTGAAATATTCTATAAACCTTACTAACAACATGATAAATTGCACTCTATATATTATTCTGATATATGAGCTATATTACAGTAAACTTTCATTCAAATTGGTTCAATACAGTTTTCTTAAACAAGTAACAAACATTGGTACAAACAAATTTATTTATACTATTAATATAAGTACATTACCATCATCCATCTTTAGTTCTATATAAGGCAGGTTCAATCCCTCGACCTTAGTAGTTTTAAGACTTGATTTGCTTTCCTGAGCAGCTTTTAATTCCTCTTCAAGTTTTGTTTGTTTCTCTGCACTCCAGTGACCGAGGAAATATTCTTGTGTCTTGATCTGCTTCCCTTGAAATTGTCAAAAAAAATTTGTTATAATACATTAATAAAATTACTATATAATATTGGATAGATACATTAAACGATATAATGCCTTTTGAAAGCATTACAGGCCTAAAAGTGGTGGTAAGAAACCAAGATAGAGAAAGGGGGCATGGTATAGAATTCTGGGTGGGATTTGTAATTTTATTTAGCTAGGACAAGTTATAGTGGTGCTTTAGAAGATAAATAAATAGGGATGTTAAAAAATATTTTATTCTTAAAGCAAGCAATAGAAAAAATAAGTTTGAGAACCACTGATCTACATATAAGTACATTTAGGTAGTTTAAATACCTTACCTACATACATAAGTTTAATATTTAGCACTACAATCTATATGCAATTATTTCTTTATTATAACAAAAGTGTTTATTTCAATAATTTATATTTTTTTCTAATTTATGTATAAAATTTAATCTAATATTAATAACTTTACTGTAATAGTAATTATGACAATAGAATGACCGTCATTTCCTCTTACTAAGTTCGAACCTACTTCTTAATTATTTTTAAAAGTTTATAACTTTATTTTTAATGTGGTACCTTCTCTCTCTTCATGATATTGTCTAATATACCGTCCATGGCACACTTCGTAGCTCCAATAACTTTCAAGCCGGTATGAACAAATTTTTTGGCTGAACAAAGGTTTCATAAGGTTTATGGGTGATGGGCCGTCATAATCCTGTATTCCAGTGGATTCTTTCTCCTGTAGTTCCGGTAAATAACAATCATATCTCTCCTTGTGTGATGTCACAACTTTAACAACATCTTTATTCTGTAATTTAAAAGAAAACTTGTATCACTATCTTATTACAGCTGATAGATAGAAAACACTTAATTCCTAAATACAAAATTTATAACATTATCACTACTGAAATTATGCCAAACTTACTTTAAATTTTTCTTCATCAATCACTATATTATTCTCCCCCGAGGGATAATCGAAATTTATACGAAATAATATACTGTCGTCAAAACCTTTTAGATCATGTTCAATACTTAAAACTCCTATTACACTTAATAATACTACCCATAAAGGTTTCATGATTATTATACAATAAATGGTCTCCGGGAGTATCCTAAGCTTATATTAACAATATTCATATAATATATTTTCTTTTATCCAGGTATCACAAATCAATACTTTTTTAGACTTAAAATTTTAAATATCCTTAAAACATGTTCAACTTCTCAGAGACATCTCTTCTTTTTAATTTGGTCGATTTATATCACAAATACCAACTGAGTTGGTGAATTGTCATTTGTCAAAATAACCAAAATACAACAGATTACGAAAATATTTCATAGAATTGATAATCACGAAGACATGATATGACATTACAATAATAACTTGTATAAATAATGGCGTAAACTTTTCAAATAAAAGGAATATAAACAAATAATGATTCATAAAGAAGACAAGTTGGTAAATATAATTTCGAACAACGATTAAAATTAAAATTCTTAAATTTCAACTTTTTAAATATGTGTATCATGCATTTTTAATCACCTAAGTTAGTTGTAAATTCAACTTAAAATTCAAACTTTACAAATATAAAGAATTCTTAATATTATGTATATGATCTTAATATTATTTCTATGCAAGTAAAAATTTCTTAGATGACTTCTGAATTCTGATAGCAATGACTTAAATTGTCAAACTCTATTTTGTCAAAATGGCGTTTAGCTTTCCAGCCTTTTCTTATATTATAGCATTAATTGTAGACGCCTTTTTAATATTTTTCAGTATATTCCATGTCATAGCGTTTGATGAATTAAAGACGGATTATAAGAATCCAATTGATCAGTGCAACAGTCTCAATCCTGTTAGTATTTTAACTTATTAGCATCAGGCGGTGACTTGCCAATAATTGTTTATTATATAAATTACAGTTGGTGCTGCCGGAGTATTTACTGCATTTACTGATAAATCTTCTATTCCTGATTTCGGGAGAATGGTTTTCATTACTTATAAACGTTCCATTGATCCTGTATCATATTCACAGGTAATATAGGTTATCTTACGAATTCTTACTCATCAGAGTCATAATTTACTTAATTGACAATTCATCATCTTAGATCAGCCTTTGTGATGGAAAAAACAATAAACTAACATCATTAATAAAACCAATTTGTAATATAATTGTTGTTATTAGAAGATTTGATCAAATATTGTATTGTTCCAGATATCGCACAAGACCAGTCATGTCTGGTCCAGGATTGTATGACCCTACAAGTATAATGAATGCTGACGTCCTAACAGTGTGTCAGAGAGAAGGCTGGATAAAATTAGCATTTTATCTGCTATCATTTTTCCTGTATCTATATGGGTATGTATTCTAAATATAACAACATATTGTGTTAATGATAGTATAATTATGGTATATTAAACATTAAAACAAAGTCAGTGGTGGCCTAGCAATTAAAAGGCCGGCCTTTCATACACGAGGGTACAGGTTTGACCCTGGCCCTGTCAAATAAAAATGTGACCTTTCCGAGTCATATGTACTTTCTAAGAGTATTTAGACATCACTGATTAATGCATTCCCAAAGACGGTTGATGTCAGGCAGGCGGCCGGTGGTTAAAAGCATTAGCCAAAACTATTCACAACATATAAGGCAAACCCTGACTAAAGCTGGGAAATTGCCTGGTAGAAGAAAATATTAAACATTAAAACATACTGAAATACCATTTCTACAGCTTTCAATGCTTCCATAGTACATAATATTACTATGTATTACTCTGGAAGAATATATTAAACACTTACACTGTAATGAGTATAGTATAAGTTTTGAGATATTTTATCAGTTGCTATCACATAAATTGATATCTTAGTCAAATATTGTAATATAAAATTATCAATCTTTGTATTTTCAGAATGATTGTGGTGCTGATTGCAGTCTAGCAGATAAATTATGAACATAACAGAACATTATTTATTAGATTCCATAGACCATAACTTTGGCTGAAGTCTTTACCGAAGATGTAAGAAAAGATTCAAAGTTTATATGTGTGTGATTTATAAGAATCATACTTGTGAGCTAAATGAAAAGATTTTTGCTATTTATAGTAGAGAATCATCCGTATGTTGTGTGTTGAACAAATATTTGTTGTCGCTTAGACATAGTATGTTGTGGAATATTTTAATAATAAATTCTCAACTTTTAATTGTCTCTTATTTATTTCTTTATTCAGTTTCATAATATTCAGTTCTTTATAATTTTTATATTGATATTTGCAAATTCTAACATTATAATATGATATCTGGACAAAGATTTTATATAGTTTTAAGAATTAATATAATTTACATATATGAGACAAAACTTCTCAGCATTTCATAGAATCAAAGTATGTTTGGTGGATCACCTATTTACACTTAACACAACAATATCTGGACAATTTGGATTCATTTAAATGAATAGTAACGAAAATCTTAGATATCATTATTTATTACGTCAATATATCATTTTGCTATATTTTTTTATTCTAATTTTTACTTTTATTTTCCTGCTGAATTAATTAGAATCTAAAGCAAAAACATAAGTTTAAAATCATAAATATTTAAGTAAAAATAAGAAAATGATTTTTTATTTTGGACAACAAAAAGTAGATTATAAGGTATTTACAATCTGTATATTAATTTTTAGTGTTTGATATTTCCTTGTGGGCTTATATTAGCAGAGAAACTGAATTAATCTATTCAATAACACACATTATTTGAGCTGATTTGAGCGGAATAATTTTCCTCGAGAATCAATAAAGATTCTAGATTTTCTGCTCCGTTGTTTCATAAGTAATGGTTCTAGATGTGTATGAAAATACGTTATAATCAAATAAAATATATATCCAACAAAGCAGTAAAAAGTTTGTTAAAGGCGTAAATAAATTATAAATCAAAACTATCTAATTTTCTAAAAAAATACTTCCTACTAATATTGTAAATGCGAAAGTAACTCTGTTTGTCTGTCTGTTACGCTTTCACGCCTAAACCACTGAACTGATTTTAATGAAATTTGGTACAGACATAGAGTTGACCTTGAAAAAGAACATAGGATTTTTTTATCCCAGACTTTTGAAAGGTACTCTTGGAAACGCGATATAAACGAACTCCACGCGGGCGGAAAGCTAGTTAATTATATTTTTATTTCTAGTCATATGCAGAGTATACACCTATAATGATACTTCAGTTTACTTTACCTTGATTATCATTATCTTTGGTCTTCTCAACGTAATCAGTTGATATGATATAAAAGCTTATCGCTAACCTATTAAACTATTTACCAAACATACTTAAGTATCCTCTATAATTTCTAGTGTTTCATTCCATAATTAGTGTAACCTCTACCCTTGTTTGGCTGGATTCCAGGATTAAAAAAGAAATTCAATGATTGATCTAAGTTCTAAGCTATATATGGTACGCGAATGAAAAAACAATAAATAATCGGTCACTTGATAAGGTGAATCAAGAATTCCGTTACACGTTATTGAGCTTCAATTTCAATGTTGCATAACGGTACACACGCTATTTATTTGTAACAGTATTAAGGTCAAATTGACGTGTATTTTTTATCTTCATTCGTTTTGCTCTATTAGGAAAATTATTTAAATAAAATATAGAACAGTTAATTATTGTCATTTTCATCACTTTTATATATAGTAAGATATTACATCTATCAAGTCTTAAGCGGGTTAAGAATAAATATTATTAAAGAATCTGTAATTGCTTTCAACAACACAATCATTGCTAATCGTTTTAACAAATTAATTGCTTAATCTTTAGTTAATAAGTCAATTAGTAAATCGATTAGATTAAAATCGATTTTGAAATGAAAACACGAATTTCTTTTTTATCTGTACTGTATGCAAAGTCAGCTGTAGGCAAATTAGAATATATATTTTGAAACGGCTCTTTTTTAGGTAACATGGTAAGGTAAGATGGTAAGATCAATTGAAATTACTCTGTGTGAAAATAAAACATAGGTGTGAACCTATGTATTCATTAAATGATTACTATTTTTCTAAGTGTAATTTAATGTTTTCTACATAATAACGCATTTAGTCGGGTTCTCTTAATATTGTCTTGTTATTGTTAAATATGTAGAGAAAATGATATATCCGCTCAGAAACGATTTCAACCTTAATGTTCATTATTAGATGAAAACTAATTAATCATCTCAAGATTACATTTCGCTTAAATACACAATCAAAACAAATTTAGTTTACCAAGAAAAGTGACACAAATGTTTAAACGAAAGATGTGAAAAGAAAACAATAGAATTTTTCATTTATGTTAATTGAGATATTAGACATTTTGAAAAGACCTTCATAATATTTATCACAAATGTGCTGTGTAATCTAAACTAATTAATAGAATTGGAGCGTCTGTAATATTAAACTAATTGATTTTTAATATATGTAAATTGTAAATGTATACACATTATCATGTACCAAAAAAAAATATTCAACCTTTTTTGTCTGACTCTGTTTTTCCGGCTAATCCCTATAGCGGCTGGACTGACTAATTTTATGTTGAAAAAATCATTTCTTTTTATCAGTATTTAAATAATAACGATTATTGACAAAGTCGCATAACTACGCTAACATCAAGTTTCTAAAATATTGGTTGAGCTGATCAGTAGCATATTTGATGTGAATTTACAATTTTGTAGATATATTACAGAATTAAGAATAATGCTTTCGTCTATGCTCAAAAAGTATATTAGCTAATAAAATATTGTATAAGTGCATGAATATAAAATTAAAGTATTGAAGTTTTCCTTTTTTGTCAGAACTGACTGCTTGACAAAACCATGGTCTTAAATATTGTATGATCATCTTAACGGAACATTAGTACGCAATAAGTTAAAAAACTTCGAATAATATTAGTATTATTGTTCTTTAACATATATTTTTATGTTTTTAATATGTTAATAATAAAGATATGTCTTTATTAAGTGTCATCAATAAAGAACAAGAGAGTTATGAGGACAGAGACGTAATACGGTTTTTTTTATCAGCATTCAATTTTTAACTTAATGTGAATAATAATCGTGAATAAATTACGCTATCTAGAGTCTAGACAATAAAGTATTTTATACACATTCGTATATAAAAATTCTGTGTGTAATATATCTATATATTTAATATGTATGTACATATATAAGTAGGTATACATATACATTTTATATCTTTGATTGAATATGTTAAAATAATTAAACGAAATAAGGCTTTCTTCGCAAACTTAATTTTTATTTTATATAAAAGTTTTTCTGTCACATTTACCTATTACTTAATAAAAATGTTTTACTCAACACGATAAATTTCAACACTGATTACAATCAAACGACACGTGCCTGTCTGTTACACCATTAATGCAGTTGTTTTTATATAAAAAAAATAAGTAAAAGAAATATAACACATTTATTATCCGTACTGAAAAACCATGCAAATTATATTTACAATATATTAAACACGTAACGTGACGCAGTCAGTCTGAAAATAACCAACCAGTTTGATTCACACGTTTAGAGCAGTGTTCCGTAGTGCGAGCCGGGAATAGGGCGTACGATGCGAGCGTTTATTTATTTCGCCGCGATAATCGCTCTCTCCTCCGTCCAAGGGGGACGGATTCTTGGACTCTTCCCGCACACAGGCAAGAGCCACCAAATGGTCTTCGAGCCGCTATTAAAGAAACTAGCTGAAAGAGGACACCAAGTCACTGTAGTGTCGTTCTTCCCCTTAAAAAAATCAATCGCAAATTACACTGACGTAAGTCTTGAGGGGATCGCGGCTTTAGGTGTGGAAACTATAAATCTAGGATGGTATGAGAATCTTAGTTTTTGGACAAAAATACCAAAAATTGGTAGAGTAATCCACCAATTGTCTGAGTTCCAACCCTTGGCGGGACTGGCGTTAGATGTTTGCAGTAAGGCTGTAGATTGGGTTCCTTTAAAGGAAGCTATGCAGAAGGATTACGATTTAGTGCTGGTTGAGAGTTTCAACAGTGATTGCATGATGGGTTTGTTGCATATATACGATATAAAGGCTCCAGTAATTGCATTACTATCAAGTTCTATGATGCCATGGTCATCGGACCGTATCGGAGTAACAGATAACCCCTCTTACGTGCCAATATTAAGTTCAACCTTTACCCCGACAATGAATCTAATGGAGCGAATTGAAAACACGTTCCTCAACGCCTATCACAAGATATGGTTCCGTTACGCAATACAATTAAAAGAACAAGCACTCATAGAAAAACATTTTAGAACTAAAATACCAGATCTGGATATATTATCACGAAAAATAACATTAATGTTCGTTAATACTTTCCATGCTTTGAATGGTGTAAAACCACTTGTACCAGGAATTATCGAAGTTGGGGGAATGCACTTAGATCCTACGAGAAAGAACATACCCGAGGTGAGTTAATAATTACTATTTACGAAAAAAAATTAAAATCCATTAAACGGCCTTTATTCCTTTATATGGCTTCTTGTTTCTTCTAAACCAATAATACAAAGGCTAAAATAATAAACAAACAGGTTACAATATAATAAATACCTATATTTAGGTAAATACATTCAATATTGAAACTAAGTAAATGACAAACTATAACATATTTCATAAAAACATTGTTATACAATGTTCTTAGTTCTACCTTCTTCGTATAACATTTGTGTTACCAGAATTGTCAATGCCAAAGTTATTGAGAATCAATTGGTTAAACTGATGAATTACCAATTAAGGAATTGGAACTAGGCAAGCATTTATTGTTCAGTACCATCCATTCCCTATCAGTGTATAATAAATTCGTCTATTATGTACATATATGCATAATGACAATGCAATATAATATAGTTCAAATAATAATAATAATAATATAAGTATAAAAACTATAACCGCTATACAAAATGATCGTACCTATATAAATTAGTCCTTTTAATTACTTCTTAAACACTTTTTCTTACAACGAACGCTAGTCACATCAATGATCAAGGAGATGTAATTTCCATTATTACACTACCAACATACTTTTTAAATTTAATAAATGTCTTTTTTATTATTATGTTCATTCAAACGACTTAGTATGTCATTTAAAATATTTATGAGATATTATTGTCTCCATTTTTTTATATTATTAATCTTTATAATATTATATTTTCTATGGATAATTATTATTATTTTATGATGAGTAAGATGAAATATAACTAGCACAAATTATATATATATTACTTGCCCTTGGAACGGTTGTTAAAAAGCGAAATTAAATCGTATGGCACACATTTTGCACTTGGTAGCGTAATATCTAAGTGGGTAATGACCCAGTGTTAAGGTCAATGCACACTGCAGCACTGCATCGTTTATATGTAGATAGTTTTATAGTGCAAACTTGTCTTGAAGATACTGATAAGTTGAATCTCGTATAATAAGACTAATAAAATTGTATATTTATTATTGCTATTAAGTAGAGACTAGTTTGGTATTATAAGAATTTTAAAAATAACTACATATATATACAGGGTGACTGGTGAATTACTATCCATACTTGAGGACGTGATATTTGACGATCATATATGACAAAATAAAAATTAATATAACATAAATATTAAATATTAATAAACTTCTAAGTAAAGTTAACCAAAAGTTATGTAATTAATTACGCATCGTGTGAACACCCTACAGATTAGGTGTACACACACACAAACACGCGGGCGGCGGCGTGTTGTTGTATCAGCACGCCGCTGCACGCGTCCACACTTGGAACACTTGGAACGTGTCCACACTTTATTTATTTATACGGAAATTTGGTCAAAAATTAAGTACCTATTTTTTTTACATAATTTGAATGAGAATCGTGTACCGAGTATTCTCCTTAAATATTGATAGTAATTCACCAGTCACCCTGTATATATATTTTAAAACATTTTTTATATCAAGTGAATCTTACTCTTGAGCTGTCAGTGATGTAGCTATCACTTTGAAACATCTCATAAAACGTCATAATGTTGTACTAAATTAAAAAAGATATTCATGAAAAATATGTTTTTGATTTTCTTTTTGAAGTAAAACTTCATTATTTCAATATCATCATATTTAGTCGCATATTTAGTCGCAACCTCGACTAGATGGAACGAAAAAAGTTTTACTTCAGTCGGGTGCTCTAAATCACACTGATTTTTTCTTTTTTTAAATATTTATATACTAGGTATAATCTATGTGAAAATTCAAACAAAGTAATTTATTTTAAAACCATGAAATTAGTTTGTTGTTAAACTAGAAGATAATTAGATTAAATACGTTTCTGAGATTCTCAACTTTTCTACAGATCATATAATAAACTAGCTGTTGCCCGCGACTACGTCCGTTTGAACATCAGAGTTGTTGTTTACCACTAAGGCCACGAAATCCATCCGTGTGGTTTTGTAGTCAGGGTCATTGTCAGGGTCGGGATCGAGATAACAGTTAAAAAACTTCGTGCGTATAAAAAAACATGTCAGAAGTGAAACTTCTTTGCACGATGCGTGATACGAGGTTCGCTCTCTCTCACTTTTTCTCTCAATCTTTCTCACTTGCTTGCTCCCTACTCTCACTCCACGGCTAGTTGCTTCATGCTACGATCGCCCTGTCTCACTCTCTCTCAATCGGTCTCAATCGCTCTCTCTCTCTTTTTCGGCACTTCCGTTGCAAACCGGCGTGACGTTACATCTGTAAAAATTTTACCCCCACGCGCCTAAACAAGTTTCACTTCAAAAATAATACTACGACCACTAAAACCGAATTGCACTTCACGGTTCTATCAGTGTAGTTTTGGGATCAGGATAAAAGGTAGCTTTTGTCTTTCTCCAGGGTCCATCAATCTGTATAGCAAAATTCATCCAAATCGGCTCAGACGTTTAGGTGTAAAATGTAACAGGCAGAAAGAAAGACGTACTTTCGCATTTAGAACACATATTATTAGGTATACCATTCTAAGATCTTAATTTAAATTAAGTGATTTGATAATTTCAATGACAACTTCGTTATTAAATGTATGTGTTTAGCAACTTTGTTGTTAAATGCACTTAAGATATTATGTTGATAAAACTCGAGGACATTTTTCAAGACCTTAATTGCTCTACTACATTATTTTTCTACATAAATAAGTTTTCGATTTTACTACTTGTATTTCAAAGTAGCAATTTTTAGTTTTCTCGATAAACGGACTATCCAACACAGAAATATTTTTCAAAATGAACCAGTAGTTCCTGAGATTAGAGTGTTCAAACAAACAAACTCGGCAGCTTTATTATATTTGTATAGATAATAAAATCTTTAAATTTTTTGTAATTTTTAATAATTATTTTATCGTTTTTCCTTGTTTATATTTTGTATTATATATTTTTTTTAAATAAGATAATGAATAAAATAAGTTAAACGAAGTCGCTTCTTATGTAACTTTAACTGATATAACCGTATATGAAAGAAAATGAAAAAGAAAATGTTCTGTGAATGACGCAATACATGAACAATGGCTACTTTTAAACACTACATCCATAAAATTAAACTATATGAGAGCTCATATAAAAAACATTAATGTCACAAATTAATATAACAAAATAAATTACTTACTTTTTAATACATAATATTCGTATGACTTACTTTATATACATCTTTTTTTATTGACCTTAGCGACGTATTTTAAATATATAACAATTTTCTTATATAACACAACAGTTATCAATTAATGTAAATAATAACATATATCAAGATAATAGTATGGTACAGGCATTTCTGTAAATAGCTGGATATATATAGATGTATACGTACTTCGATAATTTTGCACAGTCCACTGCAAGTCAGTATAGTGCGGGCGCGCAAGATGCTTCTAACACCAATCATTATATTGTCGTTGTTTTCGTTACCCGACGATGTGCATTGTGCGCGTATATTGGGCCTATTCCCTCATCCCGGCAAAAGTCACTTTATGGTGTTCGAGCCTTTACTGAAAAGATTATCCGAATTAGGACACCATGTTACAGTTGCATCTTTTTTCCCACCGGAAAATCCACCAGATAACTACACTCACATCACGTTCGATGGAGCCGCTGAACCCAGATTGGATATACTGGATTTAACAACGAACGATAATGTACATTTTATTAGAAGAATACCCTTCCTCGGTGGGATTATCAAGCAGATATCGGATTTCAATCTGTTGGCTGATCTAGCGTTAGCTATGTGTAAGAAAGTCATAGAATTTGAGCCGTTATCTAAAATTCTAAAGGAGGATTATGATTTGGTGTTCATAGAGGTTTTTAACAGTGATTGTGCTCAAGGTATCCTGCATCAGTATGGAATTAAAGCACCCATTGTGGCTTTATCCTCGTGTAGCATAATGCCATGGGCATCGTATCGTATAGGAGTGACGGATAATCCGGCGTATGTGCCTGTTATGGGCACATTTCATACTCCAACAATGTCATTATTACAACGGATTGAAAACACATTTATGTTGATCTACCATAATTTGTGGTATCGGTACAAAGTCCAAGTGAAAGAACAGGCTATAATTGAGAATTATTTTGGACGAAAGATGGAAGATTTGGATTCACTGTCTAGGAATATATCATTGTTGCTTGTTAATACTTTTCATCCACTGAACGGTGTTAAACCACTCGTACCAGGTGTGGTAGAAATAGGAGGGATACATTTAAATCCAAATAGAAAAAATATTCCAGGGGTAAGAAAAATAAACCTCAGCTATTTTTTTTTATTTCGCGATTAATCTTATGATAAAAGTTTTAAGGATGAATCCCTAAGCAGGATTATTATATTATTAATTAATATCAATTCGAAAAAAAAACGATATACTTTTTAAAAACTAAAAAAAAATTTCATGTTTTTTTATGTGATATATTGTACCTAAATATTTAATGTCAATCTAATAATGCGAAATGCCAAAATATACATGCATAATATGCTATTATTAAATAATTTGTTAATGCTTTTAAAAAACTGGTTATTTTTTTTATTATTGTCATAATATAAAAAGCAAATAGTTTGAATTAGAGATTTAAAAAATAAAATAACAAGATTCCTAATGATACAATTATGAAGAATCCTTGTCATACGCTATGTATGTAAATGTTCACGCCTTTTTCTTGTCTTTTACTAATGATTTTATAGAGATTCAACAGACGTATTATTAATTTTTATGTAACGTTCTAAATTATATATTATTGTATGCAATTACTATTCAATTCTTATAGTGGTAGAAACAATCAACTATTTACTGATTCCTGCAATTCATTGACAATGATCTTTTGATTACGATTGTCTATGGTTGTCGAATTTTTTTTTATACATATTTTATGAATTCATTGAAAATGATCTTCTGATGATAATTGTCTATGGTTGTCGATTTTTTTTTAATTTTGCAGCAAAAGACATAAATCTCCACATAAACTCTGCCAATGTTGGCAGCCTTGTTCCACATCGGGAATATTCTGGTCTATTGTTAGTTCTGACGATTGACTTTTTGTTTACAACCTCGAACGTTGAAATGAAAATTGGGTTAAATTTATTTTTCAGAACGTAAAATACTAGTCAAAATATATATTACAAATTTTGTAACGAAACCGGGTTGGCACGTGCTAAGCTAGTGTTATTTTTTAGAAAATTAATTTTTTTATAATAGAAACGAGTTTTATATTACCTAGAATAAAGTTAATATTTCAGACTAACTGGTTTAGCGCCATCCATATTTGGAAAAAAGACGTCACAAAATTTTATATGTAAATTGAATTCCCAACCTTTATTGAATCCCATTTACATTGATTATATTCAATAAAGAAAACGAAATGAGCACACGTCTATTGTAGATAATTTACCGAAAATATTAATGATATATTTATTCCAAATACATTGAATTAAACTGAAAAATTTCTTTACACGTGTAACTCTCATTACGACAGTCATTTACATATTGTAAAAGTTAACACGTGTATTGTGACTGTTTTAATTTACTTTGAATATTACAAACACTTAAGAGTGATATACTTCATTAGATAGCTTATCCATACAACGCCCAGTCTTATACGCAAGTAATGGCCGTAACTTATCGAGGTGACATCAAGGGTCGTCTAATTAAAAGAAGATAGGGTACTAACTCATAATATAAACATATAAATTGATAACATTTTGATATATTTAATATATAAAATGTCTAATGATTTATAGTATAAAATGTGAATAATATAATTGATAGATTAATAAGACGTTCCTTCATTTTTCTATGTTTTAAAATTTAGTTTTTCTGTATATATGGAAAAGAAAATTCTAATCGATTGACACATTAAGTATCTAGTATGTAAAAAAATATTATGATTTTTGTTCAGAAACAAATATGTAGTTATAATTTTAACCAAGATACTCGATGTATATAAAACCTTTTTTTTTAGATTTTGAATTTAAAACCTATGTTTAAAACCGAACTTCTTACGTTAAATCTACCATAAAAGGTTACTATTCAGAGGCCTACACATTTTATTCGATATTTATTCCAAAATTTTTCTTTGAAATATTTCAGAGATACGTTATAAATAAAATTATTTTATATTTCAGTACATCGAAAGATTTCTGAACGAATCGAAACACGGCGTCATCCTATTGAGCTTCGGTTCCCTCATCAAAACATCAACTATACCTAAGTACAAGGAGGACATCATTATTAACACGTTATCAAAGTTCAAACAACGAGTGATATGGAAGTATGAAGACAGCGACCCAGAAGGTACACTTGTGGGAAACATTCTGAAAGTAAGATGGTTGCCGCAATTTGAACTTTTACGTAAGTTTTCTTATTGCTATTACTGAAATTTCTCTCTTAAAACATAAGTACAGCCCTAAAATTGTCATTCTAGTTACATATGTGTTTTTTATATGCTACTAGCTTTCTCTCCGCAGCTTCGCCCGCGTGGAGTTCAGTAATATCGCGTTTCCATGAGAACCTTTCAAAAGTCTGAGATAAAAACTATCCTATGTTCTTTCTCAAGGTCAACTCCATCTCTGTAATAAATTTCATTAAAATCAGTTCAGTGGTTTAGGCGTGAAAGCGTAACAGACAGACAGACAGTTACTTTCGCATTTATAATATTAGTAGGAATTGTAGACGGAATGAGAATCTCACCTATATATTTATATGTAACGAAATTTAAATAACAATAAAAGAATGATTTGTACTAACCATTTAAAACTATCAACATGTTAAGGTCTTTGATCTTTATGTAAATAAAATTAAAATGCAATGCTCACATTGTTTAAAGAAATATATGTAGAATAATTTGTTCCACTTAAAAAACAATATAGTTATGTTTGTTTATGCACGTCATCTTGTTGGGTTATTTCAATATTATTTTAAGTACCTATATAACTATTGAATAATTTTGTGTTAATTGCCTACATAAAGATATGAATTTATCATAATGTCTCCATTTATGGTTAGTATTTATTACCTCAAAATATTTGAAGAATTACTTTTCTTTCATCTACATGGCATACATATTTTCTTTTAAATGAAACTAATATTTTTCGGATATATGTATTGCGTGCTTTATTTTTGTAAAGTTATTTTTCAGTAACCGTAATCACGGGCAGACGAGATGTGAATATCTGTCAATCGGTTTTGTTATTTATCACCTACCGCAATCGATTTTTTTACTTTTCTGGCGTACCACTCAGGATGCCGGCAGAATGCGCTTATATTTTTATTAATATAAAATTCCATGTCCAGAACCACAAAGTAGAACCTCGTGAAATCGTATATTTATAAATTTTTGGGTAAATTCGTTCCGTTCACGACATGCAAAGAGAACCAAGCCCGTAAAGCCTGAAATATAGATAGTTCTTACGTCACACATAAAACAGCTAATTAAATTAAGTATATAAAATAAAAGTTTAGTTAACCGGAACGTTTTTATAATCTGTTTTCTCGGAAGCATCTTATATAATGATGTCATTAGGATAGGTTTACATAAGTAGATAACGAAAAATGTACATAATACTTATCTTAATTTGTGACTTGACGCGCACTTTGTTCCTGATATATTGAAACTATATATGTATTATAATAATTCTAGAAGTAAATAGAGAAAATCTCAATATTTATTCGACTAACATCTTTGTTATAAAATTGTGAATGCTAAGATATGCTACTATTTATTATGTTGATTCATTATTATAGCAATTATGCTAAAGAAATAAAAAAAGATAATATTTGTTCCACCGTGCAATAAACTCATATTGCGAATTTTATCCGGGCAAGAGTAAGAATATAAAGATCTAAGTCTTTCGCGAGCATTCATTTAAATAAAAATTATTATTACTTCGAATCAGTATTCATCAGAAAATATAAGTTTTATAGTAAGTGGTAGCCTAGTGGTTAAAAAGGCCCGCTTCTCATGCACGAGGCCGCGGGTTCGATCCTGGCCCAGGCAAGTACTAATGTGATTTTTTCGAGTCATATGTACTTTCTAAGAATATTTAGACATTACTGATTAATGCTGATTCCCAAAGAGGGTTGATGTCAGGCAGGCGGCCAGTAGTAAAAACAAATAGCCAAATTTATTTATAACATGTAACGCAGACCCTGGCTATAGCTGGGAAATTGCAAGGTAGAAGAAGAGAAAATATTAGTTTTATTTAAGACTAAACATATTGTTACAATCAATACGTCATGTAATAATTGTCATGATTTACAGAACATGAAAAAGTCGTGGCTTTTATAGCTCATGGTGGGTTGTTGGGTATGACGGAATCCGTGTACTCTGGAAAGCCGATGGTCGTGGTGCCGTTCTTCGGAGACCAACCCTCAAACGCCGCGGCCGCTGCTAACGCGGGCTTCGCTAAGATCATCTCTTATGTAGACATGACAGAGAAGGATTTGGGTGATGCTGTGACGAGCGTCTTGAGTGACGAGTGAGTAAATAAATTACTTTATTAATTACCTTGTAGGGAAAAGATTCAAGTTGATTTTTAATTTTTGGTCGTATATGCATATGCGTATACGTATATTTTTTATAAGCTTATATAAAATCTTATGTCAGGCGGTAAAAAGAAATCTTTTATATTTCATACCTTCAAACATAGTTTTTTTTATTTATCTACAGCATTATCGTCATATACATTCTATTAGAAGTTTTCGACAAAGATCTTTTCAATTATTTGCCAATTTATATCTACATTTTTGTCGACAAAACTGGTACGTAACTATTTTACCATTTTCGTGTTTCGTTCAATAATAACTTTTTTTCTTTTTATTTTTTATTTACTAACCACTTTTATATAAACAGGAATAACAAATTCTATTAATTATTGTTAATGCCAAAATTTAGACAATAATTCACATTAGTGCATTTTTAATTTCTACCAATGATTATACAGGGTGACTGGTGAATTACTATCAATATTTAAGGAGAATACTCGGTATATGATTCTCATTCGAATTATGTAAAAAAAATAGGTACTTAGTTTTTGACCAAATTTCCGTATAAATAAATAAAGTGTTGACATGTTCCAAGTGTTCCAAGTGTGGACGCGTGCGGCGGCGTGCTGATACAACACCACGCCCCCTCACGCGTATGTGTGAGTGTGTGTGTATACCTAATCTGTAGGGTGTTCACACGATGCGTAATTAATTACACAACTTTTGGTTAACTTTACTCAGAAGTTTATTAATATTTATGTTATATTAATTTTTATTTTGTCATATATGATCGTCAAATATCACGTCCTCAAATATCGATAGTAATTCACCAGTCACCCTGTATAAGTAATATATTTATGATAAGCGATAACCGAATAACAAATAATTTTATAAAATAACCGATAAATTGCAATGTACATCATTGCATTTTTCTAACCGATAAAAGTGCATTAAACTTCGATGTTACCGTACAATACCTTGGAAAACAAAGTTATCGTGTATTTCTTAAAGGGCAAAACTTAATTTAAACTTACATAATATTCCCCTTACATCTATCTGTATACGTATGTATAAATATTTTGCTTCCTATTACTAGGCAGAATTATTTATTAAAAAGTTCATTCACTTAAAACAAATTACGAATAAATCAAATATTCATTCAATTCAAATTTATTAATTTTATTCCACGATTGTGTGTAATAGGATTGGCGAAAAAGATTTTTTAACCAACTGAATAATGTACTTATGTCCCTATTTTGACGGTTGTCAGAATTCAAGACGCATTTAGGAAACGAAATATCATTAATAGTCAGATATACAGAAATTTTCTGCCTTTTAGAGTAATGAAATAATCAATATTAAAATCAAATCAACTGAAATATCTTTCTAGAAGTTAACATATTGACATATTCAAATAAATAGAATATACCTTTATACAATTTTCTGTTATTGCTACGTCATGAAATTTGACAAGAAATAATGTCATGAAACACAAGTGTAGAAAAAAAAACCGTTACATCACGCGATATATGTAGTTTCGTTTTTAAGAGTGTAATCATATTTGCACTGATTATTTGAGATAATCGTTTGTCAATTAAAAGTAATATTTGTCAAAGATTATTTTTTTGTTGAAACGATTTTGGGGATTTTAGAAAGTCTGATTTATTTATAATAAAAAAGTTATTCAAATTTATCACTTATGTATTATTTGATCCGTCGGCCGTCAAGTTGGTAATTTTTTAAATTAGCTTTCCGCTTAGTTTTTAAAACTGAATTTTTTTTTATAACATTTGTTATTATCTTATAAAAGTAATTTTTGAGACGCTTTGACCGTATATAATGCAAAAAGACAAGAGATCTTATTTTTAAAAATAAGAAAAACTTAAGGCAACATACATACTTTAATATTCTGCCGATTTCATTATATTGTTCGTTAAGCTTTATGACATATTCAACATAAGTAACACCACGCACAAACGCAGTCAAGATACAAACCTATATTATATATTTACATACATAACATAATACTTAAGAAATATAGAACATATGTAAATGTCATATTAACATTACAATTGGACTATCAGCAAATAGTTGATGTTTATTTAAAATACAATCAACAACTTAAGATATTATTTCAATTCTATTTACAGTTTAAATTCTATTCAATACTGTGAATGACTGATGCTTAAACATAAAAGGAATATTTCATTTATGTAGGTTAAGAGTTGTGACAGTCAAAATCACTATATTATTTATGGTAACCCTTCGACGTCATAAATTTTTTGATAAATTAAAAAAATAAACAATTAAACCTCTTTTTTCTTTAATTAATTTGTATGTACTGAAAAGTATTTACCAGTCTTATAGTCTCAGTATTTTCCAAAACAAATATAAGTTATAATGACGCTATTATTACGTTTTCTGAATTTAAACGTGTCTCTGATATTAGCATAACAAAATATATTTTTCATAACAATTAAGTTTAAATATAACAAAAGTTTAAATTAGTTTGTATATTATGTTATTTATTTAATAACTTTTGGTTATTTTTAATTTTATTCGTTAATTAAATGATAATTAAAATTGTATAACACCTACTTTATAGTAATTTGAAATAGATATACCAACTCATTGTATCGTAATCTATTTTTAAACTAAGAGCAGTGTATCTGGAATTATGTTAATTTCAGAACGACGCCCCTCGCGACCTTGATAATAGATGCTCATAAAAAAAACAGTCTTTGCTGTTGATTTTAAAATCATTTATTATTAAATTGTTAAATATTACAGCGAATAACTTCACTTTATTCTTATTAATCTAAATATTCTAGTATATATATAACATGATTTTTATTTCAGAATGCGACAGAACGCACGTAGAGTTTCAAAAATGTGGCAGGACAGAGAGTCAGCTCCACTTGACACGGCTGTATACTGGACGGAGCGTGTTTTAAGATGGGGACACTCAGGTCAACTTCACACGGCCGCAAGAGACTTGTCGTTGTATGAACTTGCCCTTATAGATGTTTTTGCTGCGTATGCCCTTGCCTTAACAGTTATTCTGTTGTCTATGTGGTTCATTCTCACAAAGTTGATGAGGTTAATTATGAAGGAAAGTAAACAAAAAATACATTAGAATTATTGTATATAATATTATAATATTATGGGTGTAGTTAAGTATTATTATTTTAATTTAACCAAATAAAAACCGTTGGAATGTTCACGGTTAAAGTCAATAAAATACTTTTTAAGTGTTAAAATGACTTATTATGCCCAATTTTATAGTGAAAGTAATACTTTATTATATTTAAAGACTTGTATGTAATATTTTGCATTACCAACTTCGGGACTCTTTCCGTTTTGTTTCATAAGAATTTTGACTAAAATATTTTTACGACTGGCCTTAACTTTGATTTCAATACAATTTTTCGATTTAAAAGTAGACACGTTGTATAAAAAAATACGTTTTTAAGTTGTAATTGCGAGTTCCTAGAATGTATAGTATAGTTGTAAATTGTAGTATAATATTTTATATTATGTGTATATATAAATAAATATGAAGTGTCTTTCAATTTTACTTTAAGGTTTATTACTTTCCTCTTACCACCTGTGTATTGTGAAACTAAACTCGAACAGTTTCATAGTCATCAATCTTAGTACGTGCATAATATCGACGGTAAACAGAAAACCGTGTTAATATTACACAGATTTATGGTAAGGGTCAATAATAATAATCATTAACTTGACGATAGATATTTTCCAATTAATTTTGATTCATTAAATGTTAAATATTTATATATGTAGTAGAATTGTTAATTCATTATGTTCAAGAACGTATTTTTAGGTTTTAGCGATGTTTTTGTAAAATTATCATTTTTTGTGTTTTTATTACGCATACGAAGGAAATGAGTTAAAAAATGCACTGTATTTTTAAATTAAAGTTCCGATATTATTTCCCATCTACTTTTTTCTTGTTATAATAAAAAATTCGTAGAAACACAATTATGTAAGATTAAGAAACAAAGAAGATCATTTAAATATTGAGTACAACAAAAATGCCAAACATTTGACCAATTAATGTTATATCGTTTAGCTCAATAATAATGTTTTATAAATATTTTATTGCCATTTTATGATTTACTGTTGTATAATATTTCATTCATTAAAAAAATTATGTAATATATCTATGTAAATGATGATAATAAACGAATTTATTTTATTTTATCCTATACTAGTTTTTGTCCGCGACTTCGGCCGCGTAAATTTCGGTTTTGGTAATATATGTATAGCTGACCAAGCGAACTCTAATCCGTCCAAGAGGCCATAAATAACCAGATATTGGAGTTTATTCATTTTTTTTCTTTTTCGATTGAACAGAATTGAATATCCTATGTCCGTCTTCTTGTTTAAGATATATCCCTGCCAATTTTTAACCACATCCCTATATCCAAACTTGAGTTATAAATAGTGTAAATAACACAACTTTCTTTTATATACATATTATTCTTGTATATAAAGCATAAATGCTAAAATCAAACTTAATCCACAGACCACGCAAACTTGTTCTCATACATTTCGTATGAGATATTTTTCTCTCATGTTTCTATATAATTAAATAGAATTATAATTTATATTACTAAAACCTTTTTTATAGACGACTATACGATATAATATTACATGAAAAGTACTATAACTACAAGTTGGTCGAGTTGAAAGGGGATTTTAATTAAATAAAACGTTTAGAAACCATTTGATAAATTTCTCCTCAAAGCTTATGAGTTTGAACTAGAATTTGTTTCTTTACACTTATTTCATCGTTATAAGGTATCACGAATTGGTTTAAGGAAACGTTATTAACTATTAAGAGATATTTAAACCTTCTCCATGTGAGAAGAGGCCTTTGCGCAGCAGTAGGCTCTAATAGGCTGATGCAGACAACGACTTATAGGCTTTAATTAATGATTCTTATAGAGTTTATTATTAAAAATTATTTGCCAATTAAAGTGACTATTTCTATGCTAAATAAACACAATACCTTTCAGTCTTCCATATTTGTCGTAGAAAAAAAAAACGTAACGTCATTAGCAGTTAGGTTCAATGTACCCTGTAATATTAAAAAGTATAATAAAGTTCATTAGCGTACATTTATAAAAAAAAAATTATAAAAAAAATCCTAGACAAAATAAACCTTTAAATATAATCTGTATATTAAATATTTCCGAACTTATATATATTCGTATAAATAAAATTTAAAAAATATTATAATTAGTCAGAATTGAATGAACTCTGAAACGACTCGCTACAACCTGTCAAGGTTACATTTTGAAGGCTAACGTTAAATGCAAAAAGATTGTGACTTTTGGAGATTTTTTTAACTTTCATTAAAATTAACAATTACAAAACTAACTGAACTTGGTAGTACAACTTTTTTATGTAACCCAACCTTAGAATTAAAATCAATTCATCTAAAACAGGAATTACTTTCTTTCTATATTTTATTAATCTAAGAATTATATTTTATAAAAGATATAATAATTCATAAAATCATATGGATTTTTTTTTTCTCTACTTACTAATAGCTTCTTAATAATTTAGAGCATAATTTCAAATCTTAAGAAAATATATTTGAAAGCAGACGTGCCAACAAAATATACATATGTAATAAGATCTCTTTGGTTCTTTGATGTCATAGAATAAAAAAAAAAACAAGAGTGTAATCATTTATTTAATTTCTTCGGCAGAACTTGCGCCTGCGTCGTTATACCTGCAAATTTCTTTTCGAAGGTTTCAATGAGTTTGTTAATTTTATTTATTTAACTATACAAAGTAAAAATACTATTAATTTATACCTATTTATTTGTATAGTTTTAAACGCTTAATTCCATAATCGTATACAGACAGTATACATCTACATTTCAACCTCTAAGTACTTAATAGTATTTATTTGATTAACAGGGTCAGTAACCATATTTAAAGGTAAGGATATTGTTGCTAAGTTTCGCTTTAACAATTTCTACCTCTGCAAATACGCTTCTTGCTGCAGTTGTGATCGGGAAAGTGAGCGGGCAACATGTCTTCCATAATATTTTATTTATTACAATGTTTATTAATTTATAATGTGAACACAGCAAATATTCTCGGATTATTCCCGCATACAGGCAAAAGCCACCATATGGTTTTCGAACCATTACTTCGCCGGCTCGCGGAAAGAGGTCATAATGTTACCGTGGCATCATTCTTCCCGATGGATAATCCACCAGAAAACTACGAACAGATAAGTTTCCTGGGACTGGCTGAATTGAGACTGGAATCTTTGGACTTGGAGATTTTTGAAAGGACAAATTTACTCCCAAAAATACCTATCATTGGTAACGTCGCTAAAGCCCTCTCCGCGCTTCCATCTTTGGCTAAATCGGCCTTGGATGTTTGTGAACGTGTTGTCAAACATCAAGAATTAATACAGGCTCTTAAGAACAAATACGACGCAGTCATAACCGAAAATTTTAACAGTGACTGCATGTTAGGTCTCCTTCATGCGTATGAAGTAGATGCTCCTGTAATTTCCATACTATCTGGAACACCTATGCCCTGGACCGCTCAACGTATTGGAGCTGATGACAATCCGGCTCACGTCCCAGTAATCTTATCGGATTTGACTTCTAGAATGTCGTTCACGGAAAGATTGGAAAATACTCTAATCAATATACTATCCAAGTATTTGTTTTACCATGAAATACAAACGAAAGAAAGATCGTTCATTGAGAAAAGATTGGGAAAAATTCCACATCCACACGAACTAAGTAAAAATATGTCTTTGATATTATTAAATTCGTTCCATGCTTTAAATGGTGTTAAGCCGTCTGTACCTGGGATGGTGGAAGTTGGTGGGATTCATTTGGCAACCGATAGAAAACCTTTACCAACTGTAAGTAAATTATTTTATAATATAAATATATTTTAAGTCTACGTTCACAATACAACAAAATTTCATTTAATTCACAGTTCATTGAAAAATTCGTCAACGGATCGGAACACGGCGTGATAGTGTTCAGCTTCGGTTCACACATAAAAACTAAAACACTTCCTAAATACAAAGAGGAGATATTCTTGAGGGCACTCTCAAAAACAAAACAAAGGGTTATATGGAAATTTGAAGAAAGCGACGAGGAAGGAACACTAATTGGAAATATCCTCAGGGTCAATTGGATTCCCCAATATGAACTACTAAGTAAAATAAATTGAAATTTACTATGAAGTTTAAGAATAAGATCTGTATTTAAATTTCATTATAAGCATTAGAAAATAACAAAAAATATTCTCTATCACATTATTTCGAAAAATTATTTAAACATTCGCAAACTCATTAAAAACCAGACACAATACTTAAATCATTCTTGACATTAAAAAATCGACAGATACTTGTTGGGAAACAAAAAAAAACGAATTTCTATACCATATTTCTCTTTTAAAAAATCTCGCTTAATTTTTTAAATAATATGTATTAATAATTACAGACCATGATAATGTAGTGGCTTTTATATGCCACGGAGGTTTATTGGGAATGACAGAGGCTGTATCTTCAGGGAAACCAATGCTCGTTCTACCGTTCTTTGGAGATCAATTCACGAATGCCGAAGCCGCAAGCGAAGCCGGGATCGCGAGGGTTGTATCATACAACGATCTCTCTGAAGAAACCTTTACCAACGCACTAAATGAAGTATTAAGTGCACAGTAAGTAGTTTTAGAACAAATATCTTTTATCAGAAAGATTACTATCTATGTAAATTGCGCGTTTTATTCAAAAAACATATAAAAAATATTTGATATTGCTATCAGCTTACGTATTCGTAATCGGATATCTACATATTTTTTTAAAATATATAATTATAAAATTAAATTGGACAGTTATCAAGGATATTGTAATAGTAATATTTCTTACCGATTTCGACGATTATCAACAAGGTCTGCAAATTTTAATATATATTATAAGGAGCTAGACTTAAAAATTACAGCTCTATTAATAGATATTACCGGTTCCGACGAAATATTACGAGCGTTGATATCGCAAATCTTTATACGTAATTAGATTCAACGTCTACATGTCATAGATTTAGATGAATGAAAGTGCTTTTAATTCAATGCTATCTGGTTTTAAAAGGTTAGTTCTAAAAATAGAAACATCTAAATTTATTAATAGAAATCAAAATATAACCCTTGACAAATGACTTAATAATAACTCGAATTAAATTTATGATATGTAATTTTAATTTGAAATTTAATATCGATAACGTTCTTGTCACATTTTATTAGGTAAACATACTTTATTCATTTACTAAATTCTTTAACAGTAAAATGCTTTGTTAGACAAGAAACAGCTCGTTTTAACACAAAACGAAGTAACTTTAAAAATATAACTTAACTGATTACAGAATTTATGATAAGTACATAACAATAAAATCAAATTTTAAACAAAATATTGATAGTATATACTTTTATATTGAATACATATTTACAACAAATTATGAGAAATATGGAAAGATAATAAAAAATACTTATGATAGTCGACAAGATAACAATTGTATATCTATTATCACCTGTTAATTCTTTCTATTTGTTATTAAATCTAGGGCATCGAGTTTTTATTAGGTACATATCCTATAGTATTGTCATTGTCCTTTTGTAAACAAGGTTACTCATATAATTGACCTTTTCATAACAAATGTTAGAAGATTTTGAAGGAAGAGAGAAGTTTTGATATTTATTAGATGAACTGAAATTGTTGTTAATCTAATTATCTTGAAAAATACATGATGAAAGTTAATAAAAAGTTGCCAGATTCGAAATATTTTTGGTGTACAGAGATTTTCGTTTAACGAATGGAATACTCAATACATTAATACGAGCTTTCCCCTTTAATTTTGGTTTGTTAAAGAATCTGATTCCTTCGAACCAAGTTCTAGGACATATTTCTAACGATTCTTTCTTTTTTCTTTCATGATGGACGTCATTCACCATACGTACACACACGCGCTATGCTTTTGTTCATATATTTTCTGTCACTAAAACATTAAAACTCTCTAGGATATTTCATTTTTTAATCTCTTCTCCTAAGAAATTAAATCTTTCTTAATATGTAGGATCTTTTTATAAATTTAAAATATTAAATTTATAAAAAGATCCTACATAATAATTTAGAAATTTAATTTAATAATTTAGAATAAAATATTTTATTTAAAAGGACAAGAACGTTTACCCTTATACGTTTAATATTTTAATTCAAACACATCTGTTATTAACAGAACTCGTGAAACCGCTAAGAGATTATCGAAAATTTGGAAAGACCGGGAATCTTCACCCCTCGACACAGCTGTTTTTTGGACGGAAAGAGTAATTCGATGGGGGAAGGCAGCGCCACTACATTCTACATCAAGAGATCTACCATTCTACCAACTAGCGCTACTAGATGTTGCTGCAGCTATTATTGTAGCTACTATTTTATTTATTACAGCCATATGTTACATTCTAGTTACAATTTTACGTGTTATTTCAAAAAGTTCTAAGGAAAAAATGCATTAAAAAACAATGTCTTGAATGTCAAGGTTACTGTAAGTTGTTTGCCTTTTTTTTACTTTCCATTCACTTGTTATATCCGTTCTTGGTTGTTTTTAAGTTCCTATTTACTCTTTTTTTTATTATTACATAAATAAATATAACCTTACAATAGCTACTTATTTTTGATATATGTAATTATTTTTAGTTTCTAACTTATTAACATGTGCCGCTATCACCTTAGTAATATAAAAAACATGACATAATTGATTTTACTTTTTTGAATTGCTACCATCGAATAAAAGGGGCATTGACCCCAAGGTGAGTAGAATATCTACACGATAATTCCGTTCATTAAAAAACTAGAAACCTAAACAAACTACTTTCATTTAATAACACCTATTCCTAGCGCAGGTTACTATGGATACAGTATTTTGTTAAATTCACATTTTAAATACCTAAATGCGTGCGGGAGCGTTTTTAAGAAAATGCCAAGAATATTTTTTGTCGATCACTTGTGGTCAATTATACTTGTTAGTGCATACTGTTCACATGTCTAATTAATAATATTATGTTATTCAACTTACGTTATTTTATTGAATTACGTTTATTGAATTTAGATAGAATGAAAAACAAATACAGCAAAATATATTAAGCGTTTACCGATCGTTTAAGAATTTATTTTTATTTTTTAATTTCACTAAAATGTGGTAAAATCAAAATATTAATGGTAAACTTATTTTATTGCCTTATCTACTCATATACGAATTAACAGTTGACTAATGTCATTTGGGTTTTGCCGCCTCATATTACAATCGTTATCAATGTCATTATATTTATTTCGTACTAGTTTTTGCCCGCGACTTCGTCCGCGTTAATTTCATATAATAGTTATATATGTATAGCTGACCGGGCGAACTCTATTCCGTCCTAGAGGCCATAAATAATCAGGTTTTTCCTGTTTCAATCGAACAGAATGATTGACATATTAGTTAGTTGTCAAATCTAATGTCAAAGAAAACATTTGTATGGGAAATAGAAAAGGGCTGTTTTTAGTGTTTTCCCGAAAATGAATCAATTTTTCTCACCTTTTAAACCTTCCCTGAACCTCCACGAACATTTCAAGACTAAGATAAGATAAATCCGTTCAGCCGTTCTCAAGTTTTAGCGAGACTAAAGAACAGCAATCCATTTTTATATATATATAGATGAAAAACTTGCTTTTACATACATTTTATTTCGAAGGCGTCTAAAATAAAGTCCATATTAATTTATCATCCCAGTATTGACAGTCATTAATTTTTTATGTAATTCATAAGTAGGTTTATGTTTGTTAAATACTGACGATACATTCGTTTATTTGTATAAACTATATACTATTTTCAGATTTAAAAGAACCTTGAGTTTAGATAGCAACACTAGAAGCTCAATAATTTTGAAGACATGAGCCAAGACGACGGTGCATTATGAAAATGGCCACTTATTTACGAAAATGTACATATAGCCTATTGATGTTTAGATATTATCATGACACACATACTACTTCTGCCCTTTTGATATTTAAAAAACTATATGAATTATATAATTTATTAGATTGGGTAAATGACAACTTGAAATAAATAAATAAGTAGGTAATTACTTTTTTTTTGGCATTAGTCTCCGTGTTAGTCCTGTAGCCTTGACAGCGTTTTACTCTTTGTTAGAAGACTGATAAATTGTAATAAATACATATTTTTGCAGTGAAACTTCTTATGCGACTTCCAACAAGGTTGCATTTAAAGTTTTTCGCTACCATGGACGGGGAAAAGAACAGTTGTGTTAAACGTTTAACCATCCTTAGTTTGGATAAAAAGAGACGCAGCGAGAGTGAATGCGCGGTGCTCGAACGTTATAGTCAGTGTTTCCACTAGAACGATTTCTTTTTCCCACACTTCAATTCAGATTTCCCCTTCTACGGACTTATTTCCCCTCAAAAATTATTTTACTGTAGTTTTGACACCACACGCCACACCTAAAATTTATCGTTTATTTATCGTATTTATGTTTTATTTACAGAATGACCAGAAATATATAAAAACAAAAATTGAGTTGTATACTCATTTTTTATTCCAAATCAGTTAACGCTTTCAGCGCATACATTTTTGCACAAAATAATATTTTACGTCTCCTCCTCAAAACCCTCATTTATCTTTGATTTCCCCAATTTCCCCTTTCATAGTCTTTCCCCTTTTCTTTTCCCTCTTGACCCTAATTTCCCCTCAATTTCCTAATTTCCCCTCAATGTGGAAATACTGGTTATAGTCATCAATAGATGTGAATATTTCTCCAGTCGTAAATGATAGTTAAAAGATGCCATCAATTATAAAATGTAAATCACTGTTAGTAAAGTTTGTCTTAAAACAAACAAACAAAATGAGTTCATTTATAATCTCACAATTAATTTACTAAATTTACGACCTAAAAAGCAATGACGCTCTGTTCGTGACGAAAGTTATAAAATTTTAAAATTGGCGGTTATTACATGAACGCATTTCACACAAACGGCAGCAGATGGCACTATTTTAAAAATTCTTTATATTTTAAGAAAATTTCATTGTATAGTTTTTAGTATACTTCAACTCGTTGAAATTGGGCCTTACAATAAATTTGGCAATATAATTATTGGCAAAGCAGTTCCTAAGCTGCGCTTTTTTAACATCTTATTGATAAATAATTGATTTAGAATTTTAGAACTCTTTATTGCTAATAACTACTAACTTTATGTAGTATACTTGTATTCTATAAAGACTAAATTGACCGTAGAAATTATAGAACTATTGGATAGTGTAGGGATAATCAAACAAAATTATGGTACAGCTTTGTAATTTCCAATACATTCAATTGCTAAATGTAAAACAATTTTAATATTGCATAGCACTAAATGTTTCAATGTTCTACAAGCTGAAACTAATTCATGAATATTTTCTGAACGGTTTATATAAAAAGCTATGTAATTGAATTGTATGTTAACATTTTCTGTATATTATAACATTGTTACAAAATGGGAGCAATATAAAGAATTATGAAGCACATTCTCTTTCGAGTTTCTTAATTTTGAGCGGCAGTATATTCACCATTTCCTGACACAGACTGTATTCTTCATACATCATTCCAGCGGCATCCTGATCACGTTTGCAGATGTCAACGACTGCTTGATATGAATCATAGCTCTTCTTAACATGATACAACTGTATATTTTTGTCCAAAGCGATCCTCTTCATACTGTTTCTTCCTATGAAAGCGTATGCACTAATAACAGGTCTTATCATATCAAACTCTAATTTCGCTGGCATATCTCCATTTTTGTCTTTGACTGAATTCAAGAAGTGATCGTAATTCTCAATACTTTTCTCACATAACATATTAACCTTCTTCAACAAATGTGGGGTCGGTTTTTCTTTTGATTTGTTAAGCTTGTCTAGTTTTATGTTCAGAATCTCAGAGTATACTTCGCCTAATTCATACCACAACTGTCTACAGTACTGTAAATAGTATGTTGGATTTATTTCTTTGATTAAATCTTCTAGCATATCGATTCTTCTTTTATGCATCTTAGCCCTCCTTTCATCGTCTTCTTCAAAAAAAGCCAGGTATGAATACGACTGAGAACTATCCTGAATGAGTTCTATATAGTCTGAAGCTAATGAATCCAGTTTATAATATTCTTTGGCTTTGTTCAACCAGGTTTGGCAACATAGGAACACATCGCGTGCATCTTGATAAGTTAGGAGGAATTTATCAACAATTTTACTCTCATACTTTGTAACATCTAAATCTTGGAAGATGAGCTTCTCATTGTCTTCTAACGCCAAGTTTGACATATCTGTAAAAATTCAAATCATAATTATTAATTAGGTATATTAATTTTTGAATATAGAACAATTATAAAAAAATAAATTTATTGAGAGAAACAAAAAATGTAATTTGAGATTAATACACTTTTGTGCATTTTTAGCCTTTTTTAGAATTAATTAGAATGCCCCAACTAATGACCATAGGGAAAAATCGTTTTTTTACTTATTATAGAATAAGACCAGGAGTTTAAAAACTTATTTTGTCTACTCCCCTCTTAGAGAATAAATTATTTTATAGTTCCCCGATTTTTCCCTTACTGAAAAACCATTATAAGTTATCCTAGGTTGGGTTAGACCCACTCTTTATATTAAAGCTATATAGCAATATTTACTTTGACAATAACTGTGTAACTAAGAAATTTGTAAATATTCTAAGGCTGCATAGTAATTATTTTAATGAATACATTTTTAATCAAATATACCTAGGACATTTGTGCCTGTAATACTATCAGGGAGGTTATCTGCATCACTCATGAGCCTCGCTTTTGAAGCAGTCATAAGAAGAAGACAGTATTTAGCCCAACATCGAGCAACATCAGCAGATCTATGTTTAAATGTTTCCATTTTAGCCAGGTATGCATCATCATTGCTCTCAGATTCAAGTAACTTTGCTTCATACTGTTCTAAAATCGTAGAAGCAGCTGCCAAATGATGTCTCGACTGGAAAAAGCCGTTCTGTTCAGCAAAATATTGGGATAATGCCGCAGAGTTTAATGACCATTCGATGGGCTCGTAATCAGAATATTGCAATTGCCGTCGCAAAGTCACATGACAGTATATAGCAGACTTTAAGTTTTCCTTTAGAGAACCATAGATTTGAGCCATATAGTAGAGTGTTAATGTATGAGCTTTCTCCAAGATCATGAAATCACCAGCAGCAATTTCACAGGTGTTGCTTATAATTGATTCAATCGGCAATGGCATTTGTAATGTACATTTAAAATCTTCGTAAATCGATTTTGCTTTGAGTAAAAACGTTTTAGCTTTACCTGGTTCATCTCTATTAGACCAAAGAATACCAAGATTGTTTTCTATGTTAATTAAAGTGATCACAATTTCAGGTCTACTGGAGTTAGGTGTGAGAAGATCCTCAGCTTCCCGTAGAATGGTCTCGCTTGATGTGAGCTCCTCTGTTTCCATATCAATAACACCTATGTTCAGTAAAACTGCCCCCAACATAGAATCTAGTTTTATTTTATCCAAACTTGTATTCGTATTTGATATTCGGCTTAACGCATCACGCATATTGTTTAGGATTTCTTTAGCTCTGTATTTTGATAAATAGGGCTCGTTCTCGGGATCATTCTTACTATCTTCATCTAACAACTTTCGGACTTTAGCGTAGTTTTCTTTAAAATCGTTTATAAATTCTTTGTCAGACATATCGATAGCTACTATCCTACCTGTTTTTTTATATCAATATAATTTATTAATTGTATGTCCCACACGTTTATAAGCTTTTTCTAGTAAAAGCCTTAAAGTAAACAAAATTTATAAAAAGAAATAATGCATATACATTTAATTTGAGATTTCAATAATTTCAGTTTCACATTGACATTTGCTGTCAATTCAATTCTGATCTCGAACTATGAAATATATATTTTTTTCAAAACAACTTATGGTTCATTTTATAATTAGATATACACTTACATATTGCGTGTTTATTATTATTGCAGTTAAATTATTAACACAATAATAGAATGTAAATTAAAAATTATATTTGTAAAATAACTTTACATTTTCGTTTTTTAAGATTCCAAAGTAATCAAAATTAATTAGTCAAGGTTTTATCGTATTATTCAGATTATTTCAACCAAAACTTATACTAATATTATCCATGGCTTTTAAACTAAAAATGTGTTGATATGAATTAAAAAGACGTATTGGATAATCTTTGTTAACTTGTCGAATATTCCTCTCAAATAAATCCATTACCCATCACTAGTCTTTAACTTTAAAACGGGCCAATGGCCATGAAGTAAGCGCAAGCCAGTTACCACAACTCACAAGGAACCTTGCTATGGATTAGTCAGAGAACGTGTGATTAAATTTTTATATACAAAGGACAATGGATATTTGTTGATAGCAAATGAAACGACACCTTAATTTGCACTGTTTATCTTTAAATTCTATTTTTACACCATAATTATCTACGTAATAAGACGTATAAAACGTTTCTCAATAAGTGCAAATATAAACAAACATTAGTTTGTACTTATGATTTTACAGCATTCCACATTAGAGAAATGCAAATGTATAAAACTAAAACATTTATAAAAACGTAGTACTTACATCTACAATTGTTGCTGTGTAACTCCCTATGCTCCCGTAACCTTTAATTTAATTTGTCATAAAACAATATAAAATCTCATTTTATACTTATGTTTTACTACAAACAAGTAAAGGCGAAAACGTACAACTTAAAAGAAAAAAAAAATCGATATATAACTGAAACAATCCAAGTTTTCCATTTAAATTTATACCTATTTATAATTTATTACAACGCATTTGAATTAGTTATTAATATTTCTTTAAGTACAATCAAGAGTAACTATTACTTTCATTATTTCCATGTATATAACACTATTAAATATTTGAAAGGTAATTGTTAGTGATGATTGTACATAAAAATTTACATATTTATAATATGATATCTTAATTTTAATAATTCCTTAACACCAGCGATTCTCCGTTATAAATACACAATGAATTTACAAACAAATATTGATTCCAATACTAGTATATTAATTAATAAAAAAACTTTTACATTTTATTATCAAATGATATGCACAGCTAATATTGGACCAATATTTACAGCTATACACAAGATGAATGATATTAAAACACTTAAAAAATATGTCAAATAGTCAAATTATAAAATCATTAGCATGGAAATTCTTCAATTCGGGGCTTTATAACAATTTATGTAATCAATAGAACAATTATTATTTTAACATAATTAAATATCTTCAAAATTAACTTATATCTAGCACGAAATATTATTAAATAACTTAAACACTTATTTATGGTCACAGAATAAAAAAGTAAAAATCAACTATATTTATGAAAAATACTGTGTTGTATTGTTATAGGCACTGACAAACTTAGGATTAACATTGACCATTCTAAAAATCTAATGCGATTTTGCCGTTATATTAAATCTTAGCAATGCTATTTCTTTAGTCATATATTGAAAAAAATAATAATAAAAATGTCTATTTACAAACTATTGATAATGTTTAAGTAATAATTATTTGTCAATGAAACTGTAAAAATTTAAATGAGTAAAGAAATAGCATTTTTTTGTATGTTAGTCATAAACATTGCATTCTATATGAATGGCGAAGCTGTGTATATATTAGGAAACAACGTCTGGTTCTTGATCCTCGATTGAGAGGGTCCTTGGAGGTGTGGTATGGGCATTTAGTTGAGAGAAAACTTCTTTCTCTCCCAAAGCTAAGGGATCTGGCTGGGTGGCCGGTGAAGGTACATACACCATCATAGGCGACGGTGAGACAGGTCGGACAACATTAGCAGCCCCCGTAGCCTCCTGTTCCTCCAAAAATCTGTCCATATAATCAGTATGCCCGGGATGTAGTGTGTACTTTTTCTTTTCTAGTCTCGTCTTATTAGCAAATATATCATGTCGTTCAGTTTTTTTCCAGATATAATAAAATTGTACTAGCTCCCCAACAGATCTCGTCCTCACTTTCTGTTGGCGTATTAAGTGGAAGTCCTTGCCGTGAACTTTGATGCCGTTTTCAAAGTTTCTACATTCTTCTTCTGACCAGACACTGGCATGGGCGGGGGTTTGTGCTGATATCCTTCTCCTTCTGAGAGCCTCCTCCACATTATGTCCACATTGCTGCAGTAAGAACAATGCCTCTTCGTCATCTCTCAGCTGCTTTCCTCTGGGCACAGCATCAATGCCTGTACCGGAGTTCATAGCACATATTTTTCTCATATAATCTTCTATCACCTTTTCGTCAAGGACACTTGGGTTCCACAACAGTTTATCTTCATTCTCATAAGGCAAAGCATCATCGTAGCTGCAGAGACCTTCCGGTATGCCAGCTTGGTAATCACTACCAACCATGATAGTTTTTTTCCAGTCATCCTCATCGGGACTGTAATCGTAATCATCTTCTTCTTCAGAAGGAGGCCTTGAGCCAGAGCGAAGGCACCGTGTGGCTTCAGGACTCGTGGTCTCAGTGTAAAGCTGCTGCAGAGCAGACTCAGCTTTCTCATTCTCCTCCGGCACCACCTCTGGTGGTTGTTCAGGGCTTGCTTTATCCATACCTCTGTTATAACCGTACAATGCAAGTAATTCCTCTAAAGGCATATCACCTTCACGTTGCAAGCTATTAAGTTCCGCTTTCGGATCTTGTTGCTCGCCTGCCGCCAAAGCTTCTTCTTCGTCTAATGTTCTCTCGTCGTCGAAATCATTTACCATCATATCAATAGTCGGCTCGAAGAGGGATTTGTCGTTTCCCACATCCATACTAGCATCGTGTTCGCTTACACTGGTTACCAGCGCACAGTCTGACATGACTATCACAACAACTTGGGAAGAATCTGCTTACATGACATGACCACAAAATGAAATTAATACATTCACCTAACAAAATTAATAAAATAAACATTAAAAATATACCACAATTATCACATATTTCACTTTTAAAAAAGAAAAATACGATAAACAAAACAAAAATATTTTGACACCATAGTACATGAACCATCAACTGCCAATTGTGGTCAAGTGACACATGTCAACAAAGCGTAATGAAACTTCAAAGTTTGCGATGCAACTTATATAATTAACAAAATATATATTAAGTTGTACCAGAATTAATAATAAGAGAGGCATGTAATTGGTTTTCTAGACAAATTTGTTTAAAAATGTAGGATTGCTTAGAAAAAATTGCTATATTATTTTATTCTCCAAATGTCTCATGTAATTTCTATGATAATTTAAGCTAAAAGTTTAAGTAGATGATAAATTCTGTTCTATGACGAATCTAGAATTTCTAGGCTAGAAAGAACGATAAAAAAATATTTTTTGATAAAACTTAAAATTGTTAGTCTATAAAGTCATATCGACAAATCTAAAATCACAAACTAACAAATTCTGTCATTGTCAAGCATGTCCTCTTTTAGTCTTAAAATGTTTTAGTTTATAATAAATAAATAAGAATAATGTTTTGGAATAATTGTTTTACTACAAAATAAACTTTAGCTACTCAAGTGTTAGTAGCTTACTTACAATGCTGCGGATTGCGTTTTTAGTATTTGCAGCTATCGTTAAAGTAGCCTTTAGTTTTTCCGATGTAGGAAAATGGGACTTGCCTTTGAACGGGGTAAGTATTAATTTTATTTTCGTCACTCAAAACAATAGAACATTTAAAATCTAAAATTATTCCATTTCGCTCATAGCTAGTAGCTACATATTTAATATTATTTCCGATAATTAATATTTCTGCCATTTAGTAGATACTATCATGTGACTCACAATATAATGTTTTGTTATCATGTAAATGATTTTATTTCAGGAAAGTTGCAATTTCACATTAGCTAAGTCACTATTTAAGGATTCTCAATTGATTATAGCATGTAAGTAATAATTAAACATGTCCTTTAAATGTATTGTAACATTGTTACCATTTAATAATGGTAACAATATATTATTTATTTGGTATTCAATAATGAGACTATTAAATTTAATATGCATCAATTCTATTATTGATAAAAATGTAATTTTTAAAATAACCATGATGTAAAAAAAACAAATATATTTATATAAATTTTGTATTGTAAAATTTACTCTATAATTTTTCAGTACACTGTGATGTTGCTGTACCGACTAACATCACAGTTTCATACATTTGGAGGCAAACTCCCTGCTCACCTGACTACTTCCATTATTTTGAAAAGGTCTGTTATTCATACACTAGCTTTTGTTAGTTTAAACTATCTACAACATAACTAGAATAGATTAGATTAAGTTGAACTGTTTCTACTAGGATATCTAAATGGAGTATCAATCTAAATACTTGATGTAATAACTGATAACAGTTCTGATTCAATGAATACAGAAATATTTAGAAAATTTATATCATCATAATGATATTGAGGGCTTTTACGAGTATTGATTTAAATTAAATTAATATTTTGTGTAACATACTGCATCTTTTTAATTATTGTAAAAACTAGATACTCCCAATATTTTTATTACTTTTCATCAACTAGATTTTCAAGTTTAATAAAATTATCTGTTTCATTTATATTGTATTAAGGAATATAGGTTTAAATTGGTGGATAAACTAAACTATATGTATCCAACAGTAATTGAAAATTAAATAGTAATAATTATTTTCAGAGAATCGTTGAATGCACAAATGTGGTCGACAAACCACTGATTGATAGTAATTATAGCACACCTCAAGTATTAAATGTTGTCGAGACATTCCTCTGCAACGGCAAGAATGTTATTTATATGTACAGCAATAAACCAATAGCTGGTGATAAGAAAGATGGACCTATTTTACAACAAGTGAGTTAATGTATTGAGATTTTGTATATGTATATATTTTTATTCTTGAATTTATAGTAGTATAAATTGGTACCTACATCGAAAAAAAGGGAAACCTCATATGTAGTATAATTGTTTATGTATGTCTAATATATAGTTTAAAAGTTTGTGGTAAAATTTAAACAACTCAATAGCTACAATGAATATTATAAACAAGACAAATAAAACTTGCCTTAATCTGTTGTAATATATTATTGAATATACATATAATATATATGTATTTTTATATTTAATTGTAATTTTATTCCTTTATTATACTTCCAGCGAGCCCCACTCTTGACGGTTGACAGGGAAGGCATATACGCACTGTGGATGTCAGTGCGTAGTAATGTCAAATTCCAAGCTTCTGTGCATGTAGAAATGCTATCGCCATCCGGCTATATATCCGCAGCTTTATGGCCCTTACTACCGGTAAGATTTTGTAATTAACTAATTATTCATTGGTATATCTAATATGCCGGACCATCTAGAAAACTTTCTTAAATTATAAGTATAATAGAAGACCCGGCGAACTTCGTATCGCCCTATAATCAAGAAATATCTGTTACGTTTTTTTATCTATATTTTTGGAGTTTACCTATTAAAGCCATAAATCTCCGTGTTTTGAAGTGCGACAGAATGATTGACATATTAGTTAGTTGTCAAATCTAATGTCAAAAAAAACGTTTGTATCAACAACTACTAATAAATTAAAAAATAATTAAAAAAACATTGTTCAGCGGACAAAATTGTGAATCTTAACCATTCCTAGATCCCCTTGAACAAACACAAAAAGTTTTATCAAAATCGGTCCAGTCGTTTGAGAGAAGTTCAGTGACATACACACTCACAGAAGAATTATATATATAAAGATTATTATATTTTACTTCACTAAATTGTCGAAAATTTTGACTACTTGTGTTAGACTTCATATAAACATAAAAATGTATATTGTCTCAGTTGACAAAATTGCACAATAGAGGAGCCACTGTCTATGCCGAAAATTGTCACTCTGTTCATAATATTATAGTCTCTTTTGTGTCAACTGTTTGACCATTCTTATTTTCACCCAATTCCATCAACTTTTACTTACATAAGAACCCTATTTAAATCATTTGGATTATGATCATTAAAGTTTAAAATGAAATTTAAATCAGAATGTATAATTTAATCTATAATAATTGCATATAAAATAAGTAAATGCTAGTTACCTGCATCCTTAATAGTTTTAAGACTATAGTTCAAATACTTGATTATTTATTTACTTGATTGGTTATGTGTGTGTTAATTTCCAGTTCTTTGGTGCTATGTGCGGTGTGTACACTGTGATGTGTGCCGGTTGGCTTCTGGTCTGTGCTTTGCAGTGGAGGGATCTTTTAAGGATTCAGTATTGGATAGGTGGTGTTGCACTTCTTGGCATGATAGAAAGCTCTACTTATTATGGAGTGTATTCTTCTATTAATAGGACTGGGTATGTATACAGATATAACTCTAAATTTTTAGACAAGATGAGAATGCTATATGGGTGAACATACACTATTTGAATTCCATTGGTCTATAAAGAAATTTTATATAAAACTCATTATATTATTATCTCTGTATGTTTAAACAATAAAGAATATGGCATTTTATCTGGACCACAAAGACTTGACGATAATTATTTATTTTATATTTTTAATAATTTACAATAGTTAAAAATGTATACTCCTCTGGCCTTACAATTTATGAATTGTATGTAATGAACTTATGGTGAAATACTTTCAAAAAGTATACAATTATGTTTTTAATTTAATGTGGTCATACGCTTTAATAAACATCGAAACATATTTTAACAAAATTAAGACTAAAAATAATTTATTATTATAAAATAATATAACTTATTGTCGAGTCATCTGTTAACTAGACGTAAATAGACGTTTTTTTTAATATTGGTCAACTTTCTTAGCTAATAGTCAATGGTATGACAATACCCTGCTTTGATTTGTAACTACTCTGGCAACAGTGTCACTCATAACACATTTAACTCTGGTGCTTATAAAACTAAAAAAAAATGGAATAATCGTCTGGCCCCTGTGATTTCTAATTTTAATATAGTAGTCAAATAAATAAATTATAAATATTAAATGGAACAATTTCCTTCTGGGACACGAAAAAACCAAATAGCGTATATTCACCCAAATACATGATCCATGCAATGAGTATAAGAATGCAGAACGCGTGGTTAGAGATAGATTTTTGCACCCCATTAGCACTAAAACAGCGCTTTAAGTCATGACTGGCGCCGGCATTGCTAAAATGTTATATCAATGCCTTATATATTACTTTTCCAGATTAGATTAATTTAGTAAGATGGGGTTAAGGCTATGTATGGGGGGAACATATCATTGGAACTGTGAAGCATTTTCTTGAGGGATGTAAAGTACTCATAGTTAGCGGTTAATACTTGCGAATTTTAAAGCGCTTTATGTTAATAGAGCTTACATTTCCTTGGAAGTTGGGATTATAACTTTTCCAAAGACCATGCATTCAAAGTCAACAAGTAGTAAGAGTTCACTAACGAACTCATTAAGAAAAGGTTTGTCTTAAATTTGTACACAGTAGAAATGGGAGCGAGAAGTATAACACCTAAATCTCTCTACGACTTACTAAAAGATTTGGTCCTGCTAGAACTCACATTAATTCATTCTTAGAACGAAAATCGAAGCCAACCTTAGTAGGTTCTTTTCAAATTTGGTTAGGTAGAGAGAGGAGCTTGGTCAGTGGAGGTGAATGTTTACGCGCGTTAGATAAGGGTGCCTTGAACCTACACCTGGGTCGCAACAGGTACTGTTGAAGCTCCTCTCCAATACCATAAAGTTTAATCAAAGTCCCTTTAGTACTTTTTGTTAAATAGAACATACATACATCATTATGAAAGCACTAGCTGCGCCCCGCGGTGTTATCCGCGGATTTCCAGGATTTAGGAGATTTCCGGGATGTAAAGTAGCTTATGTGTTATTTCTGGACGTCAGCTTCCTGTATACAACATTTTATCAAAATTGGTTCAGCCGATTGAGCGTGAAGAAGTAACAAACATACACACACACTCACAAACTTTTCCAATTATAATATTTGTAGGATTAATAACTTTTCTTCCACCAGGTTGTTCAATGCCGAGGCGTTCATGTTTGCTGAGTGGATGTCCGTGGCCAAGCGAGCGCTCGCACGAATGCTTGTTATTATTGTGTCACTCGGATTTGGTATTGTTAAGTAAGTTTCTTAAATAATATATAATGAAGCATATACATATATTATATAATTTAATAACGCATACATTCATTTATTGAATGTTATTTTGAATAATGTATCGATCATAGAAAAATATGATAAAAATAATTAATAGGATTATTCATATCTTTTTAACAATAGAGCTATATAATAAATGGCTGACAATGTTATTAGGCAGTATATAATACAAGTGTGTATACTATGTTAAGCAATAATAGTATTTAAACTAAGTCAATAAAGTTATATATGGTGTGTATATGAAGTCATATGTACACAGGCCTCGTCTAGGTCCGGCGTTACAACGCGTGCTGGGAACAGGTCTAGTGTGGTTCATACTAGCGGCTGTGGAGTCGTGGCTTCGTCTTCATCACAAGGCGGAGGATTCAAATCGAGATTTGTTGTTGTCTGAAGCGCCATTATCTCTTATGGACAGCGCCATCTGTTGGTGGGTGTTTGTATCACTAGCACACACTATGAGGACATTGCAATTGAGACGGTATGTTAAATATAATACTTAAACTATGTAATATATATGTATATATTATTTCATTTTTTTTTTGCTTAAACAACTTCGGCATATTCAGATTATATTTTGATAATAGATTTTTAAATTTATATGAATTTTTATTTCTATTTATTAGTTGTTATTAAATTTTTTGGTATGTCTACACTAATATTATAAAGCTGCAGAGTTTGTTTGTTTGAACGCGCTAATCGCGAGAACTAGTGGTTTGATTTAGAATATTCTTTCAGTATTGGATAGTCCGTTTATCAATAAATTAAACACTACATAATTACTTATTGTGAAAAATTTACCTTAAAAGTCGATAATATAGAAAATATTTCAGCCTAAACTTTCTTTTGATAATCTGCTTCTAATGTAGATACGCGGAATTATCCAACGGTAGGTACGCGGATTTGCACTATCACCGAAGATATTTTCAAAAAATTGCTAGTAATACATATGTATGAAACATGTTATCATATCATACATTTTGCACAAAACACAAAAAGGTGTTCCTATTGTTATTATAAGTAATTGTTTTGTTTCAGAAACGCTATAAAGTTGACTCTATACCGTCACTTCACCAATACATTGATATTTGCTGTCATAGCTTCTGTTATATTCATGTTGTATTCCTTGAAGTCCTACAGGATCATGCTTTGTATTGAGGTATGAGAACTTACTAGAATATTAAAGTTTATTTTAAAATGTCCTGAACAACAACTTAGTTTATAGAGGATAGAATTATAAACATTTATTTAAACATGGGTATTCAATTTGTAACAAAAAACAATCTATTAAGCATTCTCATAGTATATAATAATATAGGTTTAAAGAATTTATTCTCAAAAAGACATAGATAGTCACTTACATGAGAACATACATACAAAAGTAGTCGCCAGATTATTTGGAACTCAATTAAAGATAGTATATATTATTACAAGTGTGTTACATCATTGTTATATCAATTATTTTCTAAAATAAGTTATGAAAGTTGAGATTTAAATTCGTTAATTGAGCTTGCATTTCTTATAGTAGACGGTAATTTGTTGTAAATTTGTGCTCCTTCAGATGTAATATCCTTTTTTGCAAATTTTGTTCTAGTCTTTTGGAGAACTAGTAAGCTAGGTCGACGGGTGCTACGCGTCCTGACTTGTTACATAAATGACAATTTAGAGTGTACAGATTTATTAATAATTTTTCTTATTAGAATGCAGGAATAGTATATATAAAGTTGTTTTAAATTTATAATCTTCGTTTCTTCAAAAATTTTAACTGTAGATATAGATAACGGATATTTAAAGAGTATTTTTATTATTTTATTTTCTTTGAAGTTCTTGTAATTTTGTTTTATTAACATTACCCCATACTTCAATTAAATATAACAAATGGGACTTAACTAAAAAGTTGTAAATATTATAGTGTAGTTTTTGTGGTATGCACCTAGAAATATTCTTTAGTGACCCAATTAAAGAGGACAGTTTTCCTTTAATATGGTCTATTTGATTGTGAAAATATATACTCACTATAACAAACAAACAAAGACTTTTCAGAGTATTCATCAAATTAAACTAATATTTTTTGTATTACTATGTATTAATACTATCAATATTTCAATGATTTCAGGAGTGGAAGGAAGTGTGGATGGACGATGCGTACTGGCACATGTTATTTGCTGGCGTTTTATTAGTGATCATGGTATTGTGGAGACCGACGAATAATAACCAGCGGTATGCCTTCACGCCTCTGCTGGACAATGCTGATGATGATGAAGGTAATTGAAAATAAAAAATGTTTATTAACAAAAAAACTCAACAGAATACAAAGAAATGTCCAGTGGTGCCCACACTAGGTATTCCTGTGTCGTGGGTACCAATTGATAGATTTACACTGCATGTTTAATGTTGTCGTTCGGCTTAGAATATAAATGACATAACTATTAAGATACATTGCATGATTTAAGTTACAAGTGTTCTTATGTTAGTGAAAAGGTGCTATACTAGGTGCAAGAAAAGTTCTTCGGTGGTATTGTAGGTCAATGAGGAGAGCCAAGAAATAATTTTTGTTTTGGCTTGTTTAATTGTAGGCTGAATGTGGATATACCACCGCCTTGTATTTTTTTTATATTGCCAGTGTCTTAAAAGAGGTTTTAATCATAATAACTATCAAAATATATATGAGTAAAATTTTGTATCAGTTGCTATTAAAGTATCTAAATATATAACAATTCTTCTAAAACCTTTGAATGAATCTGTGTATAGAGAGACAATACTATTTCATACTAATAGAATACTATACATACTAATAAGAAAATACTATTTCAGATGAAGAAGAACAGTTCGTGAATGACGCGTATGGAGTCAAAATGCGCTCAACGAATATAAGTGAGAGTGACTCGCAAAGGGAACCAGAACCTAAAACGACTTCCTTAGATTCTGACCTCAAGTGGGTGGAGGAAAACATTCCCACGAGTTCCCTACCCTTGTTGGATTCTGACGAAGAGATCATAAACACTAAGTTTGAAGTGTCTAAGATGCAATAAATGTTACCTTGATTATCGTTTTATTTAATAAAATATTTGGTACGCTTATTTGGATTTATTTGTATTATTTTCTCTATTAGTTAATGGCGTGTATACATATATTTAGCCAATTTTGTGTGAATATTATGCGTAAATATGTAAAGAGGGATTTGTAAATGGACAGGATATTATTTTTGTAACCAAAGGTACCATGTTGCATTGAAGTCTATAACTATTTGTTGAAATCTATGTAATTTTCATCAGTTTACCGATTTTTTTTATGGAAACTTGGTGTAACTATACAACTAAGTACGAATTATATCTTTAAAGCTGATTTCTTTAATAAGAAATAATTGAAGATTTGTATACAAGTAAAATTAGTAAAAAAAATCGTTGATATTTTCATTCTGTTGCAATATTCGTAACCTTTACGTCTATGAATATTTTTTAAATATCTTTTATCGGCAACTTATATAAATAGGCCGGATATTATTTTGCAAATCTGATTGTACATTTTTTTATGACAGCATATAATTAGTATTTCTTCCATTTAGATATATTTTGATTAGGTTTTAATGTTATGGCTTATATTCAGGTATTAATTTACTATTAAAAGTATTATGTATAATTTATATAATAATTAAAAAGATAAATGGAAATTACATATATTATTTCATTAAAAATCTGAATAAATTTATACTGTTACAATATTTTGTATATCAAATGTACATTGATGCAATACATGAAATTACTGTTAATTAAAATAATAAAACACAATATTATTCCAATACATTTTTTATTACAAGCTTTAATAATAAAGAATCTTTGGTTTTTAATGCTAGATATATCACTAAAATTAATTCAATTTCATCAAGAAATTGCTTGGTTATAATTGAATGGTAAAATTATTAAAAAATACTTTATAAATGGAATATTCTATGAAGTATAAATATAATAAAGCAATGCAAGTAATACTAAACTGTAAGATATACATATATTACCTGTTAATTAAATTTATGTTTTATATGCTTATATGTAACTAAATTAATTGTTTTCATAATAAAAATCATAGTCTTCAGGCTCGGGTGGTATTTGAGGTGGATCTTGGGGTATATCTATACCCTCAGCATCCAACAATCTCACTTTGATATCCATAGATAGAAGCGTCTCCAAATCATTCTCAAAGGATTTGCTCGTCATTTTCTCTTTAAGTAAAGCATTGATACCGTCTGTCCAGTAATCAAATATTTGTTCATCTGGTGCGACAAAATCTAATGATGGTACTTCAGCAGCTTTTAATATTAACGAGAAAGCTAAATGTGGACTGCTGATTTTACCTTTCAAATCTTTCATATGAGGACATTCTTTACCTACAACCACACATTTTATATCGGCCACGGCTAACTTTGTGCCGAGTTCCTCTAAACTTGGTGTGCTCTTCTCATCGCACTCGCCGTAGTGTAATATTTTATGATTAGGCGATAAACGGACGAACCAAAACTTATCTTTCCTATTTATCTTCATGTACTTCTTAAATCTTGTTCCACCAACCAGAACTCCTAATCGCTGTTGTTGAATGAGATCTATAATTTCGGGCGTGATTTTTTCTTTTAATTCGACAATTGGTCTAGCGTGCGACTCCCATACTTCTCTGTTTGTGCGCTCCTGTTGCCACAAGTGTGTTATTTCACTGTATGTCAATTCTTTAATTTTTTGACGAAATTTATCAAAGCCTTTTGGTGACGCCGTCAATGCTCTGCTTATTTGCTCTCTTACTACACTTAAAACTTTTACAAAATCCTCAGTCGTAGCTCTCATTTCCTTCCATGTTTTATTTAGCAGTACAATACAAATACAGAAGAGTTCTTCAAATGGATGATCATGTGTGAAGAAGAGGGAATGATATGTCTGTCCTTGTTCGCTTGGTGGTTCACCGATTTGCAAAATGTCACAGAGGAGCTTCACAAGTTCAACACTAGTCTTACCAAAGGGACATTCTTGTTCATCAGCCCTGCAACTATTTCGTAGAACTATTTTGGTATAATCCTCTCGGTAATTCCTAGCAAAGTATAGCATACAGTCCAATGCTAATATTCCTGGTGGGGTCTCGTTAAAATCTTTGATTGGATCTATTTCACATTTGAATCCAAGTTTCTTAAAGTCTTTGGATAAGCTTCCTGTTTGTCGTCTAGTTGTTACTTCAGCGCTAATATTGTTTTCATTGTCAAAAGCATATTTTCTGAGTTCCTTTATCTTTTCCTGTGATTCTTGTTCCTGGGAGTCTGCTCTTGTTTGCATTTTAGGTTCAAGTAGTCCCAGCATCAATGTTTGTAACACATACAGTTGATGAGCTAGTTCTGTGCCGAGAGCTTCTTTGGAAACATTTTTGGTAATCAAATTCTCATAAATCTTATTCCTGACTTGTTTAGAACTTAGAGTAGCGGCTATCGTCTTCCGTTTAGTCAAATCTGCTTTCGAGAAAATTGCATTGATCAAAGCGATCGCATTTTGCTGTATTATCCTGTCTTGATTTTCCAAATGTGATATCAAACTGGGTATTGTTATTTCTTTTTCAACATGTGAATTCTTTCCTGAACTATTAAGAACAATATTTTCGAGTATTGACAAACATGACTGAATTATTTTAGGGTCCTGTGTAGTGGATTGGTTGCTCACGAAACTGACAACTTTATTTATAAATTGATTCTCAAGTATATCCCAGGATATTATGCCATGGTCCATCAATTCTACAAATGTAACTAATGCATATTTCAAACAGTTGCCCTTAAATTTACCTGTTTCAATGTGATTTACGATAAGCGTTAATCCATTCTTGTTGATAAACTCTAGTGCAAAGGTGAGATCACTGCTTACAGTTGACAATTTTGTTAGTGCAGTAATTTGGTCTGATTCCGTCCCTGTATTGATCTTAGCCAAAATATCTTGAACTGTCTTCGCTGGAGATTGCTCGAGTCGCAAAACTGAACCATTTTTAATTTCGTTTCGATTTTTCTCTGTAATATAATTCTGGTTGTTACTCTCGGAAAACTGTAGGGCGTAGTTTGTATGATCAGGAAGACCCCACGCCTTGCACAATAATTGGATAATTCCGGACAATGGGTGGCTCTGATTGAATTCTATGAGTTGTGGGACCTTGTCTGGTGCATTTAGCATCTCCACAGCAATTTTCAAAATAGTTGAATCTTTCGTCGCCGCTGGCATTTTCATTGGCTTTACAGACATTTATTAACTATCAACAGTCCATTTGACACTAACTTCCTTGACACGAACGCGCCCACAGAATACTTATTTTGGCCACAAAGCCGGAAAACTTATAAGCATCCAAGAACAACACTCAACATAATTGCGAGTCCTGACACTTGACAGTACATAAACATATACTTACAGATTATAGCCTGAATGACAGATTTTAGCAGACTATAAAGGAATACGTTACTTGAGGTTTAATCCAATGAATTCAATATTATAATATAACGGAGATAAATTTAAAAAGTTACCTGTATTGTCACTTTCAACACGAGTCTTTTATTTTCTTGCAATCATTTTGTTTTCATTTCGTACCAACCGTTTTAAAGATAGGTGGTTGGGAATTACAATGGACAAAATTATTAGTTCCTTTCATTATAACAATACTAAATCAGGAATTGTTAGGAACTTATTATGAAGAAATTTTTTTATTATAAAGATCAGATTTTAATATTAATAAAAAGCAAAACAACATTTTAAATGAATAACTCTTTCAATAGTGTATTAAAGTTAATATTTTCCCCATAGACACTAACCATGCAAATCTTAAAGAAGCCCTACAGAGATGTAAAAAAATACTCGAAATATATTATCTCATAAACAGTTTTTTACTTTAATAAAAGTTCATCTATCATGATTTTAGGTAGGTTTAAAATAAATAAGATTTGCAGTGAATGGTGTTCTTATTATTGTATATAACCTTTCACAAGAATACGTTTTTGACCTGACTGTAGCCTCAATATGAAGACAAACGGTAGCAGCTGTGTGTTGTTTGAGCTTTTAATAAATGTTTAATTATAATCACTGTGAGGTGGTGATATTAATAAACTGATGAACTTATACCGAAGCTAAGACCTAGTTTAGAATATGATTCCTAATAATATTCCTAATGACATACATTGTACATAATGCCAGAAAACAAGAGTAGATATGGTAAACACACACATTTTCTGGCTTTTATCAATTAGTGTTAAACACGTGAGTCGCTCATGGGCCCTGTCATTAATCAATTGACATTACAATATTTAAAACCCTTCCCCCATTCTTATTACAGATTGTCAGATTTTTCAGAACCCCCTCACACATTTTGACATTTTACAACCGACGAGCAAACGATCGAAACTTATTTATTATTTTAAATAACCAATACTAATAAAAATAATCGCTTAAATTAATAATACTCTATATTAGCTTTAATTGTTTATTACAAAATAGGATAATTTTAGCTGCTACCGGTATCAGGACCTTTAAAATATATATAACCCAATGTATTTCAACCTTCAACTTGGATATGAATTTCATTTCATAATTAATATGTAAGGCAACACGATACTGGGACGTTATTTAATATTATATAAATGCATTTCTATCATTTAATTGCTTCATTTATGCCATGTTAGTAGAAGTTGGTAACTGAAACAACAATTCAAATATTTCAAAATGATTTAAAGTCGTTATAAGTTGTTGAAAAGTTTTCTTTTACTAATTCTAATATTAGTAGGATAACTTTACTTCGATTTTAATCATGTTTAAGGCATTTTTTGTGTTTACGGTTGCCTGTTTAAGTTTAGTTTCAAGTTTTCGTTGTGATCGTAGACCTTACGGCACTACATCACAGGCTTCTGCTTCAGATGGCCGGTTTCAATTGGTGGTTGAAGATGCTGAAGATAACTATATACCAGATCAACTTTACGTCGGTAAGCGTCATTAATCAGTTTCATCATCATCATAATCACCCTGATAGACTTATTAGAATTTAGAGCCCACTGCTGAGCAAAGCTTTCTACTCACATTAAGAAAGTTTGAGCATTAATCACCACTCAAGACGGTTTGGCGATTTTAAACTTATAATTTGTAATTATAAGTCCAGGTTTCCTCACGACGTTTTCCTTCACCGTCTGTCAGTGGTGTCTAAATACTCTTAGAAAATACATATGACTTGGAAAAATCACATAGGTACTTGCCAGATTACGAACCCAACTGTGCCCTCATGCACGAGAGGCGGACCTTTAGGCCTCCACGACCTATTAATAATCAGTTTAGCCTTCACAATTATAACTGTTCCCTTATTACCAAAAAAAAAAGCTCCTTGTAACATGAGCGATGAAATATTTAATACTTTCCAATAAATCACTACGTAAATTTTTAAGTGAGAATTTAATTTCAGTAAAAATAACGGAGACGGATGGTGAATCTAGGTTTTCTGGTTTTATGGTGTCAGCTGAAGGCGATATTAAGCCTGATCCAAGGAATCCTAGACGATACATATCTTTATTCCCTGGTGAATTAAGACCTCAGAACACAATGACTGCAAAATATAGCGAACGATGTCCATATTCTGTGGAACATGCTATGGCATCAACAAAATCTTTTGTGAAAGTAAGTGAAGTTACAAAAAATTACGTGTAACTTTTTTGACCTATTGAGATAGATAGACTGCATCAAGATTTAGCAAGTGCTGCAAAGGAAAAGCGATTTAAATAGTAACTTCTGTTTGTTTTATTGTTAGTCGTTTCTTGTTTCAGGTGTATTGGCAAGCTCCGCCCCCGAACAGTGGATGTGTAACTTTACATGCCATGGTATCAGAAACTCAGGATATTTGGTTCGACAGCGGAGCACCCTTGTCCCAGAGACTTTGTGAGGACATGCGCCAGCCGGATGACGTCACTCCACAGTTGAATTACAATTGTAACATCTGCGATGAGGCTAAGTATGAGGTTGGTTGGTTTTTTTTGATAATATGAATTAGTAGGGATGAGCGATTAAGGAAAATAATGTCCAATCTTATGTATTAAGATTTCTTCCTTAGAACGATATTATGCGAATTACGTAAATTAATTTTCCATTTGTTTTAATCATTGTGTCATTGATAGAATTAGAAACACGGGCATGATTTATACGAGATTTCAAAAGACTTCTTTTCCATAAGTTTATTATAGGACTGTAGATAATAACAAAGTTAATCAATAACGTTTGTTATATTAATTGTGTAGCTTAGATGGTTCAAATATTCATAATGTCCATTAAAGGTATGTTTCACTGGTATTTGGTCTCGTAATACCCATCCCCGTCTCTACCCTGAGAACGATTGGTTGCCATTCTACAGCGATCTGATTGGTGCGAGTCACTCCTCTGAATACATCCTCTGGGCGCCAGGGTCCTATGCCTCTAATGGGTTTAGGGACCTCGCGGAACATGCGAATGGCAGTAAAATGGAGGCAGAGATTAGAGAAAAGGCGAGTTAAATATGATTTACAAGAAAAACAGTAATCAGAACTTAAAACGAAAAAAATTTTTTTTTGCTATGATAAAAAAATACTACAAGTATTTTAATGATTTATTTATAGAGACTAAAATTTTGTAAAAAAAATAAATAAATGTCATGTCTCCAGATTGGCGATGGAGTGCGAACTTTGATTAAAGGCAAGGGTCATGGGTACCGTAAGATGAGCACTCCCACGTATGCTTTCTTCAGAACAGATAGGGTGAACCATCTGTTCACGGTGGCTGTTGGTTTCCAACCTTCACCTGATTGGTTCTTAGGTGTTACACGATTTGAGTTGTGTCAACAAAACAATACGTGGATAACGGAAAGGACACTTAATTTATATCCTTGGGACGCCGGCACTGATAGCGGTGTATCATACGAGGTGAGAAAATCAAATTAAAACTGTTTCAGGTCATAAGTTATCAGAAAATATGTTTATCATTACTTGAATTCACACATTTAAAGCCTTTCAAATGATTTCATCTATTTTTTTTTATTTTGTCAGTCACCCAACTTAGAAACATTTCCACAAGACACAATATCGCGCGTACAAATGAGTACATATGATAAAAAGTCGCCATTTTACGAAATGGACATCAAGGACCTGAATCCGTTTGGAAAACTACACATAAAACTAATAAGAACATATCACAGACGATGCAAAGATGATGACACAAGTGAGTTTGTTAATTACATAAAAAATATACAAAACATACTTTCTGTATTTCTCGTAATGGCAATCTAAAAAAAATCTTTTTTAATCGCTTGGTTACTTTGACGCAGTTGTATTTAAATAAACTGGTAACAATGTTATTTATATCGTAGACCCTGAAGAAGCAACAACAACAGAAGAACCAACTACAACTGAGGAAAATCCTCTTGAGCCATACGAGCCATCCAGGTACCGATCCAATGATAGTACACGGTGAGATTCCTCAATACAAGTCACTACCATCAAACATCACACTTAATACAATCATCATCATCATCAGGCTATCGGCTCGTCTTCTCACTTGGAGAAGGTTAGAGCATTTTTCACCACGCTTCCACTGAATACAATACCGATAGGTAGTACAATGATGTCATATAATTAAAATTAATAATCTCGAATGCACAATGCGTTTTTTTTTATTAAAAAAAATTAATCTGGTCTACCCGTGATCACTATTAGTGCAAAGTAAACGAAACGTAGGGAGTATGTAGCTTAAAGTAATAATTAAACGCGTAGTAATCTGAAAATATAAGTGTTATTTAAGTAAATACTCATTTTAACATTCTTTCACACATTTTCTCAATTGTCTTATGTCATAGTTCAATTAATTTTAAAAGTACCCAAAAGTATATTTGGGAGCGTTCAAGTATTACGTAACGCAATTTATCGAAGGTTTTTGACCCCCCTTCCCCCGTCGTAACGCACAGTAACGTTTTTCTGTAGCCCCCCCCCCCCTTCTCAAAACGTTACGTAACCCTCAAGTGATCAATTTCATCAAAAGACTTACAATGCCTACGATTTTTGAATTAATTAATAAAAAGATGAAACAACTATTTGATTTTTTACGTTTTATTTTGATGATAAGACACTTTAATTTAACCGTATAATTATGGAGTACTTGCGAATATTAGAATTCAGGGCCATCTACTACGAGTTATGGCATCTTCGTTTCATTCTATCAGAGCTATTACTCATATGTATTATCTAAACACCAAACACAGATGCTGTATAATTACAGCATTTTTGGTAATTTCAGCGAAGTCCCATTAGTAACAGATCCGGAAGCCGACCAAGACTGTCCGATCTCTCAGTGGCAGGAGTGGAGTCCGTGTGACGGCTCTTGTGAGGGTGGTCGCTTGATTGGTTACCGCTGGAGAGAGAGGTATCACCTCGTAGACGGGGTGGCTGTAGAGAAATATGACCCTAACGTACGTTGGTGACCTTACAAAGAATTTAATTTTTCCTGTGTACATCATATTTAATTCTGTTCAAATCTTTTTAAGTGGTACAGGAAAAAGTTATTTTTATGTAATAGACTTAACTTTTTTTAAATATCAGATAGTGCTTTTTTCTGTTTCTCTGTTCGATTCTGTTTCAAAAGTTAAGTTATATTTAAAGTTTTAAGTTCATTACGTATAATTACCAAAGATAATTAAACGTATATTATTACTGGAATATATTTTATTAACTCAATAGATAGATCCAACGACGTTGAAGGAAGTGCCACAGTATTGTAAAGAACATTACGATGACTTCGAAAGAAGTGAGTGTGAAGAGGAATGTTCTGATAGCAACGACGAAGTAAATAATCTTGAAAGGTAGAGAAAGAAACAATAGCTCTAAGATGGGTATGATTTATTTAATAATCTTAATTAACTTTATTTTCCAGGAAGTAAACATTGTGGAAGGATAAGACCTAGGACGTATGGATATGAAGCGAAAATTATAATATATTTAATCTAACGGTTTACATAAGAAATTACTTCAGTACTCATTAATTTACAGTCAATATTTTCAGTATAATTAACTAACAATAATTTTACTGGCTGCATTCGCACTAGAATCGTGTAATTTTCTGCCCATGTCATCTAACAATATAATTTTATATTTGATTATTCAATACCACCATGTAATCTATATAGTTGAAAAACATAACATATGAATCTATGAAATAAAAGTATTCCTTTAAAATATCCTTAATTTGATTTCCAGTCTAATTAGGTACGTCTATACTCTATACAGTGCTTAGATATAATTATAATTACGATGTATGTATTAAATGCCCCTAAAACTTGCACTTTTAGTTTGTTTTATTGTTGTTTGTTTCGCTATTTTAGTTTGTTTGTGAGGACTACGCTATACTTATATCCTATCCTTATATGGTTGTAATATTTTATTATCATAATCGTATGTACATAGGACTGTTTTGAAATTTGATTAAATATTTGAAACATTTCTTAATTTATCAGATATAGAAATTTATCGACACTTACAAAATATTAATAATTTTTTTCTTCACGAGTAAGAAATATTTACACGAAGAAAATATTATGGCCCTAAACTGGACCCACTTGAGGTACTATTCTAATTGGGAGTCACCTTCAATAGTTCAGATTCATTAAAATATTTGAGCACTAATTATTAAGAATACAATTCCACGACTATATTTGTCTAGTTATTCTGTTAGTCTATTTTACACATTAATTAGATAGTACAATGAGTAGTAACATGTACTTTAATAAATTAAATATATCTCAATAATTTTCAGTCAATTCCCGTACGTACATAGTTTTTATCTTAAGTACCAACTGTCCTTTAACCTAATAACCAACTAATAAACTTGACAAACTAAAAATGTCAGTTTATTTCATAAAAAAGACCAAACAAACAGTTATAATATTTTAAGTTAAACTAGAAAATTATTTCACGGAAACAGTCCTGTGATTTCATAACGAAATTTACCAGGAGGTCAAACTACAATAATCCACTGTATCGTGGAATATTCTGCATGAAAATTATATTATTTCATTATACTAACAAAATGAAGTAGGGAAAACAATAGCGTTATAAATGAAATGATTGTGGTGGCTAGTTGCGCAGGCATGGCAGCAAAACTTTTGGAAAGATGTTATGTGCATTTTCTAAGTTTTATTTTTCATACACTTATGACTTCCCTCAACTTAATAAGTAATATTACTGTATCTTTTTTTTCTTTATTAAGTTTTTAAGTAGCTATGAATTATTTAAATGAAACTCTTATTTTCGAATTTTTTACTTCGCGTTTTGTTTGTTGTCGCGTTATCATCTCGTCTGCCCGTGATCACGGTTGCTGAAAAGTAGTCGAAACGTCGGGAGTATGTAGTTCATAATCTTTTATCTTTTATCTTTTATATATATAAAAATGGATTGCTGTTCCTTAGTCTCGCTAAAACTCGAGAATGGCTGAACCGATTTGGCTAATTTTAGTCTTGAAATACTCCTGGAAGTCCAAGGAAGGTTTAAAAGGTGAGAAAAATTGATTCATTACTGGGAAAACCATAAAAACAGCCCTTTTCTATTTCCCATACAAAAGTTTTTTTTGACATTAGATTTGACAATTCTAACAAATATGTCAATTCTGTTTGATTGAAACATGCAAAACCTGATTATTTATGGGCTGTAAGACGGAATAGAGTTCGACTGATCAGCTACACCTACATATATTACTCTTGACCAAACTAACGCGGACGAAGTCGCGGGCAAAAACTAGTCAAAAATAAAAACGCGAAGTAAAAATCCGAAAATATTAGTTTCATTTAAATGAATACTCGCGAAAATCTTAGATCTCATTAGCTATGAATTATGATTTTATAAGCACTACGTGTTCACTGATGTGTTTTGTTGCACATGAGAATACTTTGTTAATTCAGCGAAGCAACACAGACGAAGTCGGTAGCATTAACTAGTTCTAAATAAAACTTATGAAATTAACGAACCTACATAGTCTAAACGTAATTCGACACATGACTTTAAGACTAATTACTTTAAATTCAGTCCGCTAGTGCCAATTGACCGACATAGACCACTTAATCTCATCTTAAAAGATTAGGTGTTATTGTTATACTAAAATGTCTACACTCTATTATGGAGGTAGGTTATGACATTTTGTTTAATAATTAATAGTCTTGGCAAGCTGAAGTGTATCTATAGTTAAAGTTTTCTTTCTATAATATTTTAGAAAACAAAAAGCAAAAAATAATTGCATAGATATATGTAATTCATCTTTAATGAATAGCATTGCTTTACTAATATTTCTGTTTTTTTTTTTGTTATTTATACTTTATATAAGAAAAATGTTTATTTTTACAGGTGACGTATTAAAACTGATTCTTCTATGTTTCTACATTCAAAAGAGTTTGGGTGACGAGACATTATGTGACCTACGACCGCTAGGAGCCAAAACCGATCCACTTCCACCAGATAATAGATTTAATATTGAAATATTGAATATTATGGATAATTCTTATATACCGAACAAGTTGTATACAGGTATTACGAGAAATAAAAATAATAAATATTATCTTTGATAGACTTAAGTTGAAGATTAACTGTTTTATATTCCTTTAGTTCGTCTTTCTGCAACTGACGGTGTATCTAGCTTCATCGCATTTACAATATCAGCGAGCGGGGACACTAAACCCAATGAAAAAAATGCAAGAAAACCTTTAAAGCTAAGCCCCGGCCTGATATACCCTTCACCAGATTCTGAAGCCAAGTCCAGCGATCAATGTAAAAATTCAGTTATACAATATGACATCACACCGAAAACTTCCGTTGAGGTAAATTTGTACAAAAGGTCTAGTCCTGTAGCGTATTTAAAGATGTTTTATATTTGTTATTTATGAAAAAACACTTAAGAAGTAGAATCAAAGTTTTAAATTATAATAAATCTATTTCACACCATGTGTAAACTATAATTTTGTGTTTACTCCGTATTTCAAAGTATTTTATCTTCATTGAACTTATCAGTATACTGAAAATATGCGACGATGATGTTAAAATTGCATATATCATTTCATTTTCATATAATCTTGATTCCAGGCGTTTTGGCAGGCACCGCCCAAAGACCACAAATGCGTTACAATATTCGCTGTTTTGGCAGTAAAGCCAGATGTCTGGTATAACTTTGAAGGTCCGCTATCCAAAAGGGTTTGTGAGGATAGACGAAACGTTGAGGACATGCAGCCCATGGAAAATGATAATTGTCAAGTTTGCGAGGATGCTCAGTATTTGGTAAATTAACATTTCCATGACACTGACTTCTCTTTATTTTAATTACTAAGATTATACTTAATATAATCCTAATAGTTTATATTTCAGTCCAGGAAAACCTACTCGACATTTCAATGACTCTTAATTCTTTCCTGTATAGTATTACAGGCGTTTGTTTAGCGCAACGAAGAAGTTCTTGTTCGACTTCTCGTAGTAAATTAAATAAAATCTTTGTTCCAGCTGACTTTCGAGAGAATATGGTCCTACAACACCCACCCATTAATGTATCCCGACAACTCGACAGTCGTGCCATGCTTCAGCGATGTTGTTGGAGCTTCTCACAGCAAAAACTTTTACGTTTATAAATTTAATTCTGAAGCGAGTCAGGGCTTGAAAATGCTCGCAGAACAAGGGAATACAACGAAACTTGAAATTGAAATACGAATGCAGGTAAATTTGATATTAAATGGCTACGGCCTTAACTGTACTTAAGAGAAAAAAATGAAGAAATGTTTACGACTGTACTTATGATTTGAAATACATGTTCTTATACATATGTATATGTATATGTCAGAGTATATAGGTTTAATAAGCCGTTATCAAAAACAACTTAATATATGTATATAATTATTAAGGATACTTAAAAGGAAATAAAATATGTAATATAATTAATTGATAATACAAATTGAAAAAATGTACACTTTAAAAATAATATTCTTCTTCTGCAGGCATGCATCCATTGAAACGGTTTTTTTAAAATATTTATTTATTGTAATCATTCCAGCATTTTATTTCGAAAAGTTTTTTTTAAGTTTTGAAATATGTTCAATTTTCTTTTAATGTAAGAACGTTATTTACAGCTCGGCTCAACAGTTCGTACAATAATAAAAGCATCAGGTCATCCAAGACCCAATATGGCGACGACTTCTATATTTCGTGTAACCAGAGAACACCATCTGGTGTCACTGGTTACAGCCATTCTTCCTTCACCGGACTGGTTTCTTGGTGTTTCAAACATGGAGATGTGTGATATGCTCACTGGGACCTGGGCGCCTCATTTGGTATTAAATCTTTACCCTTTAGACGCCGGCACAGACAGTGGATTGACTTTTGGGGTAAATAATATATAATTATCATCATGTCCATTGACATATACTAATGGACATGCCTTAGAGATGAGAATTCTGGCACTCCGAAAGAAAGAGAGGAAACGAAGTTTCGGTCTATCTTTATCTCTCTCAATATAGTACCGTACTTAAGACGTTATGAGCCCTTTCTGGATAATTTATATGCCGTGCTTGTCATGAAAATTAAGCGCCAATCATCTATGAGGAAAGAGATAGTGCTAGACCGAAAGCATAGGCCATCTTTCTCACTCTTTTCAAACCAAAAAGTTACTGCAGATTATACGCGTACGGCACGTCCATTAATATATGTCGATGTACTGGGCTATGTAAAGAGGATTTTGTGACACCATAATTTCAAAGAGATGTCATATACAGGGTAACTGGTGAATTACTATCGATACTTGAGGACTTGGTATTTGACGATCATATATGACAAAATAAAAATTAATATAACATAAATATTAATAAACTTCTAAGTAAAGTTAAACAAAAGTTATGTAATTAATTACGCATCGTGTGAACACCCTACAGATTAGGTATACACACACACACACACACACACACACACGTGCGGCGGCGTGGTGTTGTATCAGCACGCCGCCGCACGCGTTCACACTTGGAGCACTTGGAACGTATCCACACTTTATTTATTTATACGGAAATTTGGTCAAAAATTAACTACCTATTTTTTTACATAATTCGAATGAGAATCATGTACCGAGTATTCTCCTTAAATATTGATAGTAATTCACCAGTCACCCTGTATATATAAAAATGTTCTAAATATTGCCACAGTTTATGTCAGAATTTGTTTTCTTTTAGTCTGCAAACGACGACACAATGCCACCTCAACCTATAAAATCGGCGGTTATAAATAAATCGGTAACAAAGGAACAACTGAAGCCATTTGCGAAGATACGATTTGAACTTATCCGTACTTACCCAAACCCAGCATGCGTCACTGAAGCGACTGTCGATGAAACGGAAGGAGAAAGGAAAAGTAAAATCAAATTTTAATCTAAACTTTGCATTTTATAAATTATTTTAATGTAGCATACTTACTGATTAGTCATTGAACTTTCAAATTCTAACTCTTACTTTGATTAAATATATATTTTAATTTTATGGAATCTGCTGTTTTAAAACTAAAAGCGATATGTTTTTATAGTAAAACTAAGTTTTTTGTAGATAACGACAATGAAGAAGAATCTAATGAAATACAAGTAACATCGCCAACTCCGTAAGTTGAATAAAATTTTTAGTAAAGTTTCTTATACTTATCTGTAATATTAAATGTATCTTAGTCTCTTATAACAATGATGAAACTAACAATATTTCATAAAACTTAAATTTCGCTAAAAATATTCCAAATTTTTATGAGATTTTCATTTATAAATAGGTGCTATTTTGTGGAATATATGTAAAAATTTAATAGATCAAAAGTAATTTTTTTAAATTGAATACCAATTAAATGAGACTTTTATTTTCGGATAACTACGCTAGTTTAATTACATCTTGTTTGCCCGTGATCACGGTTGCTGCAAAGTAAGGTTACGTCAGTAGTAGGTATGTAGTTTAAAAAAATATAAAATACACGTAGTAATCCGAGAAAATTTGTTTCATTTAATTCAAATACTTGTCAAGTTGAAGTTTGTACTTTAGTGGATCAAAAATAATTGTGTTAATTAGTGAGGAACACTCTCCCGATCCTGAATCAGCGCCAGAATGTCCTGTGACAGCTTGGGAAGACTGGTTACCATGCGAGGGGGAATGTACCAACGGAAACTTACAAGGTTACCAAATGAGGTTCAGATATCACTTGGTTGACGGTGTGGCCGTAGGAAAATACGTTGAGAATGTTAGTATATAATTATTTAAATATTTATTAATTTAAATAGATGTTGAACAAAGGGGACTTAATGCTAAGAAGCATTCTTTAAAAGGTGACACTAGGAATGTTAAAGAGAAAAAAGTATGATACCTCCTATGCAAAATAACTAAAGAAATTCAACAATATATATATATATAAGATAACGTAAATAATAATATAGTAATCTATATATATATATATATATATCTTACTACGAATATATGTAAGTTCATAAATATTTGTCAGATATTTAAATTTGAATAATTATACATTCAAATTTCAAAGGGACCATACAATGAAGACAAAGAAGTTTCAGAATATTGTTTAGAAAACTATCCAGACAGCGAAACACGAGGCTGCGAAGAACCCTGTGCTGAGAACGAAGAGGAAGAAGAAGAAAGTATGTAGAATGAGATCTAAGATTTTCACGAGTATTCATTGGAATAAAACTAATATTTTTCGGATTTACTACGCGTTTCTATAGTTAGATAGCGTCCCTTAAATCTACACCTGGATGGCAAGTCCCAGGCACTTTTAAAACTCCTCTCCCTACAAGGTGATGGACCCGGCAACAGCACGGTAATTCCTTTGAATGCTAAGAAAATTCGTCTCATTTTTAACAATATACTCCCGACGTTTCGGTTACTTTTCAGCAACCGTGATGACGGGCAATCAAGATAAGAATCTCAGATATAAAACGCGTAGTAAATCAAAAAATATTAGATCCATTTCAAGTTTGTAGAGTGATAAATTTATCATCCAAAAAAATTAAGAAAATTAGTCACATTGAAACCTACTTGGTATTCATAAAAATGAATCCAGTCTCAGAATTTAAAAGTAATACAATTAAAATTATCTTTGTCTCTTTAATTTGAAAAAGGAATAATTTCATTTTATTTTTTTTAGTTTCAGCTCAAGGGAGGTACTGGTAAATAGCTACAAGAGGTGAAAAAACTTTTTTAACATATTATTTGTCTTATAATTATTAAACATCATTGTAGAATATTATTTCTTTGCACCTTATTAATAAAGACATTTAATGAACAATGATAGAATTTTTTTGGTTGCAATATTATTTGGTTGCTACTATGTATTTAGATGGAAGGCGCCCTAGAGATTGACTTTAAAAGAAAATAAAGTTAAGTTCTAAAACTGGTTCATCGATTTTTGAACTAATATATGATTAAATCAGTTTATTACTTAAAATAATGTCGCACATTATAGCATCAACCAAGGTATAAATATTATACTAAAAACTATTTAAATGTTCGATGAAAAAATCTGTAGTTTGACTGTTTATTATGTTTAGTACACTCTGATTTGTTATATAGAACTTTTTTCTTATTGTTTTCATAAAAAGTTTGTACTTCATACTAAATAGGAAGTGTTTGCTAATATTCATTCATCAACCTACGTTAATACTCTAATATCTGAAGATCTATTAATGAAAAATAGTTAACGGTCTTTACGTAGCATGAGCATTGAGCATCCTTAAATTACGTCTTTTATTCGATCTTCATAAGCTCTTACGTTCATCGTATACTAATAAAACGTTACATGAAGAGAAGAGGGATAGCTGCACAGTTTTACATATTGACAACGTGTTTGGCCGTTTTAAATAAGCACAAACATTATTCAATCAATTACTTAATTAACATACCATTACTTGTATAAGAAACCCTAATAAAATATATCACTATTTTTATTCCTCACCCTAACGTCATTCAAGCAATCATGACCAAACAATGACAGACAGACAAACATATACCGAATTGAATTCAATGTGTCATGTTAAGATAAATGAAACTAATATTTTCGGATTTCTATGTGTATTTTATTATTTTTAAAAAACTACATTCTCCTGACGTTTCGGTTATTTTACAGCAACCGTAATCGCCTGCAGACGAGATGTGAATGTCTGTTAATTGGTCTTGTTACAATGAGACGAAAAATCTCTATCAATACATCTCCCATCTGATATGTGACCATGAGTTAAGGAGTAATGGGTATATACAGGGCCGTTTTATCCATTAGGCATTATAGGCAACTGCCTAGGGGCCCTGCCACGTTCAGGGGCCCCTGTGCTACAGGGAAAAGAATGGGCAATGTTTCTTAAACAGTAAAAAATAAATTTGAAAATTTGCTCTGTACATTACATCGACGCTATTTTAGTACATTTCGGAACGCATTCCTTTTTAGATATTATTATTATGATTATTATTATATTAATATTTAAGCTATGTATGTTTTTTTTAATGCATAAATAAACATTCTATTCATTTGATTCAACATTTTTATTGAATAATATGATGATATAAGTACCCAGGTTAGTAAAAACGGTGTAATTTAGAATTTTGTTGTGTTAACGAAAAAATTAGAAGAGGGTAGGGGGCCCTGGATGAGCATTGCCTAGGGGCCCCGACAGGCATAACCCGGCCCTGGGTATATAATGTCTAGATAGAAAGAATGGCTTGGGTAGAATTTATAATATTTTTTTAATGTTTGCGAGGAGCCGTTTGGGAATAATAAGGACGTGGTGGTCGAATATGTGTTTATAGAACAACCAGAAGATAGATTCCAGCGAACCATAGACAGGTTTCCCATTAAATTAATGGGAGATAATAGGAGACATTACTTTGATACAACCAACAGCCACAAAAACACAAACAAATACTTATAAATATGGGTCAGTCTTTCATGTCCAAAAAATAATTTATTACCGTCACCCATAAAACATTGCAACAAAAGATAATTGCCAAAGTGTTATAATAGGAAATAATATAGCCAAAGAAAAATAATATTTAAGTCGCTTATAAAGCTCAATCAACTCAAAAAGACTTGAAAAAACTACAATCTCATTTTCCATTGTATTAACCACATGTGACTTTTTTTATAAAATATAAAAATAAAAATCATTAAAAACCTAATATTTTTTTTTTCAGTTGACTGAAGTTGTCAATTGAGAAGAATAAAAATTATGTACCTATTAAAATCGATTTGAGTCTCAATTTTATACATTTTTCAAACTTTAAATTATAAAATATAATCTGTTACTTTGTTAACTCTTACGTCATGGTATCACAATGCGACATCTTGTGAATTGATATTTCTGTTCCTGCAGTGGAACAAAAAACTATAAAAAAGTATCTCAACATATTTGTTTGTCTGATGTTATTATGCTGGAAAAAAAGCCTAAATCTAATTTCAAGCGTTTACTTGGAATAACTGCGGCATCTGTATTTGTCGTGGAAGCTGTAGGTATTGCTGTGTCTTACGGGTTGTGGTACAAATTGAACACCGAAAGAGGTACGTATGTTCACAAATATATATTAATTTGCTTTTTTACGCAATAAATAAGTTATATAACATAAGTTAAAGTTGTATGAAAGTATAATACTGGTTCAGTAATATTTTCATAAGAACTATTGTCTCAACAAATGACTCAATCGTATACCTTTTTTTTTTCTTCTTAACTTTTTTCATACATTTCTTGAGTTATTTGAGATACTTGCATTAAAAAATTTGACAAACGTCAAAATATTATAGATTATGACGAAAAAATACTTAGATAGGATGATCAAAAAAACGATGTTTAGAAAGTCATTAATGCTTTCAGAATTTCGTTTGTACATGCACAAAAACTACAACTGGGTGCTAGAAGGTTATTACGTACTCGGTGAGCAAGTCGGCGGTCATAAGACCCGTGAATTGGACTACAAAGTGTGGAGCAACGAAGGCAAGATATAAACATCGGTGAGATGAGCATAGCCGCTAGGTCACTGTTCTGGGTGGTCTCATTTGGCACCCTGGGCTACGGCCTCTTCACATTTGTTAAACCTGATGATGAACTCCTCAAAAAGGTTATTTGATGTTTGTGTTGTGTGGTCACTGGTTTTAACATTCCATATCATCCATTGTAACATTAATGTGAATTGTAATTGTAGTTTAAATAATACAAGTGTGTAACAGAATGTTATATTGATATGTTAGAATCTGGTTTAATATTTATTCCCAGAGCTTTTAATAGCCATTGGTTTGAAAACAAACAAACAAACAAAAAAATAAAGATCAGTGTCCCACACAAATGATTTTTGTTCTTTAAATGTTTGAAGTAATATCATCAGACCTATATATTACATAAGCATTATTAATAATCATCCAGATAAAAAACTTGTGAAGAAATTTGTATTATATTCATTTTGAATTGTTCTTATACTAATATTGCATAAGTATTTGTAATATTGATGAAACTCAAAACATTCATTTCAGATTGATAATTCCTCCAAACACACTGATTCTCGGAGGGCAGCCCGGGATACCATAGCAGTACTAAAAGAAGCCATAAACCAGGATTCAGAAATCAGTAAGAAAGTGGATGAACTTTTGAAGAAAGGAAAATGAGTGACAAAAATGCTGTTTTAGAAAGACTTAGCAGGCGAGATGCACAACGGTTAGAAAAGTTACAAAAGGCACATAAGGCTAGGGAGGAAGTTGAAGCGACATCGGAGACTGAAGATTACTTTTCCGGGGCATTCAAAATAAGATCTGAAAATGTCGAGCAATTGTTAACACAAGTACCAAGTTTGGAAATCGATATTTTAGCCCAGCACTTTGACATTGTAAAGCGTGAAATCAATGAATTGCAAAAGTTTGTTGTCACTTCATCATTCTTCCTCAAAGAGTTTAACATGAGAAAATATTTAAGCATTGTACAGAACTTGCAGACAAAATGCTACGAACTTGAAGATACATTTGTCCCGCGGAAGAAATTTGGATTCACAAGAAAGAAGCTGCCAAAATCTCATAGTCAGAAGCAAAATTCAATCGATGAAAGCAATAGCAGCGGCAAAATTGACAGTAACAAATGGGACGAAAAGTTATTCGGTTTCGATTCTAAAGAGGACAAAGTGTTGTCATTGGAGAATGTTGATTTGTTCCAAAGAGATGTAGCCTTACGTAACTTGAAAAACTGTACCGTTAGTTTAAAAGGAGTGATGGGTACTTTACATATAACAAACTTGGATAACTGTATTGTGCTCTCCGGACCTGTGACGTCATCAGTTTTTGTAGAGAAATGCACCAATTGCAAGATAGTGACCGCCTGCCAACAACTTAGAATGCACAGCTCTTTGAAGTGCGACATATACTTACATGTGACTAGCAAAGGGATCGTTGAAGACTGTTTGGATATTCGCACTGCTCCTTACAACTTGACATATGAAGATTTAGAAAAGCATTTTAATATGTCCATGTTAGATAGAAATTCCAATAATTGGGATTGCTTGGACGATTTTAATTGGCTGGCTCCAGATATACCTTCTCCTAATTGGTCAATTCTGGATGTATCTCAACGAGTGACCAATTGGGATGAGTGGTGGTCTAAAACACCCTTATAATATATTTAGGTAGTCCCGTTTCAACAATCTATAGAATTTGGATTAAGTGCCTCACTTAGACTGGAATAATAAATAATAAAACAGACATTTGTACTAACATTGAAGAAATGCTATAATTTTTATGAAACTTTCTTTACTGGAATCTGCATATAATCATTTTTGAATATTTATCTCTTTTTGTTAAATATTTTTGTTTTTAAACATTAACAGATTATAATAATATGCAAATTATCAGTGTAGTTGACTGAAAAATAGATGCTTTTATTAGATTTAATAATACTATTTATGAATAAACACATGAACAAAAAGTTTTATTTCATTTTTAAATAGACTTATTGCCTGTGTACAAAAGTATATTTGTGTGCTCACACAAATCGTGATAATTGAAAGGTTCAAATTCTTAAATGTAATGAGATGTATGGATATCTAACAATCAATGAGAGTTTTTTTTAATATGGCATGTTAAACGCCAAAGTTTAGTTGGAGAGTTATGTATATTTTAGAGATTTTTATTTAATTTCCAAGGGTTGGTATTGAAATATGGAATATTCGTCCCTTAATGTTAACAACGACGTCTTAGATCTTAAGTTTTTGGGTTGCAAGGAGACATCTTTTTCGCTATTTTTGAACAAACAGTAACATGTACATCAATATTGAATAAATCTTAGTATTTTTCATAATAATGTAACTTTTAACGTCAAGTTTATGTTTAAAAAACAATGTTCTATCTTTGAGTGTTCTTACTTTAAAGTCTTTGTCAAAATGTAGTTAATAAGGGAATACTTTTCTAATATGACTCTTACAGTTGATATGAGAAATCATGTAGATTGTAGATGCTTGGGGCATATTCTATGTAGTAGTAGGAAAATAAGGAAAACAGCTGCTCAGTTAAATATATACCTACTTATTTATATATAGCGATGAGTAAAAACGATGAATCCCTACCAATATTATAAATGCGAAAGTAACTCTGTCTGTTACACTTTCACACCTAAAACACTCAACTGATTTTAATGAAATTTGGTACAGATATAGAGTTGACCTTGAAGAAGAACATAGGATAGTTTTTATCCCAGACTTTTGAAAGGTTCTCTTGGAAACGCGACATAACAGAACTCCACGCGGGTGAAGCTGCGGGCTAAAAGCTAGTTGTTTATAATGAAAGAGTTTTAGTTAAAATGATGGAGTAACACTGGTATTTAGAAGAAATAAAAAAATATTAACAATAAATATGAATATAAATTTATTTTACAGGCGAAACTTTATAGAATAAGTACAATAAATACAAAAATTTAATTTTGTATGTAATTACAAATACCTTGTATATATAACAGGCTGTTGATAATTTTTAACACGTCATACAACTCATGGTAGTGAATTTTCGTTTAAGATAAATTTATTACAATTACTAGACTTAACTATAATTTTTAAACAAAAAAAAGTATATATATTTTTATCTTAGCTTATAAAAATATATTAAGTATTAATCTTTTAGCTTAGATGTTACAGATTATACAATCTTAACAGATAATACATATTCATAAGCATTTATTGCATGGTCAACTTAAATAAAAACCTTTTTATACAAAGATTCGCGTCTAAAAAACTTCTAACACGATCCAAGTCTTGACAAAACCAATATTAAGTCTATTGCTTCTTTATACATCGTACTATATATTATACTTATCTTGCGTAGGTAAATAAATCATTAATATTTTCGAGGCGAAAAGAGTATTTTTATGAGCGTTATATTTTGCATTACATACACATACGAAAATTTATTTGAAAAGTGATATGTATGCGGAATGCAATTTTTATTAAATGCGAATAATGTGTACTTCTAATTTAAAAATGTATAATAACGTGCCTATTTTCATTTATTTCCTTAAAAAGATTTCACTGTTTAATTTACAATATTTTAAGTAATTAATTATTAAAATTATTATTGAAAACGCTCTCAAACAATTGGCATATTTTCATTTGCATTTGTATGTATGTTATAAATTTTTATCGGTATTTTAAATTGTATACGGTAATTATAAAAACTAATTAAAATATAAAAATAACCTTATTGTTATCAGGCTTGTTAATGCAACGTTGTAACCTGATGTATAGGTCAAGAAAAATATAACGGCTATGGAAAATAATATTATTTCCTGAGTTTTTTAGAGAAAATGAAAATAAAATCATGAAGATTCTCGCACATTTGACTAAAAAAGACATCTAAAGTCTCTTACTCTCTTATATCAGGCGAATATAAACTTCAGAATAAATCATTGAAATATAACAGTAAATAAAAGAAATTCAAGACGTAATAGAGATTTATATAATATGAACACGAGAGCATTACAGTTAAATATTAGGTAAGAATAATATGAGGGTAAGTACTATTGGAACTTCATGGTGACTAATATTTTATGTAAATTGCATTATTATTACAAAACCTGTACATATAAAACCTTTTTCATATATTGTTATACGCAACTAAAACCTAGTAGTATTGTAGTTTTGTTATATCATAAAAAAGCTGTTAGGAAAATAAAGAGTATTTTTAAAGTTTCCAAGGAAATATGTAAAGCTGTTATTTAAAAATATAGAAACAAAATGTGCAGAGATTCTATAGTTTTTGTGCAAAATAATTTAAATGCTAATTAAGTTAGAAAAATGTCTTTCATATTTTTAAAGTATTAATAATCTTAGAACTACATATCTTATTAATACGAAATAGATGAACCGAATAAGTGTTGCTAGCTATAATAAGATAATCTAGAACATTATTGCCCTTTTAAAGAATACACTTGTGTTTTATGTATTTTAGTTAGCAAATCTTCTTGAATTCAAGAACTAATTTGTAATTTAGTAAATTTATTTGATTAAAAGAAATTATGCAAGAATATTTTGACATTATACAGAAATAATTAATTTTACTTAAAAGGTTGCTAATTTTAAATGCAATTTGGTTCCAAAAGTATAGGAATGTGATTTGGACCTTCAAATTCAAGTCATTCATATAATTGCTAGATCTAAAGTTATTTAAGTAATTATAAGACAAAAATTCTAATTTTATTGTCATTGAAGTTACACCGATTGATGATAACTTCATTTAGGGCGAGTTTAGAGGAATCTCGACCGAATTTAATTTGATTTGAAGGAATTTCTAAGTGATAGCTGTTATTATCACCACTTGGGATTTTTCTGCGTTATGCTCCACTGTTGATAAGTATTGTTGGGGTCACAAGGAGCAAGACCCAGTGTTCTGGAGTTAGGCTGCAGAGTTAAACAATAGCTGTGCAGCCTGTGTATGAGATGGTTGTGTTCTTTGTCGTACCTGAAAAAATAAATACATCTTTTTAACCAACTGAGACAAGAAAGTGTATTGTATGTTCAAAATGCTAGTTGTGATATTTAAAATGAATGAATTAAAATTTAAAATAAACGATGATTCTAAATTTCATTTTTAAAAATTTTAATGATATTCTGTTTTTGCAAGTTCGAAGTTTGTTGGCGTTGATGAATTTCTCATTATATATTTTCGAATATAAAAATTATTTAAATTTTGCTGAAAAATTCTTTTACGTTAAATAACTTTATATTTATATGGATTTTGGCTCATTTTATATAATGAAATTAGATATGATTACTTGATTTTGTGTTAATTAATAGACAACCAAACGAAATTTGTGGTGTTCGTACTGCGATCACATAAAGTACACTTTGAATGAATGATATATTAGAATATGAAGTATTTTGAAAAAAAAAAGTAATGCTTAATACTTCTAAGTTTATATATCCATATCTTATTTTACCAGGCAATTTCACAGCTTTAGCCAGGGTCTGCCTTACAAGGTTGTGAGTAGTTTTGGCTAATTGTTTTTACGACCGGCCGCCTGCCTGACATCAACCCTCTTTGGGAATGCATTAATCAGTGATGTCTAAATACTCTTAGGAGGTACATGACTCGGAAAAATCACATTGGTACTTGACAGAAACGAACCCGCGCCCTCATGCATGAGGCGGGCCTTTTAACCACTAGGCAACCACTGACTCGTTATTTATATATTTTTTAATAAAAATTTCTTTATAATAATAAAACTACATCCCAATTCACTTCCTCATCAGCCTATCAGAGTCCATTGCTGAGCAAAGGCCTCTTTCTCACGTGGAGAATGTTTGTGCATTAATCACATCATTTGCTAAGGACGGGTTCAATTCACTCCGCGTCACACAAATTACTATAAGACATAACTCCATATACAGGGTGACTGGTGAATTACTATCAATATTTAAGGAGAATAATCGGTACATGATTCTCATACGAATTATGTAAAAAAATAGGCACTTAATTTTTGACAAAATTTCCGTATAAATAAATAAAGTGTTGACACGTTCCAAGTGTGGACGCGTGCGGCGGCGTGATGATACAACACTACGCCGCCAAACGCGTATGTGTGAGTGTGTGTGTATACCTAATCTGTAGGGTGTTCACTCGATGCGTAATTAATTACATAACTTTTGGTTAACTTTACTTAGAAGTTTATTAATATTTATGTTATATTAATTTTTATTTTGTCATATATGATCGTCAAATATCACGTCCTCAAATATCGATAGTAATTCACCAGTCACCCTGTATATCAATCAAATACATCCAACTCACCTCCAAGGTCCATCAACAGTTCCTAGCCGGCATATAGTCTGTTTGAGACTGTCTGTATCAGCTTCAAGACATCTCTCTCCTACACCCAACTGTCCCGCCTCATTCAGTCTGAACAACTGATTGTTACCAGCCCCGTGACATGACTGTACACCTGGAATATTCAAAATAGTACCTTATAAGCAATCCCTACTAATATTATAAATGCGAAAGTAACTCTGTCTGTCTGTTACGCTTTCACGCCTAAACCACTCATGATTTTAATGAAATTTGGTACAGATATAGAGTTGACCTTGAGAAAGAATATAGTTTTTATCTCAGGCTTTTGAAACGTTCTCTTGGAAACGCGATATAACCGAACTTAACGCGGGCGAAGCTGCGGGCGGAAAGCTAGTTAATAATATATTATAGACCTGTGTTGTAATTGATATGGACTTTTTTACTACTTAAAAGATACAGTTTCGGTGAATGGACCTAGATGAAATAGAAATATATATTTTCGTGTTATTTTGGGCCATATATAACTAATGATATACTACGAGACGAGGTCTCGTCTGAATGATCACGGTTGCTGAAAAGTAGCCGAAATTCGGGAGTATGTAGTTTTAATCAAAAATAAAGTCACGTAGTAAATCCGAAAAATATTAGTTTCATTCAAACATATATAACTATCTACTAAGATAGCTCTTTTCTAGAAAATTACTTGCTCTTGGGATCTTTCGAAAGTTCATATCAAGTATGTAGTAAATATAAATAATAACTTACCAATATATGACGGAGCCGCTTTTCCCATAGTATCTAGACACAATCCGATAGCTTTATTCTTCACCATACCCCAATGAATATTTTTGGGTAATTTCGGGAATTTATCATATACGTCATAAGCAACGTTCTCCATGTACCAACCGAAGCTCTTGCAGTTCAGTTTATCTCTCAAAGCTACTTGTTCACTTATGTCACCCATATCCAAAAACCTGGCCATCGGTTCTCTTGTATAGAAGAATTCCTTATGCTCCTCGTCAAACCAAGTTTCGATGACCCGTTTGTAATTAATCGTAATGAGAGATCCTTTTCGATTTTTAGCTAGATTTCCGAATGAATACGGCATGAACGCTCGATATACATGACCGACTCTAGAGCAAGGTACCCATTCAATACTACCGCCGCATTGCCAAATCTTGAAGCTCAATTCAAAATTCTCTCCACCCCATACTAAAAGACCGGGATCGTATGCACCGATTTCAAGGAAATAATTCCTATTTATTGCGAATAGACCACCAGCGTGGGTGGGGCTTTTATATGGCTCAGATTTATGTTTGTGTAAACTGGCTTCCCTATCAGGTACTTCGTTTTCTTTGTAAAGCATACCCCATTCGAATATGCCTCTATAGTTAATACCATGGGAATAGACCGGTCTGTATTCGAAAGTTTTGTGATCGATGCCATCTATGACTGGTACGGTCATTATCTTGTAGTCTCTGTATATAGGAGCGAGTAGTGGCGGTAACCAGTTAATGTTGACCTCGCAGTGAGCATCCAAAAATACTATGACCTCCCCCGTAGCTTCCAAAGCTCCTCTTGATCTCGTACGTATAAGACCCTGTCTTTCATTGTTTCTTATTATCCTCACTTTGCCTTTCCAACGTTTAACATAATTATCTAAGTTTTCTTTTAAATCGTCTTTGTCTGAAAAATCGTCAACCTGAAAAAAAAATTGGATTGGTCCATAATTTATCCCTACTAATATTATAAATGCGAAAGTTACTCTGTCTGTCTGTTACGCTTTCACGCCTAAACCATTGAACTGATTTTAATGAAATTTGGTACAGAGATGGAGTTGACCTTGAGAAAGAACATAGGATAGTTTTTATCCCAGACTTTTAAAAGGTTCTTTTGGAAACGCGATATAACCGAACTCCACGCGGGCGAAGCTGCGGGCGGAAAGCTAGTTAGAAATAAAAAAACATAATTTTTCATTGTAACCAAGTCGAAAACTGAAGAAGGGATTAGACCATATTTCAAAAGCGATATAATGTACAGACAAAGCCAGAGCCAATTGCTAGTTCATGATAGAAAGGTGACAACAAATTTTAAATTAAAACTTTTCTTGTTAAAATTTTTAAGCATACAAGAAATATACGCCATGAATGTTTTTAAATACGGTAATATAAATGTTTATAAACTGACTCACCATAACAACCTCTTTCAATATGTTGGGAGGTGAACGATCTATGACAGTGTGTACAGTCCTCATGAGTACAGAGAAACCTTCGTTGTGGAACACAATAATGACTGATGTACTCGGCAGTTCTTCAGGGTAATGCCAATATTTACATTCATCCAGACGAGTGTCCGGAATTGATCTGGAACATATTGTCATATGTTGATGAATAACCCCTACTAATATTTTAAATGAAAAAGTAACTCTGTCTGTCTGTCGGTTACGCTTTCACGCCTAAACCACTGAAATTTTAATGAAATTTGGTACAGATATAGAGTTGACCTTGAGAAAGAACATAGGATAGTTTTTATCCCAGACTTTTGAAAACTCATGGACACGCGATATAACCGAACTCGACGCGGGCGAAGCCGCTGACGGAAAGAAAGAAATTATAAAATTTTGAGAAGAAACACATATAATATGTATGTTCATATCTATTCAAATAAGAGTATAACTTATATAAATGAAACTACATAATATTTTTCGGATGTACTAATCGTCTTTTTTTTTTAGATAAAAAACTAGACTCACATCTCGTCTGCCCGTGATCACGGTTCCTGAAGCCAAAACGTCGGCAGTATGTAGTATTATACAAAAATAAAGCACGCGTAGTATAATCCGAAAAATATTAGTTTTATTTAAATTAATAAAACTCGCGATAATCTTAGATCTCATTAAGCTTATAACTTATTAGAAGTTGGGAAAAAATATTTTAAAAACTGATGAATGAAATGTATTTTGTTCACTGAAAATTTGTATAAGAAATGACAAACTGTTAAAATAAATATATAAAATAATACCTATTCATAGCAATATCATTAGATGCGGCTATGTTCATTCCGTATTCACTTTCCGATTCAGCTATATCGTTAGCTCTGTCTTGAGGCATGTGATATGGTAAACCCTCCTCACCTGGCCCCTTCACAATATTCTTGAAACGAGGCTCAAAGTTGCCCAGCTCTAGAATTATATACAAAGGAAATATTTATATACAAAAAGGAAAATAAGCAAAATTTTACATTAAAAATAAGTATAATTAAGAGACAAAAACTTCTCAGCATTTGAAAGATTTTGAGGGTTAGGTCCATGGTATAGCAGGTAGAGGAGCTTTAATAGTGCATGGGACTTGCGACCCAGGTGTAGTTTTAAGAGCCCCTATCTTACATGTGCTAAACGCTCACCTCAACTGGCCAAGCTCCTCTCTCTACCTAACCAAATTTGAAGCAAAACTACTGGGAATACCTTTGAAATATGTTCTAGGAATTAATTAAAGTTAGTTCTGGATAGGAACAAGTCTTTTAGTTGGTTCTAGGGAGATTTAACTGTTATACCTTGCAGTCCCATTTCTACTGAGTACAATTTTACGGCAAACCTATTCTTAGTGAGCTATTAATACTTATTGACCTTGATGGCATGGTCTTTGGGGATGTTGGTTTCCTAAGAAACCCTATATTCTATACACAAAGTGCTTTAAAATTCACAAATACAAAAATGTCTGGTCTGGATGCCAATGGCAATATATCCTTTGAGATTTTATATTGTTTCTCATAAGTATTCATTGTTATAGCTCAATTCATATACATTATTTGAAATTTTAAACAATTACAAATGTTTTAAGTTTCAATCTGTGTGATAATCTATTATATATATTTTTATCACATTTACTTACATGTTCAATTAATTAAACTCAATCATATTTTAAAATCGATTGTTAATTTTTAAAGACAATTATCATCATAGATTATCAATACAAGATACATTTCCCGTAATTCGTAAATTAGAATTTACACGTACAGAACATTATCAATACAGTGTTTTCCTTACACAAATGTGAATTAATGTATTGGATTAGGTTTTACTACACGTTTATCACATTTGAATTGAACGAGATTGTTTACGACTTTACAGTATGAGATTAAAAAGTACACAAACCGGCAAGCGGACTAGGCCAAATAACAGGACTTCGAATTTAGTTCTGTTAATTATAAATAGTTCATTTTACACTTACCAGTTTGTAAAGTAGGGTATATATCCTTGTGAAATTTGTATTTGCTAGGGGGTTCATTTACAATTAGCTTTTCATAAGAATCAACGTTGCCATTTGAACGAGAGTAACTGTGTATAGCATAAATAAATAGCAAAAGAATCGCACACACACCGGTTGTACGGAAAATTCTACCGCGTCTTATGTTTGTTATCCGCATTTTTGGAGGTTTTAATATAGGTTTATAATTTTTTGAGATAATATCAAAACAAAACAACAATGTAGCGTATCCGTGTTCACTGCATGAGTTTCGATGACGTTTATGAAATCAGAAATATCCTTCAAAGTTCAACATTTCATATCGCTACGTTTACTGACTACGTTCCTTCTCAAAGATTTTTTTGAAGAAAATTTGGGAGGGAGACTGACAAATAAATTTTTTCTAAAAAATTCAATTTCTTTAGACTAATATTATAATATTTTGTTTAATGCACATTCTATAATGTTTATTGAAAAAAAAAACACAAGATTCACTTAATCTCCACGTTTCGTTCCTACATTTGAAAATGAATAATCTGACATTGACGTTACTAGTGTCAAATAAATGTGAAAAGATTACAAATTTGTCCTCTTGAGTCTTGTTAGGTATGATCTTCGAAACATGTCTAAGTTACGTGAATGTTTGAAACTATCTTATTGTAGATATTACAGTGCTCAACAAGTTAAAAAGAAATTGCCTATCATAACGTGTAAACGTCCTGAATTTAATCATTATGAAGGACAAACCTATGCTAAGTTTGATGGTATAAAACTTGCTTCACAAGGTTGGTTGCATCCGAAATCGAAAAACGACTATTTTATAGTATATGGAGATGCAAATAAAAAAAATCAAAAAGAAGAAAATGAGGTATACAAGAAAAGTTTCGAAGAAATTGGCTTGTGTGCAGAACTCAATGAGGTTATGTCTCGACTCGGTTACGAACTGCCAACTGCGATTCAAGCTAGGTCATTTTCGCCTATAATCCAGGGATACAATACTGCTCTAACCGCAGAGACAGGCTGTGGAAAGACTTTGGCCTATTTATTGCCAGTACTGCAACACATACTTACGTGGAAGAATCATGTTAAGGAAGATTTTAATAGTCCACTAGCTGTCGTTATCACACCAAGTAGAGAGCTAGGTAATATAGCATTTAATTTTTTTAATATAACTTAAATAAATTATACATAATTATACCTTTTATTTCTTAAGACACATTGGCTTCAAAGCAGTAATTTCCAATAACCACATCTATTAAATTACATACTATATAGACTTGGAAGTTTATGAACATTTATATATATAAATATTTAATGACTATTTCTAACTCCACAGCAATACAAATAGCCGAAGTTGCGGAGAATGTATGTCAGAATCTTAACATTAATATATCCACACTGGTCGGAGGCAAGACCAAGCAGAAGATGATAAATCCTCCAATAGAATATAGCGATTTATTAATAACAACTCTAGGTGCTTACAGCAAGTTAGTTACAACCGGTATTTGCAAGATACATAATGTACATCACATTGTATTGGATGAAGCTGACACATTACTCGATGATAGCTTCATTGATAAACTATCTTTGCTGTTGAAGAAATTTCCTGTGAGTATTTTGTATACATTTCTATAATCAATTTAAAAAGAATGTATTAATAATGGAGTGAAAACTTGTAAATAGTTGAATCCTTTAAGAATAAGGAAGCTAATTTCATTGACTTGAATCATAGTTGATGTTATTATATATTAGTTATACTTGTTCAGTATTGTTAAATAATATGATGTCAAGTATTATGTAGCTAGATCACTTTACTATATTAGTATCTGTCATTCAGTCTTGTCTTCATTTATTTTCTTACTATTAGAGTAATACATGCATTACAAACTTAATATAGTATTAATGTACAGATGGATATAAAAGTTTGTGGAACAATATTCTGAATAATTTTGATTCATATTCTACTGGTTATTCTACTTTTAATGTATTTATTATTTTAACATTGTTTTATTGTTAAATGTTTCCATAGATTCAAAATAGAAGTACATACATAGTTGTAAAAAGCATCACTGTAATGTACATCACATGATGTTAATGAAATGAGCTATTTAAAATATTGAGAGATTTTAAGCATATTGGTCCATTTTAAATTACTTATTTTATTACAATCCATCATCAATTGTATTAAATGTCTCTTAAAGTAAATTTTTTGTTTATTACAAAACTGTTGTACTGATATTCTAATCTTGTGATCTTTTTACAAAATCTTAAAGATAACATTATATATGTATATTTATAAATTAACAAAAAACTATTTCAAATCATGCAGTCTTACATATGCATGCAGTCTTATATATATTTTGCACATAGTAATTATATGTACACACTGTCATCAAGGCAAAGTATTCATATTAATCAAATTATCAAATATTTTCTAGATACAATTCAAAGTAGATATAAAGAATCCTCCGTCTGGGTGTCAAGTTACACTGGTCAGTGCAACATTACCTCATGAGTTACCAGAAGCTGTGAACTCCTTCATGGACCCACAGTCACTACGAACAGTCACTACAGATAATGTACATCGTATTCTACCCCATGTGCCTCACAAGTGAGTTATATAATTCTATATGTTTATCTGAAACTAATATTTAGGGATTACTTTGCGTATTTTATTATTTTTAAAAACTACAAATCTCGATTCAGATTTCGTTTACCCGAAATCACGGTTACTGCAAAGTAAAAAAAGTTACTTTGCTAAAATCATGATCACGGTTGCTGCGTTAATTTTGTAATTCTCATGAGATTTTCGTCTCGCCTGTCTGTGATCACGGTTGCAGCAAGTAACTGAAAGTTTAAAAAAAGATTTAACTACATATAGTTTTAAAAATAATATGATAACGCGTACTAATCTGAAAATTGTTTCATTTACATTTTTTTACGGTTTATTTTTATTACAAAAAATATATTAAATAGTGCCATAAAATGAGAGTGAAATTACGATGTAATTCAACCAGTGCATAATTATGAATTAGGTAATTAAAATTAGGAAAAATTAAGGTAATTTTTTACAATAATGAAAATATTTTCGCATATTTCTTATTACTAGGAAGCTATTGAAAATTTCGCCAATTTATATTATTCATTTAAGAAATGTTTGTGTATTCAGTAACCCCTAACAACTAGGAAGATCTTAGTTAAATTAAAAATGTCATTCCACTTGTGAAGACTATATACACTTTCAATATTATAAGCAATAATATTTTTTTCCAGGTTCATTCGTCTCGGCAAAGCCCAGAAACCCCTTGAATTGCTGAAACTAGTGCAAGCCGACGTTAATTTACAAAGACCGGTCATGATATTCTCAAACAAGACGTCGACTTGTGATTTCTTAGCGATGTTCCTCAATGAGAATAACATAGAATGTATTAATATAAACGGACGAATGGCTGTTCCTTTGAAGATGGGGAAGTATGAAATGTTCAAAAACGGTCAGGTCAATGTACTCTCGTGCACTGATATAGCGTCACGTGGCTTGGATACTTTGAGGGTAGGAATATTTTTACTTAGCAATCAAATGGTATCATCTTTATATATATAAAAATTTCGTGTCACTTGTTTGTCCGCGATGGACTCCTAAACTACTAAACCGATTTTAAATTTTATTTACATTCCGTGTGCATTTTGATCCAACTTGAAAGATAGGATAGCTTACATCTCAATTTATGGTCACAATATTATTTTATTGCAAATTATTTTTCTATTAAAGAAAATTATTTGTCATTATTACAATTATCTATTGACTGAGTTAAGTATTCAATAGATGGCGCTATGTTAAAAATACAAACGTCATATATAAACGACTATTTAATAATAGCATAACCACCACGTGTTTCTGAGGCTAAGGTATAACCTAATTTATTTATTTATTAAAAAAACGTAACAGATATTTCGTGATTATAGGGCGATACGAAGTTAGCCGGATCATCTAGTTATTATATATAATACTAGCTGACCCGGAAAGCGTTCGTTTGCCATAATTTAAGAAGGGGTTGGTGATAAAATTGTAAAAAAAATTGTTTTGTATATATTTTTTAATGCTACATTTAAAAAAAATAAAAACAGAAAATTTCGTCCGAAAATTAAAAAAATAATAATTAAGGTTGAAAAACCCTTATCAACATGCTCACAAAATTTCATTAAAATCGGTCTAGCCGTTTCGAAGGAGGTCTCCGTCTAACACCGCGACACGAGAATCCATTTATACATACAGGGTGACTGGTGAATTACTATCAATATTTAAGGACGTGGTAGTTGACGATCATATATGACAAAATAAAAATTAATAAAACCTAAATATTAATAAACTTCTAAGTAAAGTTAACCAAAAGTTATGTAATTAATTACGGATCGCGTGGATACCCTAGCTGCGTTATCGACACAAAACAGTTATGTACGTAGGTATATGTAGTTATCGCGCGGTAGTTTACCTACATCCAAACGCCGCGCGCCGCCGCGTGTTAGACCTTAGATAAACAAAAATGATCCATTTCCCTTCATACTTTAATCCTGGCTTAGGACAGGCAAAAATACCAAGATATTTCTTTCGTTTAAGCAACCAATTTATTGACTAGGTAAATGGTGTGACCTTGACACAAAAAATAATATGAACTGTTTACCTATCTTGGTATTTCCGGCGTATTTAAAAATGGAATCATACTTATTTACAACAATTGTCAATCATTAAACTACCTATTTACCTACATAACTACACTAACCTTAACAAATGTTCAAAGTGAGCTCCTTCTCGTGTGATACACAGTTCGGCACGTTTACACATATTGTCTTTCACACGATTTAATACGAATGGGTCACTTTTAATAGTTTCGAAATCACTATTGATTTTTAATTTCAACTCCTCTCTGTTGACATACTCTGTAGCATACACAAGACGTTTCCTTGGGCATGTGTTGGAACACGGAACTGTCCGAAGTCTCGTAATCTTTGATTAGCGTTTAAGATGACGCTGGCCGTAGGTACTCGACGATTGGGGAACATCTCCCGGTACAAATTGATTGCGCCCGGTAAGCTTTCATTTGCACGCGCATACGCATGAACCATGTCCAAGTATTCTGCATTTGTGTATTGAAAAGCCATATTTAATTACTAATAAGTAATAACGGGTCACACGCACACACGACAGATTATTATTAGGTATACGCGTAAAATCGATCGCTAGGCGCGCGCGCGGGAAGACGAACGTACGGACTTTACGGCGGCGCTCGCCCGACTAATAGCCGACTAATGGCCCGCTAGCCACGGGGCGGGGGTTGGGGAGTAGCGACACACTGGCGCCGGCAAGGCTGAGTACGTGTCCAAACTTTATTTATTTATACGGAAATTTGGTCAAAAATTAAGTACCTATTTTTTTTACATAATTCGAATGAAAATCATGTACCGAGTATGCTCCTTAAATATTGATAGTAATTCACCAGTCACCCTGTATATATAGATATTCTTTCATATTAGAAATATGTTTTATATATAACTCAGTTTTATTGCTGGCATAGAAAATAGTTTTAGGGATTAAATATTACGCTCTAAGCGTAAAGAGGGTCCTATTTACAGGTATATTTAAGTTTTCAAATTGTACAAAATGTTTTCAGACTCGACACATTATAAACTACGATTTTCCCTTATACACATCCGACTACATACATCGTTGCGGAAGAACAGGCAGATTGGGTTCGTCTAATGATTGTTCCATCACCAATTTCGTGGCTTGGCCGAGGGAGATACAACTCGTGCAAAAGATAGAGACCGCTCTGAGAAAACACGCAGCGTTACCAAATGTCAACGCCAATATCAAACGTCAGATCGAAGACAGAATCACTAGAATGACGTCGGCTGTATAATTATCGATATTATATGCACAGATAAATAAGAATAAATCATTAGGTATATGCTCATTATACTTGTTGTTTTATTTAATTTTGCTTCGAAAATGTTTAATATTTTAGGTTAATCTATCTACATATATTAGACATTGAGATTGTAATTATATAGTGACATCTAGGATTTCCTGTAGTACATAATAAATAAAAATATTATTTTTACTTGCAGACATGATGAAAGTCTCTTTTTCGTCGTGTAACTAAACTAGTAAGTACTGATTTTTACCATTTTTGTGAATGAATATTACTTTATCTTTTAAAGCATCCTACTTAATCTTCATTCGTCAATTATCTGATATTCGTCATAAACCGACGCTCCATTTAATAGGGTTTACGTATGTGCAATTATGTGCATTAAAGCGTGCCAGGTTTCTGGGATAGATAATTCTTCTATATGTTACCCATCAAAGTTGTCCATTATCCTGTGCAATCAAATAAAATCCACACAGCCTTTTTAACATTACCTCGAATACAGAAAAAGGTGTACAAAAATTTATTTGTTTTGTCATAACATGAAAGATTATAGTTATATAGTCAATATATGAACTTCATTTTTATTATTGGTATATATTATATTTATAGTAAAAAACCTGATTGTAATCTTTTAAATTTAAGTGACTTAGTTTATTAAAGTTCGCCCGTTAAAAAGCGGCATCTTCAGTTATCTTTCTGATCGTTGCAAGAACTGCCACTATTTAGAAAAATTCGAATCTTTAAATTTAAATATGTTATATAAAGTTAGGATTAAAATGTCAATCAAGAGTTAAGCAGAAACTAATGTTGATGGATGGATCATTACATTACAGTTTAACATGACGTTTGGTTTTCAAAAAAGTGACGGTTAACAAATCTGTTGGTCTTTAAATATGTTGTGGCATGAAGCTATAGCTTAAAAATAAAAAAATATGTTGGTTCATCTCGTAATGAAGTATAAGATATTTTGTTTCTTTTAGTTATAATTGTCTCTATGTTTAAAATATTGTTATAATAAACCAGATGAAACTGATAACATATATTAAAGAGTGTATTTCGTTCTCATTTAGTATACACTATACAGCTATTGACATTCGGGATGCAGGCATAAATTAATTATCATCACGAGGCAAACGGAATAAGCTATTTACTATACGAGAATGATTATTTTATATTTAATTTACAGGAAGAATCCAAACAGTATATCACAATTTTTTTCTTCAATATAGAAAAAAACAAAATATTCACTAGTGTTCAGGGAATTAGCGTTTATTAAAGACATTATTGTAATACTTTCTATTTAGTGTCATCGTAGTTGTCTTTACTGTTAGTGATTTAAAAACAATGTTTTGATAATTATATGTTTAATAAACTTAGTGTCTAATTAGTATCGTATCAAGGATTTTTATCACTATCTGACATTACAGGTTAAGTCGACCGAAATTTTTTAAGAGAGGATAGATTCCATCATTCCTAACCGATTTGACTATGGGATCTCATATCCTAAACCTAACCCTTCTCAAGTTATTGGCCTTTGTTTATATTTTACAAAAATTAAAGATTTTTTGTCGATTTTATTTTTGTTTTGTGTCCCAATTTTATAATATTTTTGCTATTTTTGTCTAGAAGATTAATTGCTTTATTATTTTAAGCTACAAAACTGCCAGTAACTATACCAAATGAGTCGTAGTAAACCGTCAATTGTAAAAAAAATAAATAAATTTGAAAAAAATATTTTTTCTTTGTAAGATATCTTAAAAAAGTCTATGACAGATGTACTGCAGATGTGCTAAAAATATCTACGGTTCTTCAGCTTTCCGATAAGGTGGTAACATAGGGTGTTATTAGACTTTTCGGAAAAAAACTTTAAACAAAGACACCCGAGTAACAAACGTTAAGAAGCTCGCAGCACCTATTGTCCTGCAATGGGTTCAAGCGGGATATTTTTCAATGTAAATAGGTACGAGAGGGATAGGTAATAACTATTTTGTTGTCTCCGTGTAATAAAAATTGATAATTTACTACTTTTGTACATAAGTACTAATGATAAAACAACGCATCAGTTTTTGAGTCAGAAAACAAAATAAAATAGTCCAAATACATAATAAATTAAGTTTATTTATGTTTTACATGTAATGATTTTCTACATGCCCTCCGCTATTTCGCACACATACACGCATTCTTTTTCTTAGGCCACTTTTCACAACACCAGTCCTCTGTCTATTTCTTATTTTATTAGCTGCGTCGTTATTTTTTTGCTTTAAAATCTCAATCGATATATACACACCTTTATAACTTTTCATATGCCCCCATACATAACATTTTCCACCTATACCAATTTTCCTTACATACTCATTTTCCTTATATACCAATTTTCCTTATATACTCATTTTCCTTAAATACCAATTCTCCTTATATATTAATTCTCCTTATATACAAATTATCCTTATATACCAATTACCCTTATATACAAGTCAGTGGTGGCCTAGTGGTTAAGGGGATCGCCTCTCGTTGCCAAGGGCGCGGGTTCAAACCTGGCAAGTACCAATGTGATTTTTCGGAGTCATATGTACTTTCTGAGAGTATTTAGACATCACTGACATACGGTGAAGGAAAACATCGTGAGGAAGCCTGGACTTATAGTTTTACAATTATAAGTTTGAAATCACCAACCCGTCTTGAGCAAGCGTGGTGATTAATGCTCAAACCTTCTCCATGTGTAAAAGAGGCCTTTATAGGCTGGTGATGAGGACTAATTCTCCTTATATACCAATTTTCCTTATATGCCAATTTTCTTTATATACTAATTCTCCTTATATATTAATTCTCCTTATATACTAATTTTCCTTAAATACTAATTTTCCTTGGAGCCTAAATACGATGCTAAATAGGGATTTACTCGAGCGTTAGAGAGACCTATTCGGTTGCAAAGCTTAGATGATATAAGAAATAAAGGTGAATAATGTTTTCCTTTTCATTGGTAGCGAAGCGGGAAGCGAAGGTAGGGAAGCGGGTATTTTTTTTGAATTAAAAAACAAAATGCTATAAAAGAAGTGATTGCATGAGTAATACTAATACTAATACTGTACATTCTTCTTCTTCTTCTACCTGGCAATTTCCCAGCTATAGCCAGGGTCTGCCTTACATGTTGTGAATAGTTTTTTTTGGCTATATGTTTTTACGACCGGCCGCCTGCCTGACACATCAACCCTCTTTTGGGAATCAACATTAATCAGTGATGTCTAAATACTGTTAGAAAGTACATATGATTCGGAAAAATCACATTGGTACTTGCCCAGGCCAGGATCGAACCCGCGCCCTCGGCGACGAGAGGCCGAGAGACGGACCCTTTAACCACTGAGCCACCACTGACTAACTAACACTGTACATTATACTCTATAAATTATAGTATAGTATAAAATTAATACTTTATACTAAGGATACTATTTAGAAAATCAACTTAGCTTTTGTCTGATTTATTTTCTTAAGGACCTACTTATATTAATATGGAGATGTGAATTCAACGTCAGGTTTCCTTTCTGTAATTATAATATTCCTGTCATATATTCATATGATATGCATTAGTCACGGAATAATAATTAATATAACGTCTTTGGAAGTAATTTGACACATTTGCGATTCAACTTGGACGTTTCTAAAAAGACTTTTCTATTATACTAAAGACAAGATAATTTGATTTCTATTGAATGGTAATCGTGCCGCTCTGTTTGACAGTTATCGCTTTAAATCAATAAGACAATTACTATTCTCAATAAAGGTGTTCTAAATGTGTTCCGATATTCGTATGTAAATGAGTCTAGTTATGGTTTAAGTAAAACAAGAAACAAGACACGGATAAAATGATTTTGATTTCAATGTAGCATCAATAACCTAACTCTTAAATTCCTGTGAATTTTGACCATAAAACTAATTTTGAATATATCCTTATCAGATGCAAACAATTTATTAAGAAACAACGTTGTTATTTATTGTTAAATTTTCGTTGTTTTCAAAATAGTGACTTTAATTAGCGAAACCAATAAAATAATTTATAGTTTACGAAAAATAGTAAGTATATAATGTCAATATTATGACCAACAGGCAGCAATTTCTTCCATTTTTTTTAAACTACACAAATTTTAAGCCTGTAACCATACGAAACGGTTTTAGTGAATGAGTTTTATGATCATTCTTTTCCGTATTGGAGCCTACGATGCTAAATAGGGATTTACTCGAGCTTTAGAGAGACCTATTCGGTTAGGAAGGTTAGGTGATGAAAAAAGACGAATAATATGTACCTTTTCATTGGTAGGGATGTGGGTAAATATTTAAAAAAAACGTAGCTAGAAAATAATTTACTTCTGTTAATTTGATTTTGATGTTCTGAAAGAAATTAACCTATATAGTGATTGAAAATGAAAAAGAAAAAAAACCAGTTTTTCTAAAAGGATATTTTATGCGAATTTAAAAACCGCTCATTCAATAATCTGGTGGCTTGGATGTGTCGCAAGCTGGCAACCATTAACTAGATTGTCGAAAAATAATTTGATATTTAATATTTATTTTGATTTTTACATTTAGACATTAAGACAAACATAAAGTAATCTCACGATTACGGTATGTATATGGTTCATCTTTATGGCCTCGAGTTGCATCCAATTAATCTGACAATGAAAAGTTCGTATTTTAAATACAACACTTGTACACATATAGACAATATATAAATATAAAAAAAAAATACTAATGGATTTGTATTTTGTTCGGAATTTTTTGTTAACCGGTTTGCCCCGACGATATCGTAATACATTTAATTTTTGTTTATTTCGCAAAGTATTTTCACCGAAAAACTTAAATTCAAAGTAAATATTCATAAACTTAATCCATATAACTTAATTTTTGTCGGCATGTTAAAAACACGTCATCCTTACATTGTCACGCAAGTGGTGTATATATACTTTTAAGCTTGTAATTAATTCACCCTACCTTAAAATGACGCGCTCGAAAATTTCTGATCGTCAATTCTTTTTACTAATCCCAGCCCTTGTCCTTGACGTGTGGCCATATTTTTGGGGCTCATATTTAGGGACGTACTTAGCCGGATAGCATGTATATCCTATAACATATTATCCAGGACTTCTATGAATTCCAAAATATCCTCTTATGCTACTAATTTGTTATACAATAATGAGCAAAACAGAGAAA